CGACGATTTTGGTTCGACCTTAGAGCAATGCCCTAGCCCGGCGGAGCTTCAACACGCCCTTTCGCGAATGAAATCAGGCTCGGCGCCCGGGCCGGACGGACTCCCAACAGAGTTTTATAAGACCTTTTGGCCTGTTCTTTGGGATTTTTTTTGCGGCGTTTTACGGGTTTTCCTTGAGGAACAGTGCCTTCCGACATCCTTCCGGCTTGGTCGAATAGTTCTTCTCCCCAAGGAAGGGGGAAGCCCTGGCGACTCGGGTGCTTGGCGCCCACTTACGTTGTTGAACGCGTACTACAAACTTCTGACCACTGTTCTGTCGTTGCGGATGCGGACCGTACTCCCAGAACTGATTAATCTGCGTCAGACATGCTCGGTTCCAGGTCGCACCATCCATTCCCTGGTCGCCCTTACGCGGGACTTCGTGGAGTACACGCGATCCCGACGGGCAGGCGGTCTGCTAGTATCCCTTGATCAGGCCAAGGCCTTCGATCGCGTAGAACACAAATATCTGTTCAGGGTCCTGGCCGCCTTTGGATTACCTCCGAAAAGCATTGCTCTGTTCGAGTGTCTCTACAACGGTATGCAAAGCGACTTGTTTGTCGATGGAATCCCGGCCGCACGCTTCCCGGTCACGCGGGGCGTTCGTCAGGGTTGCCCTCTCTCCCGCTCCTGTTTGTGCTCAGTTTGGAACCTTTCCTTCTTGGACTTGAGAGAGCCTCGAACGTTCGTGGTCTACAGCTCCCAGGAACGGGTCAGGTCAAGGCGACTGCGTACGCTGACGATGTGACGCTCTTCGCCCGGGATGGCGACAGTGTTCTGGGTGCGCTTCAGGTTTTTGCGACCCATGCGGCTTTGTCCGGCGCAGAGCTAAACTCCACCTAGTCGAAGATTCTCTGCATTGGCAATCCCCCGCCCGATCCCTTGCCGCTCCCTGTTGACGCAGCTGTCAAAATCTTGGGGGTGACCTTTGATAGAGACGGAGTGGCACGCGAGACGTGGTCGGCGCTTGCGCGTGACATAAACTTGTGCGTAGAAGAGGCCCGGGGATATGCCTTCCCAATGGCTGTACGGCGTTACTTGGCACATTCAGTGATTTGCGGGCGACTCTGGTATGTCGCGCGCGTAGCTTCACCGCCTTCTCCGTTTATACGCCAGGCGCGCTCTTCTCTCGTGTCCTTCTTTTGGGCAGGCAAGACGGCTCTGGTGGCTCGCCCCGCGCTCAGCCTCCCTCGAGAGCGCGGTGGCTGGAGCTTTCCTCGTATCAAACTGACAGCGTCCACTTTAGCTCTCAAGATTTCTTGACTATTCTCGATGACACGGACAACCCGTCCCGTCCACTGGCGGTGTATTTTCTCGGGACATTGTACAGTGACCTGGAACCCTCGCAACCGCCCTTCATAGGCGCCCGCGTGGAAACGGTTCCGCCTTTCTACAGAGCTGCTATTGAGACTTTCCGGCAGCTGCGCGTCCATGTGTCAAAAGAAGACATTGTTGAGGCTCCGGCGTCTCGTCTTGTTGAGATCCTCTACTCGTCGCAGTTTCCGGCGCCAGTGCCGGGGCTTGGTCCGTCGTACATAGGACCACCCCTCCCCCACGGTAGCCTGCCAGGAGAAGTGTGTGACTTCCAGTGGAAGAAAGGTTGGGGAGTCTTACCAACCAAGGACCGCCTTTTCCGTTGGAGTGTGGTCAGTGATGTTAAGTGTCCCAACTGCAGCGCAGTGGACACAAACGTCCACGTAACGGCGCAGTGCGTGGTGGCGCAGATTTTCTGGCGTCTTGTGGCGCATGCCTTTCCTGACGCTGGTGTGCGCCCTTATGTCAATCAGGGTCGTCGGCCCCGAGGGAATTTTGCTTTCCTTGTGATAGCGCTGGCCGAATGGGTCCTGGTGCGCAACCGCTGCTCCTCGAAGGTGCGGCAGCGTTGCCAACGGGCGATATGGCCACTTCTATGGAGACTGCGACGGGAGCTGGTCACGTTTTTGGAGTGTGAGCTGTTCCTCCTTGGGGAGTGCGAGTTCCTGCGACGTTGGTCGTGCCGGTTCCTGACGGTGATCAACGGCCAGGTACATTTGGCTTGCCTGTCCTTGGACATGCTGTAACCGCGGGCACTCCGGTTCCGCCTCGCCGGCTGCGACGGCCGGAGTGATCAGTGCGTCGCGTAAACATTGTTTTGTGTAGAGCATATACCGTCACCTTGTAACATTGTATAAACTCGCAGTGGTGCCAAATAAATTTTTCTTACCTGTAACCTCTACCGCTGTATCTGTTCTTAAAGCCAAAATAGAAGTCACGTGCAGTTCTTCGAGAGGCCGCTGCGGGAGAGATGGTGGCGTTGTGTTCGTCGTTAGTTCGGTACTCGGAGACAGATTGGGGCCACTTTTTCAAAGCTGTCTCTATGAGAGTTTCCGAACTGAGTGTTTTAGTAACGTTGATTTCCCTGTTGTTAACGCGCGTTTTTGTTTCTGCGACTGCCGCCGCCTGCGGAACGCGCGCCGCTTTTGAGTCGAAAAGATTATCTGCTAGAAACGCCGGCTCTCGGCCCCATATGCTCGTTCGTTGCGCCGAATTTTGCGGTCGATTTAAAGAGCCTCGCGTATCCTTGAATCACCCTGTAGTAACGCTGATTCTAGGCAACGTTATTTAGCTCAGATACGGAACTGCTCATAGACGCTGCATGCATGAGCAGTAACTCCCCTCGCTCAACACGGCTCACCTCCCGTCGGTCGACGCACCGAACGGCTGCTTTGGTAACTGCAGTGTATTCTATGGGATACGTACGTTGCGTACGTTTCGAAGCGCAGGGTCTAGATGGCGTTCCAATCTATTTTATGGAAAACAGTTCGTAAACGAAAATCTAGATGCCGCTTCGAACGACGGGGGGCGGGCTGGAGTAAAGGGGGCGGTGTGTGCGTGTGTGTGTGTGTGAGGGGGGGGGGGGAGGGGGTGGGGAGTACTATTCCTTTCCGCAGGAGTTCCACAACCGATGTAATCTAGTAACTTTGGTTCTAGGCATTAATTGCATCTTAATCATAACCTTAAAAATGCAGGCCTTTCACCCTTGTTGATTTTAGACTGGTGGCAGCTGACTAAACCCGTTTGCTCTGCTCCTGGTTAGCTCAGTTGGTATAAGTGCTCCATTGGAAATGGAGAGGTCCCGGGTCCGAAACCCGGACCACGCGGATTTTTTCGGTCCCGCGTGTTTGTCCTTTGTCCCCATCTCCAGGGATTATTATTGCCATTCTTGTCCAGCTCGCGTTGCACCTCTAAACAATTTCGGTTTCGAGCAGTTTTTTTCTTTTTTTTTTACTTTATTAAGCATATACGTGACACTGTAGCAAAATATTGATTGGGAAATTTGACACCACAATCAATCGCCTAACCAAAAAAGAAAAAAACTTTTTTTTTTTTTTGTGTGTGTGTGTGTGTGTGTGGGGGGGGGGGGGGTGGAGTGGAGTGTCAGTGTTCCTTTAGATCCATAAATTTTCGGGAATTAGAAAAAGTACAAGGACCACGGAATTTAGCAGAGAATGGTCAATAGCGATTATCTGTGGCCACCAGTCTAGAATGAAGCAGCGCCAGCTTTCTGAGCAATTCAGGGTATCACCATCAATCGTGTCTGAAATTCCCAAGAGAACTAGGCTCAGAGGAGGTTTCTTTACTTGGTACTCTCGAGGACGACCCAAGTCGACGTCCCACCTGGTCGATAGGAACATTGTTTGGGCGAGCCGCACGAGCCCTCTGCTGTCGGCTATCGAGATTTTCAGAATTGTTCTCAGGAATTGGGCATTTCGGCACTTCGGGGGGGGGGGGGGGGGGGTTTAAACCCCAAACCTCGCCCCACTGCCTACGCCACTGGTCTTCACGGTGTCTTCATGAACATTGAAGCATCTGCTAGCTGTCGGACTAAAGGCATGTAGGCCAGCTCGGAAGCAAATGAAAAACAAAACGAGCTGGATCCCTGACCAAAGACTGATTGAAGATACATTTAATTCCAAGATTTAAGAAACTGTCTGACCGGACGAATCGTTTATGCTGTTTGGTAGCGATAGTTCAATATGCGCGTCGTCAAAAAAGCGTAGGATTTTATTCCAGCCCGCTATCAGCTGAGGACAGTGAGCATGATTGAGGGAGTGTTACCTAACCCATTTGTCTTTCTAATAAGCCAATGTTCCTCTTTTTCTCTGCTCGTGGTATGGTCCCCTTATCTGAATTTATGGGGTAGTGACAGGTTTTTGAGGGACTCCTTGAGGATGCCATGCTTTCCTGGGCACGGACTAAATCGTCGTAGCTACAAATTCCAGCAGAACAGTGACCATATGCACTCATCCAGAGTTTTGAGAAATTGTCTCGGCAAAAGGCTCGACCTAATGGGGCGGTCGGGTCAGTTTCCTGACCTTACTTCAATTGATCATCTTTGGGAAGGGCTGGACTGTTGCCTGAAGGTAAAGAAAGGCAGCAACATTGAGCAGAAGTTTTACTAATTGCAGCAGGAGTGGTCAAACCTAGAACAGATAGTCTTCAACAATTTGCTGAATTTCATGACTCAATATCAGTGCCAAGTTGTGATTAATGTTACGGGTGCTCTATGAAATATTGATTAGCTTAGGTTCATATCTAGAGATCAGGGTTAGCACGATGTTCAATTTCGTCGTTAACGGCTAGACTATCGACAATGTCCTGTTGTGCTGCAGGTACCAGTTTTGCAATATTTATTAAAAAATATATTTTACACATACTTCCCGAAGAACTGACTTGTACCAACAAATATGGTAATATAGCTTTAGTACATAACAATATCTATATATGCATTAGAGTTCTCAAGGAAGTTAGCCACGTAAAAGAGAAATATATTGTTTTGTTTGCTACTGTATACCTATGTCATATGAAAATGCAGTGCGGGCATAAAGCATGTAGAAAGGAACAAAAGCACACACACTTCAGTTGCTCACAACAAAGAGCAACACAACATGGTAAGGGATGAATAAGCCATATCTCTGAAGTACCTCGGTTAAAAAATTATTTTATTAGAGAAACTCACAGTAACACGAAATTGGGAAACTGAAGGAAGCACCCGAGAAATGCACCACTTGACGGGTTCACGTTACGATGGTGATCGCCATCCCGTCAAACGACATTTGAGCGAAAAGCGGTCGCATTGTTGAACGGCAGTTTTTATCAAGCGACGTATTAGCAAAAGGCCCTGTTTTTGCCTGCACACGGTGGGAATGCTCACTTTGTTCACTGCTCACACTGCCAAAGGTAAACAGTTGACCGTTTTTATTATCTCTCCAGCATATCGCTCAAACCAATCCAAGAGGCATGAACATGACCGCAGACTAAACTGAAGCAGTAACGCAACCGTTGTGCTCGCCTTAAACACATATTGCTAAGCCAGCAGTTACCTTCTTTTCAAAGAGCCAAATGCCTAGGTTGCAACACCATTCACAAAAAAAAAAAGAGTGCCATTTCTAAACTGTTCAACCAAATACCGCGAGAAAGGGGTCTTATTTTGACAAGACGTTGTTTGCCAGAATGTTTGTCATCTCCACTCGACAGCAACACAACCACGGCTTGCTTGCATTAGATGAGATGGCTCGCACGGCTCGATACAGCTCCTAAATTACACAAGTACACAAAACAGCCTTACCGAGCCCAACTCCATATAATTACCTTCATCTTGTACTAATCATGACTAGTAGCTACAAAAATTAATTTAGAAAAACTGGTGGTTCTGCTTAGGGTGACAATGCAAGAGACAACAAAAAATAACATTTGATGTTACCAGTACTTAGAGTAAGTTCCAATTACAATAACCTGGTTTTCCCAGCACACTGCAAAAAGTGAGCAGAAATGCAACAAATGCAACTCTCCTAAATTACAAAAAGAAAAGAAAAAAAAATGTGTGTCAATTCAGAAAAAAAAAGAAAAAGCAAAATAGTGGCCTACTGGTGCAAATCACCACCCAGAAACGTTCAGCCTCTGTACATCCATCCACCCCTTCATGGTGACTATTTCCTTATGGCACCTTTGTGAAATAATGGCATAGACTTAGTCAGTAATGCAGCTGAAGAAATTTTGCCCAAAACAACCGAATTCAAAGTGCAGACAATCTTTCCTGGTTGGGAAATTGAGTCACGGTAACAACGTCCACTCCCAGCACACGCATATCATGTGACTTTCAGACAACAATGCACTTCAAACAAAAATGTCTCTACTAATTCAAAAACGAGACCTAAGGATCACAGAAAAAAAATAGGAATGTAATGTAACAAGCCAGGGGAGCACTGGCAGCAACTACCCAACTTTAGAAAGGAAAAAAAAAATATGCCTAGAAATACGAGGTTCTAAATACAGAGAAAAGGTAAAAGAAAAGACGACAAGCTAAGGCCTGTTGCAAAAAGTGCCGCTTTCTTTACCGAGACACCACTGCGTGGGAAAAGATTGCGTCGCCGTTGTCCGAGAACGACGTTGGCACAAGCTGTGCCAAAATGCTGAATCCCAGCCTGTTTTGCTCATGCAGAGTTGTCAAGAGTGGCATTGTAGCTGCTACCCTTGCTGTATGATCACTGCTGGAGATCAGCATGCTGCTTGAAAGATCTTTGCATGTTTCCTTTTGCACAAAAGTCTCAAAGGTGCGAACATCAAGCGTTCCCCTTGGAGTCGTCCCCCGCCTGCGGAGTGTCTCCACCCTCTTGCTTCGTCGAGGTGGGCGGGAACAGTGCGTTCTCGTGCTCTGACAATTTCAGCTTGCTCAGCAGATCTTCCTCCTGGTGCAGAAATGCCTTGGTATAACACTCTCCACAGGTCATTGGTCAGATGATGCTTTGTACAGCACAACCAAGACTGTGGCTCTGTCCACACGCACGAGTAACACAGTTTAGACAACTCAAAGAGGCGGATATGTTATGAACATTTATCCATACTTCGGGGCGACTTTCAGTTGCAATTCAGAAGTGAAGAGGGAGCATGCATAGCTTTAGTCAACGCTCAAGGTATGCAAATAAACCGATGCCCACAGCACTGACTGCATTGCCTCAGAAAGTTTCCACCAAATACAGTAAAACCTCGTTATAACAAAGTTGAAGGAGCGGTCCTAATTATTTCATTATAACCATTAGTTTGTTATAGCCAATGTCCATTTCTTCCCACTATTAGCAAGCAAGGGGAATTATGATTGCTTTGTTATATCCATTAGTTTGTTACATCCCATTTTGTTATAACGAGGTTTTACTGTATAGATGTGCTGACTATAAGAAATGAAAAACGTTTACAATTTTCGGTAATGCGAAATTAGAGCGCAGTTCTTGAGGACGAAGAGGGGTTGTTGTTGTGATACCGTTTTCGCTAAATTTTCTATTAAATTTAGCAAAAATTTCCCTGCTAAATTTAGCGGGGAAATTGATGTCATGTGACCTCAACACCAATTGCTTCCCTGCTAAATTTAGCAGGGAAACTGTGACGTCCCATAATGCAACGTGCGATTATGTTAACACCGACGGCGACGCTGCTCAACCCGGAAAATGGCGCCTAAAAGCTGCGCTCTAAAAAGATGCAATTTAAAGTGAGAATGGTCATGGCACCACAACATAGATTAAAGAATGTTAGAATGGAATTTAAGAATAAAAAAAATATTTGATGCATCTTAAATAAAAGGAATTTTCTTTTCAGTCACCTATAGCATGCCAATGCATTTGTTTTAATATTTAAATTCTTACAATGTCTAAATTGAACTATCACTTATGTTGTCTTCACAGCAAAAAAATTCACACAGTCCATTTTTTAAATCAACATTCTGAAGTCACTAGAGTTAAAGTGTATCTTCTCAGAAGATAGTAATCCCTGATTAACTGGAAGTAAGCTATCTGAAAATATCAGTTTAGTCTAGATTAAGTATAAGCGGAAAGATTTCCTTGACATGGAATGAACCCCTATAGGCACAGTCCCTCCTGAAAACCTTATCTGAAAAGGTTTTCAGGAGGGACCTTGGACATATTAAAATCTTAACAACAAAAATTAAAAAACAACAAAAGGCAGAGCACAGCAAACAATGAACATAGTAGCCCAAACATCAGCTGACAAAAAAACAGGGATTCATAAGCAAAGACAGAAGAGAAAAAAAGAAAACAAAGTTTTGCAGTAGGCTGCAAACCAAGACAAAAAGAAAAGAAAAAAAAAAGTTGTGTCATGCATGGCACAGTATTGCACCTCAAGGATGTTCGCTCTTACTTTTTTTGCTTCCCCCCCCTCCCTCCAAATTGCAAAAGTGCTATTTCTCTCTCACTGGGGCTACACATTATCTTCTGCTCTTTGCCTCTTTCACCGATTATTTCCTTTCCTTTGCTTTCTTGCTTCAAGGCCTCGTTGTCTCATCTTAAGACTCTTGCTTGTTGATAATTTTGTTGCTTTTTGTTCTCCCCAAAGTGGCTCTCTACGATGTGAAGCATATTGATGCCATTGTTGGAAGGGTTCCATTTGCATATGCACCATCAGAGCAAAGAAAATTCAATACCTCGCTTATCTCGAAACATTGCATTTGTCCAATTTTTTTTCTAATTTTTATGACTTCAAGTTACTCAGGGTTTATTAATACTGTCACGAATGACAAGTGATGAGGTGACAAAAACTGAAGCAAACTAAATGTTTAATGTGGTTGTACACGAAATAACCCGATCTCGAAACACCTGTATCAAAATCCCCACTGCGAATTCCCCGCACTATCTCCCCCGTCAACAAAATTCCCGGCTTTCGAAACCATTTTTGCCCTTATCCCCTTTTCAGTTCTGCCGGCTTTTCCCTGAAGCCTTGTTACGGGACTAAGGACAAAACGGAAACCTACCAACACAGCACGTTAACAAAAAAAAAACATAACAAGTTTTCTAAGAAAATGGCAGAAAAATTTAACATTAAAGAAGCGCAGCCTAGAGTTCATCTCTACACAACATACCGAGAACCTTCTATAAGTTCTGGCAGCGATGTTAGCATTGCTATCTTGGATGTTGAGGCCAGAGAGTCAAGGTCAAGATGCAGGAGGTAGTGTTCGAATATTACCAGACGAGCACGAGAGCGCACGCATTAACATTAGGCACAAGTGCATTAACAAATCTAATAAATCTAAAATGGCTTACTGCACCTTTTCCTCCTTTTGTGACGGCTGCTGGTGTTCCTAATAAAAAAAAAAGACAAGACAACAAATATTAACAAGCAGCAGGAATATTAAAAAATTAAATCATCCTCTCTTTCAATAAATTACTTCTCGACAAATTATATACATATACAAGGCAAGTTTTTTTGTTTTTTTTCTACGTTGGCAGAAAAAGCACCCAATGAAAATTTAATAATCTTTTCCATGTTTCTGTTATTCCATTAGCACCATATGTAAAATACTGCAGAGTTTATTCTAATGTAAACTCTGGTGGCTGCAACTATTCCTCTCTGTGAATATTCTGATGCTGCACTCCCAAGAAATGCCTATGCAGTGCACTATAGTGGAGACAAAAAAGCAAGCTGCCATTGTTTTACGGGAATTGTTGACTAACAATAAACACTTGCAAGACAAAGAGAACAGCCGCGAGCAGGCTCCCGAGATTCTGCCTTTACCATTTCACGAAGCAGGAGCTCTTTTAAACATGAAAACCCCAATTGTTGAAGTACAAAAAGTAAAAGGACCAGCATATGACACACTAGTGGTGGAATGCACACAGATGAATGTAAGAATAAAGATTCAGCCCTTAGGACTGGACAGTTGCTTGGGCCATTCAGATAGCAGAAGTACAATAGTGTCGAAACAAAAGGTCATGGTAAAACGCCTCGAAAACAAACTCTGCGAGACTGACGAAGACATTCTCTGCGCAAGTTATTTTGTCTGACGAGTCTAGCGCAAAAAGACGAACGTGTGAAACCAAGAGAGGTTTACTGCATAGTGACAAATCTGCACAACACACCCACTGTAACCAATGGCACCAGGGCTAAAATGATACTCTTTGAAATTCCTCATTAACTCTAAGTCTGATATCTCTACCACATTGCTTTTTTGCCAGCGGAGCTGCTTTTAGTTGCTTTTGTTTGGATTTATAGACTTTGCATCCTTCCAATCGCATTTTCCTGTGGTGTATTCAACTCTCCCCAGTGGCTCTCCCCTCTCTCCATCGTCCAAGTGCAGGAAAATGCTGGCAAGGGAAAAAATATGTTGGCTCCACCTCCCCCCTCCCACTTTGCTGCCGTGCTCCACTATCTATGCGATAAGAATGTTTTACCATCACCTACCCGTTGATTTTTGTTTCTACTTATGTGAGAGCTTTAGCTTTTCACAATCATGAAGGCTTAGAATTATACTGGGTGTTTTGGCGAAGGCTTTCAAAACTTCCAAAAAATGGGGAGGTTAAGAAGGGAAGATATTTTCTGTAGGAACAAAGTGCCAGCCATGATGGACATCAGGGATTGCAAAAAACATGCTAATTAGCTCAAATTTACTAATAGACACCTTTCAAAAGTCACATGCCAATTATCAGAAGGTGCAAACCACAGCACTGTGGCCAACACTAGAAGCTGAGCAGCCGACCAGCGTCGAAAGTGCAACGTCACTGTGCTCGTCCCCTTTTTTTGTGGGTGTTTTGGCTTCTAATCCAACCAAACGCATAAAGTGCGTCGTGACGTTACAGTTGTAGTCTGCTATTGTGCAGGGATTCCACAGCTACCAAGAGAGGGCAGTCTTTCGAAAGGGGTCCATTCACTATTAATTGGTGAAGATAAACAGATGGTGCCTATTACAAAAATTGCTGAGCATCATCAAAAACCATTAAATCAGCTCATATTAGAAACATATGAGGCACATACAGCATTTTACGGTGTTCCGAAAAAATGCTCAATTTGGAGGCGTTTCTAGGCGCTTGGCTTTCCTATACACGAACTCATCTCTGTTACGTCACGGCGCAGTGGTGGCGCGTCGGACACACTTCCGGTCTGGGGCAGTGGGCGGAAGTGCCCATTTGAGACGTGTATTCCTGCGTTGTTTTCAAAGGAACCAGACAAAAACCTGCCTTGTCGTCAAAATGCTGCGACTGGGGCTGTACCAAGAGAGTCGAGAAAGGTTTGAAGGTCAGTTTTCATGCGCTCGGTTCGTCCGAGAACGCGGATATGTGCCGTGAAAAGGGAAAACCAGACGCCGTCGGACCACGATTGCTTGGGCGGGAAGCATTTTGAGTTAAATTCACGAATACTACTGGCCATCAAATTTATTTGTTTGATTCCAAAATGAACGCCGTAAAACCATCAAGTTGTATGGACCACCTGCGGACTACGTTTAGAGCGTCTTCAAGTTCAAACGGTTGCCTGATCGTTCGAACTGTCGTCTGCTCTTTGTAACGTTTCTGCTTGTCGTCTGCTCTTTTAGAGGACACCGACCCGTAGACCAAACGTGAGCCCGGTACTTGCGATAAGAATTAAGTGCAGGCCTTAAAAAATTTAAGTTTGAAGGTTAGTAAGCAGGCTTGACGTAAACAGTAGATACAAGGAGATGTTGATCATTGTTACCAGTGGCCATCACCGACTTGTTATGCCTGATTCACTTGGTTAGATTCTGCTTGCGATTTTCAGTATCGACGTCGACCAACTCAGCTACGGTTCACGCTTTTGCAGTCCGAGTGACGTCGCTACTGAAAATTGCGAGCGAAATCTCATCACGTGAATCAGGCTTTAGCGTACGTTCTGCGGCGTCCACGCGGAATGAATCGCCGCATGTCAGATGATTCACGCGAAATTTTGCGGTGTAACGAGCCTCGTTAATTTCGCTGACGCTGCTCAAGTGGTCAGACATCGTTAGGAGGACGTAGAATCAACAGTTCCCACGCGAAAAAGAGCGCGGGGACTCACACCGGCGCCGACAACATCGCATTTCAATGGTTTGTTTATGGGCGACGGCGAGCTTTTTGCCCACACCCCCATCGCGCATGCGCGGCGCCGGTGGCGTCCGCTAGGGGCGCTCCGGTTTGTTTGTAAACATGAGTTGGTGTATACAAGCGCATCTCTGCACCAGCAGTCCTACCACCCGCCGCCGCCGTTGCCGCCCCCCCCCCCCCCCTTGCCTATGGCCAAGGCGTGCAACGCACATGCACCACACTCCCTCCCATCCTACAAGGAAGGCGAGGCGGTAGCTGAGTGCCTCGGCTGCATAGGGTGCACTCCGACGGGAAACCGAAACATGACCAAATTGAGCCATTTATTTTTAAGATTGCCATAAAATGCTTATATATCTTTCTAAGATTAGGTAATTTAACGGTTCTCGATGATGCTCAGCAAGTTTCTAATTAAAGCATATGTTAATTTTCATTCACTAAAAATTTAATTAGTAAATTTCCTTTAATTATTTAGCTAATTCATATGATTTTTCTCAATCCCCGATGTCCACCACGACTGGCAGCTTATTCCCGTAATGCAGTGGTTCTCAAATGGGGGTCCCTGAAGGCCTTCTTGGAACCCCAAAGTCCTCAAACTTCAGTCAAGCCGAGCGATAAAACTTGTTTTATTATTGGTGCAGGCTGTCTGACAAAGCTAAAAAGACCATACCATATGTTCCAAGGGAGTGGGGTTGATTACTCTCCGTTTCGAAGCTCCAAAGTTGGTTTACGCGCATTTAGTTTTTTTTTTTTTTTTACCCCTTTGTCATTGTAATCGCTCAATACTCCCTTCCCACCCGGTGGATGGGGTCCCCCATCATCTCTGTCAAACAAGAAAGGGTCCCCAAAACATCTGTGGTTGAAAACCACTGGTGTAATGAGTCTCTTTTGCCCTCAACCACCCTATTTGTAGAAATTTCTGAAAGTCTTTACCGAAACGCCTGGTAATGTTTCCGCACATTTTTGTCTTGGGGGGGCCCATGAAAAGTCATAATCACTGTTTATCAGATTATACTATGTTTTCACACGGTCTCATTAAAGTCCTACAATCGGCATTCCACCGTCATGCTGCAGAGGTCTTGCTTCGATAAATCTGACTTTACAGTGAAGGAGTTAAAGTGAACACTGTTCCTAAACCCAAGAAAAACTAAATTAAAAAGAAGCTTTCACAATAGGTGAGCAGAACCACCAAAGTAGACAACTGGTATTTTACTGGGGTGCATTTTCATACTTTGCTTTGAAAGGTTCAAACAGCTGCTCATTTTAAATAAGCAGTTCAGTTGAATGCAGTGACACAGAACAAATCACCTTTGAAACCACTCACCATCAGAGCCTTGAGAGCTATGTTAGCTGCTATTGACAAAGCACTGCAAATCTGCAAGAAAAGAACCAAAGATTGGTGTCTATGAGACTACAAGAACTCAAAAACAGCTAAAACTCTGAAACACAGAGTGCGTCTAGGAATCGCTACAGTGAAACTGCCCCCATATAAAGCTCGCGTTGAACATCAGACAGGACTTATAAAAAAAAAATAAAGAAAAATGTGATTCACATCAGATAGCTCAAGCTATAAATGAGGCCTAACAGCTTAAAAATGCATAACGAGTGTCGAGCCAAAATGAAACCAGAATTGAATGCACCTTTCAACATTTTGGACAGTCTCAAAGCAATTACACAAAAAAAAAAAAAACCTTCAATGTGATTGCAATGTCGCTGGTACAAAACAAGTCTGCACCCCGACCGCTTGCTCAGACCTTCAGATATTTTCTGTTTAGGATACCAGCTTGTGCTGGAACACATGGTACAGTGACGTCCCTTTCATAAGGCTGCTCTTCCGCAACCCATCGGTCTCCACACACCAGAACAGACAACGTGAGTCGTATTCAAACACACGTCATTTGTACTTTCCAGCTACATTACCGCAAAGTCGATAAGCACAAACATCTAGTGGCACGATGACAGACGTTCCAAACTTCACAACAACAGACATTCCAAACTTTAGAGTTTGCAGTGGTACAATCAAAGCGTACAACAATGCTTTGAAAACATCGTGTGCATCGTGCACCCTTTCGAAGGAGGAAGCCCTCGATGTGCATTCAAAGGAAGCGGCGGCTCATTCCTACCTCCTCGGCAGAAGTGTGCGCCTCGAACACGTGGCATCGGTAGGTGCGGGGACCGTCACCCGAGGCACTCATTGTGATGAACCCTAGGAGCCTGGAAGGAAGAGGTGGGCAGACCTTACACCCGATTCTAAGAGCAAGTGCAAACCCTATTTACGCGTGCAACGGACCTTTTTCCAGTAAGCCTCTGCACGTGCGAACACCTTATAACCCTAGCCTTGCTTCACGCTGTTCGCCATTTTCGGACGGCAACGTCCCACACGACCGATAGTAGGTACCTATCTTAACACTTGTTTCGTCTTTTCACGATTCTTTTTTTCTTAGCGTAGGTTAGTATGGGGACAAAAAAGCAAGGAAAGCTGTTACGATGGCACAAAGCCAACGTGTTTTGACAGGCGAAGGGACGTTCGGCCGCCCCTCTTTTGTAGTCGTCGGACGACACTCGAGATGTCGCTTATTACTTTAAAAAAAGTCCATCGACAGATTCGAAAGTAAACAACGCACCTTTCCCCCCTCCAGCGTCAGAAAAGTTGCATTCTTTCTATCATATGTGCCTAGGAGATCTGCTACGTTTCTTCGACACTCTTACTTACTGCATGTCTCTGGGCGTTTTGCTACGCTTCACATACGAGCCGAAATAGCTCGCAGTATGGTCGATAAACAAGTAAGTTGGCTTCTTGGTCAAACAAAAATGACGTGTGCAGACGTAAGGGAAGCGCAGATACCTGTTGTTCTCCTTGTGTATCGTCCAGAAAGAGACGTCAGCCAGGGGAAAAACGGCCCTGACCGCCTGGTGCGATGGGTCCATGATTCTGCAAAGCAAGGCCCAAAGCTAGTCACCGTCCCTACCTTCTAAACTGTTTCCGGATGCTAGCTCTAAGGTAAAAGATAATGCAATCTCAATAACTAAATTGGAAACAACCTGCTTTCGGTTCATAAACTTGAAAGATTATTGCATAATCAGTAACAGCTGCGGCAGGCGTTCGAGGAAAAAAGAGGAGAGCGCATTTGCTCACCACAAACGTTAACAGCCTTGTCCCACTAGGGCGACAAACACCGACCTTTGTCCAGCGACGCCACATAGTTCTGTGTCACCGATCTTGTCCCATCATAGTGACAAACACCCCCAGCAACCGCTGATAAGCGCCGACAAACGATGAATGGCGGACAAGTTCTTGTTTGTCGTCCAACTTGAAGCACCGCAAGTGGTTTCGCGCCAAGGAGGATCTCTTGGAGACAGACTTATCCTCCTCACCCACTAGTACCCATTGTTGCCTCTCTTCCCACCCTTCTACCCTTCTTCCCATTCGTCCCGTAGCTTGCTCAGCCACTCCGCCTTGGGAGAAGGTCTCTGTGGCCTCCGATCGTTTCCGTCCTTCGACGGCTCATAGTGCCACAGCCTCCTCTATACTTACAGAACCTGGCAGTACAACGACAAGCCATAACTTGGTCACGGATTTGGAGTGCGAGGATCTGGTAGCACAGAGCAAAGAGGCATTTCTCGGGGAACCTGGGCATCGGCACACAGCTCTTGCAGTGGAGAGGACCCGAAACACACTTGTTCGCTCAGGAAAAGAGTGTTTTGGCGTCTCGCTGCAGCGAGACACCAGTCACGTGGCTCTCCTCTCGTCCGTTGACTGCAGCTCCACCTTTTCCATTTCGGCGGCCGCTTCTTGTTGCAATCTGCCAGGCTTTATCAGTATATAGGAGGCTATGATAGTACTCATGGCTTGCTCGCTGGCAGCCGTGTCGCGAAAGAAAACTTGTCATCGCTGGTGTAGCTCACGAAAACCTGGTGCGTGAGGTGGTGCTCTGAGACGCCGAGCCCCAAGTCTCTACATCAAGATGGATATGCCAACATTCGAGGACGGAACAAAGTAAGATCGCTTGCAGGGAAGTAGGACACGGCATTCCGGCAGGCAAGAGACTTACTGTCATGATCTGTGATAGTCGAGAGGCCGCATATCCCATAAAAAATGTGTGTCCTCAATCATTTGAATAGAAACATCCTCGAAATCGGCATGAAATTTCGCACTGCTCGTCGTAGGATGTCAAATGACTCGAACGACCCCAACAAGAAATTTAGGAATTTGGGTGCGGAAAAAGTTTGGTGCCGATAATCACGATGGTAATTGTCTCTACTTTCACCGTGTTTGTTGGAGCGTTTTCCATCCAAAGAGCAAAACATAAAAATTGCGCCGCCCGGCTCTGTTCATTTGTGTATTCTGAGGCATTTTGTTGCCAACTCCAGTCTTACAAGAAAACACGTTTCCTTGTCCCCGTCTGTCGGCTGTCTGTCGGTGTCATTTGTCACTCTAGTGGTATGAGGCTATACTAGACAGTTCTTTCATGGCGGCCGCCATGTTGAATTCTGACGTAGTTAAGTTGGGGAACAATAGCAAATCCCATTATTTGCCGAATGGAAGACGCTAGAATTCGAGAAGTTCTTGCCAATAATTCCACTTTTCTTTTCTGCCATACCTTTTTTTATTGTGGTTATGCTTAAACCATTTACTTTGGATTTCATCGCCCAATGCAGTTATGGCAACCTCACACGAAAACAGCCCATAACTACTCACTGCCCAACATTCAGTCTTCACCAAATTTTACGAAGCAAAAAACTTGGTTCTCCTTCCTCCCAAACATTGAGTATAACGTTAGAGCCTGGAGTTGTTTCCGTATCAAAATGCACCAGCCTGCCTTTGAAGAGAGCCAAAGAACTTCTCAGCATTGTTGCAATAGAAAGGCATACAAGAGTGCAGACCTTATTATTAACAATACAGCAGGGCCCCTCTATAAGAAAGTCAGCTTTTTCAGAAAAAATCTTCAGTGTCTTCATTATATCAATGCCTCATATGCTCGTAAAAGTATTACAAGATACTAGAACATTAGTGCTTCACGAATCTACACCTCCACTGCTATATCAGTGTTTATGTAGAGGTTTTCCTGTAATGTGCACATTATGAAATACTTAGCTCCCACTTGTGCATAAATGCACAACTCAAACATACAAAAAATAGTTGAAGCACTATTTTTAAGTTGTTTGAGTCATGCATTTATGAGCTAGTATGAGTCATGCTTCAACTGGGAGAATATTTTACTGTCAGGAAGGGGACGACTGAGAAAATGTTTTTAGTTGAGAAACTCCTCGAGGTTACTCTAGGAAATGCCTGGGTTCCAAGGAACCCAGATTGAGAACTGATCTGTAGATAAAAAAAATATGCAAACTTTTTAACATAAAAAAACAAGAAACAAACAGCTAAAAAAATTTCCCGAGCTCAAAAGACATGGAAGTGAGCATGATACAGCAAAAATCTTGTCATCTATGTAGGATTTAACATTTTCTGCTAAATCTGTAAAGACCTGACACTAACACTTGCTGGTAAGTACCTTTACAAGTTATATGTATAGAAATAAGCTCCATATGTCTATAATTATGGCCTCCTGAAAAGGCAATTACTATTCCCCTTTTTCCAGGATCGACGGTTAAAATGTGTGCCCTCTTTAGCCTTTATTTACTCTTTTGAATGCCATGCACCATATGAGAAAATCAGAGTACTTGCTATAACTTTTCGGCAATCACATAATGTATGAATGTTGCCGCATTATGAAATAGAGTCTACTTTTGCTATGAAAAAAATCTAGCTGCTACAACATAACTCATTTCTGAACAACACTGGTATATTCGTGGGATAGCTTCCCGAGACTAGAGAAAATGCTGTTGAAAAATGAAGAAGCCAAGAAACTTCTACTATATTGCATTAAAGAAGTAAAAAAATTCTACAATAATAAAGTATTTAATCTAAATTGAAAACAAAAACAAAAAAACAATAAATGTAAGTGATTTTATTCTTATCTTATTTGCAGAGGAAAAGTTTTCTTTGTCACGCAGCCTTTTATGAAATAAACAAAGTAAGGCACAAAGGCAACTCCAAAACCAATAATTTGGCATGTCTATGCAAAAAAAAAATAGTGAAAAAAAACACCAAACTTTTCGCAAAAAAAAAAAAAAAAAAAAAAAAACCAGTAATCAATTCCAGAATTTAGCCTTGGAGTTCACTCTAACACCAAATCTGCCAATGCAGAGACCCCTTTGGTCCAGACCATAAATTCCACCCTATAGGAAAAAGACAGAGATACCCAAAAGAGAGAAAGCATAGGGAGCTTTGCAGGAAGAAAGTGAGCCCACCTGAGTTCCTTTTGGGTAACCACCATGTGCGACTCGGTCATCTTGAACACGTTGTGGGCCATGCGGGCGGCGAGAATGTGCCGCATGGTCTCGCACACCAGCTGATCGCCTGGGAACAGAGACACGCGTCGGCCGATCTCAATTCAGAGATTGGGTATTGTGTCGGCCTGCGTTTCTTTCTGTAATCGCCACAGCAAGATACTTGGATGTTTGGCAGTGGTGCTCCAACGGCCAAATCGCCCAGCTACGCAGCGGTCCAGTAAGGCATACTGTTCTAAGGCAGACTGACCGTCTACGGGGTGTTACGAATTGAGGGACTTATCGTAAGATAAGCTTGAAAAACTTACAGGATACCTTAGCTTCGCCTTTAAGAGTGAAACGCGATAGCATCATCAGGCCTTGTTCGCAAAGTCCTGTAATATAAACCGGCGCTCAATCTCAAGCCGTGCAAGCGTGTGTACTAGGCCTAGTTGGCAGCATCACGCGTTAGTGACATTACATGTGAAGTTGCACGTGACGTCACACAGACACGTGATGCCACCGTGACGTCATGTGACATCACGTGTCACGTGTGATATCACGTGTCAGCGTTGTGGGTTGTTTGAAATTCCCGCAAGAGGCCATGTGGCTTGACGTCACACGTGGCTGTAACGTCATGAGCCTATCAACCAATCAGGATCTTCCGGCCCCGTCGACGCCGGATTTTCTGCAACACGATCGAGCTTCCTAACATTTTCGTGTTAAAATCTATGCCCGTGTGTAACGGGGTCGCGCTTTCATCGAAAATGCATTTCAGGGGTGTATTTCCCCTCATCAAATTTTGAGGCATGCCTAGCTTCATTACCGTGAAAAACTGTAACAATATCCTCGACATTTTCAACGACAGACGCGGCCGCGGCCGATCGAGTCGCCCAAGAGCCCTGCTTGTGGTGCCGTCCTCCCCCCAAAAGGCGCAGCAAGCACTCTGTCAAAACCAGACATTGCGTCGTGTTTCGATTAGGAGATACTTTCGGTGCAATTACTGCTTTCCTATCCATCTTACACATCATCAATTTTTAAGATTTGGGAACTGGAGTGGCGAATGTAGTAGATTGTGGTGAGCGACATCATGAGGTTTATAAGTACGTACTAGTGGATACGAGGCGGTCCTAACCGTGTCACGTCCAAATCCGTTGTATCGCACAAATGTCCGAAGCGTGAGAGAGATAAAATTAGGTTTGTGCTTGACTGCTCAATGCTTACTTAGCTACGGGGTCTAGCTGGTCTGTGTTGTCGACATGCTGCCAATCTAAAGCTGGTAAAACTAATCAAAACTTCGTAATCTCCTTTCTGGTGCTCCTGTCCGTCGGTCACGAGACAAATTGAGCATCCAGCCAAAACCTTCGAGCTCTGAATAATTTCTCTATTTAATCTCGATGGCTGATTTTGCACTGAAGATGATATTTTAGTACAGAAACCGTCACTACTACTTAATCAATAACTTCTCAATTGCTTTTGCTGACAGAGCAGCCACTGATACCACCATAATGAGAACAAGAAGGGTAACTAGCATTGATTCTTTCAATCGATGGGCTTCCATGACTGACCGTTATGTGTGGAAGTTCTAACAAACATATGTTAAAGAAATCTATCAGAACTTCTAGATTTGTGAATATTTTGCTGCATTTATCAGGGCATGTGATCAACACAGAGGACTAAAGAAGACATCCCACAAAAGGCCACAAATATTTACAGTATTTACAGGATTGTAGGTCGACCCATTTTTAAATTTTTGAAAATCTGCCCTGAGGAAGGTCGACTTTTATAATTCAAACCAAAGCATCCCATTGCTGACAAAGACAAAACAATCGCGATATCAAGAACACCTCGGCTTGCTAAGTTCAGCTGGCTGTACCACTGCCATTCTGTGCGCTCGTTTTTAGGGGTGTGCAAATATTCAAAATTTCGAATACTTCGCGAATAAGGCTTGCTATTCGATTCAATTCGCTTCACACTTTCGCTGTTCAAAGTACTTGAGTTCTTCAAATACTTCGAAAACTATGAACAAAGCAGAACTCGCTAATTAGTGTCAACTCGTGGTCGAGTTCCCTGTTTTGTTTTTGAACTGCGCAGTGTGGTTTAGAGCTTGGCAAACCCAAAAAGCCAACGTAAGTGCTTTTTTTTTTTTGTATGAAGCAATGGAAAGTGATCTGCACGCAGTACCACGATCTGTCCTTTGCTTGCCACGATGTCTGAATTGCGGAAGAGTTGGCAAAGTGGTTGTAGCACAAATGCTGCGATAGATTTGATGGAGGACTATGACTTGCAACACCACGTGCATCGTCGTGAGCACAAATGCGACGGACCACACTCACTGCAGTCCTTCCTACAGTCACTAAGCATACATGGGTAAATTACTTAAAAAATGTAATTTAAATAAAATTACAATTACTTTGCTCCAGAAGTACAATTACAATTACTACTACGGTACATGAAAAGTAATAAATTATAATTAAATCAATTTTAAAAAGTAATGCAATTACTTCACAATAACTTATCTCTGAGAGTGACCCAACTTGGGCTATGTAACTTTAAATGAATTGTATAAAATGCAACACATTTGTTCATTCCTTACCCAAATGTTCGAGAAGGCTTAAGCATCACTGCATAAATGTCAGATATTGGACTTTCCTCTTATAAAGTGTGTTAAATCATTATAGAGCTTGACAGTTTGGGGCATTGAAGTACTACGTTCTTATATTTTTAATAAATAATATTCAATTAGTTCATATGCTGGAAGATGCTACAGGAGAAATTGGGTTGACAGACTTTTGTCAGAGCCGTATATGTAGAGAGTTTGGCCATTCGTTGGGAAGTATAGGAGACAAATGAAGCGGCGCCATTGGCCGAAAGCGGGGTGGGCGTGTTCCAGGGCGTCTTCAGAAATTCGAATGTGACCAACCAGAAGCCGGAAATAATACCCTGGCGGTGGTCGCAAGAAACAAACCTGATAACTGCATTGGAGTAACTCTCGATGGCTGAAAATATGGTACACGTGATGTTTCAATCACACTCATCTGAAATGATGGTGGAAGAGTGCGACTAGCGGAAAGATCGACATAATCCTTAAGCCAAACGCCGAGCGCCGGGAATCTGCCATCAGAGCGGTCACACTCTGTCCGCGCAAAACAGAGTTGAGTGGCGCATTCGTTTCTTACATCTTTCTGCATGATCATGATGAAACAACACATGCACCCTATTTTTAACCACAAAGAGTTACTACACTTCACTCTTACGCACTTATTAAAACCATATACGAACATGGACCTTCGATGATCGATCGGCTCAGAATTGTTTCTCGCTACCACCGCTAGGGGATTCTTTTCGGCTTCTGGTTGGTCAAGAGAGCATGCCAAGCCGGCCAAGCCCTCTTTCCAAGTCTGCCGCACGCCCTGGCTCTGCCCGCGCCTCCCATTGACCAAACTCTCTACATATACGGCTCTGACTTTTGTTAGCCAGGCAAATAAAAATACAACAATTAGTCATATACGAATATTTTACAAGTGTTAATATAGAACTAAAATCCACAAGCGCTAATACGACCACATTCATATGCAAACATCACATTATTGTGAATTATTTACATTGAGTTAAAGGGAAACTCCGCTTCATTCTCGGTTGTTACCAAACACTGCGACTCTCTTTAGTGTCATCTAGAGAGACCGAATGTCAAATATTATAACGTAATACCGCCTAAAAGATCACTAAACCGGCCAACAAAAACTGAGACGCGCGAAGTCACCAAAATCCGCTAATTTAGCGGGCGACGTGCGGCGCAGCCAAAGTTGTATTTCCGTTGTGGCTGACGTCTGTTGCATACGCAGTTTTTTTCTTGGTATTTTCTTTTCCAGGGAGAGCTTACCGGGCGGCGCCACGGACGCGCTCCACGTTTGAGCAAGCAAAGAGGCGAGCCTACTACAATAGGGATGAGTGGGCGAGACAGACCAAAAAAATGAAACAAGAGAAACAAAAAGAGGAAGAGAGAGTTGTACGGGGATGAGTTTCGCTGACACACCTGCCAACCGGTGCCAACCGACTAGCCGCCTGGGTTGCCGCCTACATAGCCTGCTTCGTTGCTGCTTGCGTTGCCTGTTCGCCGCCGCGGCTAGGCCCGCCCTCCCTCCTCGCCCTTCCCCTCGCATCCGCGTCTGTCTTGGGTTACCGCTACTAGATCACATGACCCCTTGTATTCCACATGGGTGCGTATGCAACTGATGTTGAGAGTACAATGTTGCCCGGCTGTGCCGAAGTTTCAGTTTCGGTTTGCGATTATGGTAAATAACAAGATCGCACGAAAAATATTTTGCTTTTAACGTGACAAGCGGTCTAGGGTTGTTTTGAAGTACTTTCCACGTTTATATCACCCACTATCTCGAAATTTCCGAAATCAAGCGGAGTTGCCCTTTAATATTATAATGGCTCAGAAATATATAAGAACCGAATCGGGTCTCCCGAATCATTGGTGACAATATTCACAGGTGCGATAGGTCAGTCTCCAAAATGTTTATGCAAATAATATCCAAAGTAAAACCACCATGAAATAAACTTGAAAATAATACAAAGATACACGTATGCGACAATACTGAAAGAAGGACGAAAAAAACTGAAAAAAAAAGAAGAAAAATAACTTAATAGACAATTAAAATTTCCAACCTCGGCTTAAAGCTGAAGCCCAATTTTTTTCCTGTCAATATTTTGGCATGTTTACGCTACTGTTTTCTGCTCGCACTGCAGACAGCGCTACATGGAGCCGTTGAGGTAGGCTCTAAAGAGGATTCTCTCTCAGCTAGCAAAGTAAGCAACAAAAAAAAAAAAATAATAAAAATGTGACGCTATTTTTGTTAAGCGGGCGTGTGCGTGCGAGAGTGTCACCAAGCCTTGGGCCGCTTGTGGGAGCGCTGAAGCTTTTGAAAGGTTCCGTCGGTGCCGCGAAGTCTTGCAAAAGTGATTGTAATTGTTCCTGAAATTTTGAAATTACTGATGCTAGAAGGTAATTAAATTAGAATTCCTTCCAGCCGAAAGTAATTAATTACAAATACAAACAACCAAAAACGTAATTAAACTGCAGTAATTCAATTACTGTAATTGAATTGCTACTTAAGTATGCACTACAGTAGCCAAGGTGCCATGGATTCGCATATGAATTTACGGGCGACCTCAGTTGTCGGCAATATCTCGCTCGTGTTATTTTTCGCTTGATCTTCCGGTTCATCAGCTTGCCAGTATTCCTTTTGTTATTTATTTCTACCAGTTTTCACTGGTAGAGATAAACTGCTCCAGTGGCTAAAAAAAAAAGTTTTCTAAATTTACTGTTTTTCCGTGGTGCCCTCTATCGGCAGAACTATTGAATGCAGAAAGAGATGGTGCAAAGTTAGTGCAGCTGCGCGGCGCGATTGCACAATCTCCAACTCTGCTGTGACCTGCCGACCCTCCTCCACTTGTGTACTTCCGTTTACGTTCACGTGGTTGCGTTCGACCGCAATGCGATCTTTGACTGCGTTGTGGCTTGCCGACCCGCCTCCACTATTACACTTTCGTTTACATACCCTCTCTCCTTGAATGCTGGTTTAGTGACTGATCTTTTATTTCGTCTGTTTTTTATCAGTCACATGTGTGACATTTTCCTCATTGAAATAAAAGTAACCTTTTTATAAATGTTTGTTAAAAAAAATTTCAGTTCTGTTCTGATTGAGCATTCTTGTTTAATTCACATCAAATAGAAAATATGTTTTAAAAAAATGTTCTTATTCGAAACTACTCTTCATGTTTAAAAATATTCTATTTGGTTCATAACCATTCTTATTCGATTCAATTTGCTTCAAAAGATTTTGATATTCGCACCCCTCTACTCGTTTTACAACTCCTATTTTTTTTTTTCTTTTTAATCCGCGACAGGCGATTGAAATTTGAAACTCAACCTAAATGCACGGCGCTGGATGGCATGCAACAAACCGCACTGCACAGCGGGCCAGTGGCACGCCTAAGTTCCAAGGATGGCGGCCCTCAATGTAAAAGCCACGCCGAAATAGCTGGAACAGCCTCCCTCCGCGCTGTTTGTTTTCGCACGATGCAAGGTCGCACATTGTTTGATCAAGTGTCGAGCTCGTGCAGCCGTGCTGGTTCCCCAACTACATTTCTCTGTGTTGAAGCACGCCACTACGAATTCCTCCCCGCAGAACTCGACATGCATGTACCTATCAGATGTAAAGCGACTCACCACTCGTAACGGTACCTGCCTCGTTTTAGTCTTGGGCAGTGACATTGACCACTCTGTGTTCCGGGTTTCTTTTTCTACATAATTCAGCGACAAGAAGGCTGTGTTGTGTCTGATCGAGTAAATAAAGAGTGAATATTCAAAGGATGTGCGTGTCACTTCCTCGCACAATGCGGCAAAAAGCTGCAGATTTCTTAATCCAGAAAGTGGTCCTCTGCAACCATCCCGCTGCATTTCCTAGTGTGCACCTGCCTCCAAAAGAGTGCTGTTTCTCGGAGCGAGGAGCGGCCCCGCCCTAACTCACCTCTGTCACTGGGGACCTGCATGGACCCTAGGAAGCGCACGGTGAACACCTCCCAGAAGGAGCATGAGGAATCCTTGGCAGACTCCATAGTGATAGAGGAACCGCACTGGTCAAAGGGGTTGATGCGCCTGCAGCCACCAGCACAGCGACACAATCGTTTGCGACATGTGGCTGCTCGTGGCACAGAGTGCAGCTTTGCAAAGCGGCAAATGATGCTAGAAGCGATTGCCGGTACGTTGCAACGGCAGCACGAGTCGGTTATTTCCTACTTTATCATGTCACCGAGAATTAATTAGGTAAGATCCAATAACTTGCGAAGCAACAAATAAAGATACACAATAAAAAGTGGTGTACGAACGATCTGCATCCACACACAATTAGAAAACTATGGTTGAACATCGAAGAACGGGTGACAGTGCGGGCAAGTTGGCAAGTAACCTCCGCATTTTACCCGACTAGGAAGAATAAAAATACGAACAAGCGGGCATGACGTCTAGCTCAGAAAAGAAGCTAAAGTCGAACCCGGATATATCGAATTCAAAGGGGAACAAAAAATAGTTTGATATATCGATAATTTGATATACAAAAATATGTCAACTTAAGCTCCAGTTGAAATTTCCGTGCGTCTCTGCTAACACCAGAGGCCGCGACAAACGGGACCTTACCAAATAGAGCCTCAAAGAGCCGCTAAATACAGTAGAGCTTAGTTGAAAATCACAAACACCTCTGCATTTACGCCAGCCATGACCTCCACATAGTGCCAACAACAAAACACAAAAATTTAAAAAAAAAAAAAAAGTTGCATAAAAAAAAAAGCTTTTGATACATAGAATAAAGTTAAGCAAGCAAAAAAAAGAGAAAAGAAACCTCACTGAATTCAGGCAGCAAAAAAAAGAAAGGAAAAAAAAAAAAAAACGGGCAAAGCAAAGCAAAAACGGCGAAAGAAAAAGGTAAACAAACATAAGGCATTCAAAGTGTAATTGCCTCAACCGTTGTCGTGGCCCTCGACTTTAGAAAGATTTTTTTTTCCCTATATTATTTTGGGGTTAAGGAATCGCACAGCGACAGTGGCGGTGTTCGAGAAAGAGCGCACGCCACCAGTCCAACAGCGGGCACTCCCTGCTCCGTGCCCTCCCTACACGCGCCGTGCCCCTCGCCTTGTTTTTGCCTTCCTCAACTTTTTTTTTTTTTTTTTTTTTACAACTGCTTTTTTGTTGCGTATTCCCATGCGCGTATGCTGGGTTGGCGGTCTGCCAGCCCCGCAATGCGAGCTATGTGCTCACCGCCGGCGCAATCCCACCAACCGCAGGAGAAGCGAGGGGCGGCCCTACTTTGTTTGCTATATCGAGTGTCCCCGCCATGGTACTTTGATAGAGAAAAATAACGCTCTTACACTATTACATGGGATTTTCAAGGGGATGTTTGGACTGTTCGATATAAACAATAATCCGAAATATCAGGGTGTGATATAACCGGGCTCGACTGTACGTGCTAAACTTTGCATGCGCTTCTCAGTTTCTATTTCTTTTTTCCTAAGCTCGGGCAAATTATAGAAGCACGGTTAGAATGCCCTTCCCACAGAAATGCTCGGCTTGCTCGGTCAGAGGACTTACACGGCCGGTGTATCTTTCGGGGAGTGACCCGAGGTGGACCTGTCTTCCGAGGGAGAGAACATGTCGAACTGGATCGGGGTGTTAGCCAGGTACGGGTTCAGCTCTTGGCTGCCCACTGGACGAGGGGCCGGGGAAGCGGCGGCCCTGCAGGAAACACACGCACAAGCCGTTCAGCACCACGGTCCAACCTCGGAAGACTATGTGTGCAACGGTCCCTCAATAACTTGAAAGTTGGTGGAACATGCTGTCAAACGATGGGAACAGTGCACACAAAAGACGACCCCGAAAGATAGCGCTGCGCGCCATCCTTCATTGAGCCACGTAACTATAGTAATCCCTTGTTATAATGAAGTCAACAGGACAGCGAAGAAATCTAATATAAGCGGTAATTCGATAAAAGTGATAGAGCCAACAAATACAGTGCCAGCAGCCTTGAAGGTGGGCTGAAACACTACAGTACACTCTGACCGTATATTTAATCAAAGAAACCTTGGTTAGGTGCATGTCTCTAATCGACACCGGGGTGTTGGAACTCACTTTTGATGATGGTGCGATTGGGCACTCTTTGCAGCAGGTGCAGCATTGGGCAGAGACTGAGTTCGTTCGGTCTGTTGGCAAAACAGAAAAGGCAATTTTTTAAATATTGACTGAAATCTTGGAATTTTTATTGTACACTTTGAACATTTATAAATGCTCGCCTGTGAAATCTATATTGCATACAAGGTAATTAAAATTACAATTTAAGATATTGTTACGGTGATTATTGAATACTTTATTTTACGATGAATGAGAGGCTGAAAGATGGAGGTTCTGCAAAGCCCCATAAGCACTGCTGCCTCTTCTTCCTCGACCAGCCGAGCTCAAACTTCCTTCTCCTCCTCACATCAATATTTATGCAGAAATATTATTCTATGTGTCGTAAAAAGTTGCTTAGAGATATTTTCGTGGCAAAACTTTATGACATAAACATAGAGTAATTCGTAACCACCACACCATATAACAGGTAAGTACTCAACAGTTGTTGTTAGGGGGACATGAGCCAGAGGAAAACATTTTATTATTTAAAATAACCGAAGGAAATTTTCAGAGTTCATAGTGCTTGATCTCCTTTTAACAAATCTGATGCTTGTTTTGATACAGATTTTTTGTTATGTACTGCATACTATGCAGAACATAATTCTAATTTTCTGCTTTTAAATCTTCGAGTACAATGAAGAACAAAAATAATGAGCGCGATATCATTTTCAAAGGGCTAACAAAAGTTTATTGTTTTTCATAAATATAAAAAATATACATTCTGACCAAACCTTGACAAACATTCTACATATTCTAAAGCATATGTATGCCAAATTTGGTGGTGATAGAACAATATTTAAAACCAAAAAATCTTGAGCGCAAACTGTGAAGATGTCCCAAAATTGCATAAAGAGAAAAATGTGTTTGAATGTTACCACAGATGTGCGGCAGTCCTCTTTTGTGGTTGGAAAAACAATATCGTGTAAATATTTTCTGCGAGAAATTGGAGGTACAGAAGACTGCGATGAAGAGGAGACGCTTAGATCTAAACATGAATGCAAGGTTGGCCTACATCACAATTGGAAGAACCACGCACAAAAAAATTGCTCAAATTTATACTGTTCTGGGTTGCTGGGGGGTCTTCAAATGCATATTTAACTCATTGCATGGTCATAATTGGTCTTTATTATTTGTGTACATAAAACGCAGATTCAAAGATAATAAAACACCATTAAACCCAAAATCTTTTTTTTTCTTTTATTATTGCCATTTTTTATTCATTAAAGGGCAACTCCGCTCAATTCTGGAGATTTCAGTATAATGAGTGATTTCATATTAAAACGCACTAATAAAAGACACTGCACCATTTGCCTCGCAAAAAATGTGATATATACTGTTGCATTACTGCGATATAAACTGTTATATACTGCCCGCACCGCTTCACGGCAATGCCAGCTAGCGAAACCCAAACTGCCACAAACTGCCAGTATTTATTCCTCCGCGGTAGAGTCCCGCCGCTTCACGTTTCAGAAAGCTTTTGGTGCACGAAAAACAACCGAAACAGCCGCAAGCCCCGCCCCCAGCCCCCCCGCACCCGTAGCCGCCGCTCGCGCGCATACCTCGGGCGTCGGGTTTTGCGGCTCCGTTGCTGCCCAGCTCCTGCATGCCCCTCGCTACACAAGGGGGGGAAAAGGAGGGAGAAGAACGCGATGTGCCATGCCAGCCATGCACCTTGCTCCTTGCCCCCTCCCATCTCTCCTTTGCGAACGCGCACACAAAAAAAAAAAGTTTACTTTTTGTTTGTTGCTTACCGCGACTGGCGGCGTTGCTCGTGTCTTTATTTGAAAATGCGGACGTTCGGAAACGCGGACATTGTATATCGAAAATAATTGCCGTTCTCCGTTTATTTTATGGTGTTTTACCGTTCCTTTCTGATCAACCTAGAATTGAGGATTTTTTTTTTTTTTTTTGGTCTTGTCGTTTTGGAGGGTCGGCCTAGAATCGATGCCGGCCTAGAATAGAGTAAATATGGTATACTTAAAAAAAATGGTAAAAAGAAAAAAATTAAATGGCTCAAATGGCACATATTTTTACAGTGAAGCTGTTATACTCTAGCGTATAACAGCTTCGCTGTAAAAATGTGTGCCATTTGAACCATTTAAATTTTTTTTTTATTTTTTTTTTAAAGGGAAATTTTGTTTCATTTTTGTTTTTGAAAAACAATGCAGTCCTCTTCAATATCACCAAAGAAAAAACTATACGTCAAATATTGAGACCTAGTTCTGTCTAAATGCGTCCTCACATGTTGACAGAAAACTTCCCATTGGTCGTGGCAAGTATGAATAAATAAAAATAAAAAGAGGGGGCAACCAGCGTGAGTCAGACTTCCTTGGCATTATCAGATAGTAAGGTCCTAACCCATTGTTATCATCTCTAGGCATCGTCCTCGAGGTCGACCTAGAAGTCGTCCTTGAGGTCATCCTAGACGTTGTCCTTGAGGTTGTCCTTGAGGTCGTCCTAGAAGTCCTCCTCGAGGTTGCCCTCTAGGTGTCATCCTAGAGTCGTCCTACAAGTCACCGTTGAGGTCGTCCCAGAGGTCGTCCTTGAGGTCCTCCAAGAAGTCGTCCTTGAGGTCGTCCTTGATGACATCCTCAAGGTTACCAAAAAAATGCGACCTATCTATGCCCTTTAATATATAAACTTTTCTTTTTCATTTAAGTGCATTCTTTATATGGCCTTGAGTATGAGCACTCTTGCAATCGGCATCTGTGCAGGCCTATACTCCAGTTGTTGCCATCACGGCAGTTGATTTTGGTCTGGGCGTCTCCGGCCGCGGCAAAGTAACTTGCCCGGGACGGGATCGTCGTCGTAGACGCACACTCCGTGAGTTTCACCCACAAGAAATGATCACCTCATCCGGTGTAATCAGGAGTGTCCAATCAATGCACGACGCTGGACAGATCTCACCAGGAAGTTGCGATAGTTTATCGCACTCCCAGATCATACGAGTGGCGGTGGCGGGTCTACGTCAGCGGCGGCATGTGCCTTCGTAAGGGTCGTTGCGAAAAAACACACAGCACAGCGCTGGTAAAAGGGCAGCTTTTGTTGCAAGGAAGCGAACAAGGGTCCGGGTGCCCCTCGGTAGCTCTTCCAGCATCGGAGGAATAGGGCACATCTGGGCATTCCTCCCGTTCCTCTGGGAAGTGCCGAAGGGTCCTTCGTCTTCGCTGCTTGACAATTTCCCAGACGGTCATTGGTTCTCCACCGGCCGAGATGGTAGATACGTTCGGTGCAAATGCTATCTGGCTAACTGCTGCTCGCGTCTCGCCATAAGCCCACTAGTTACCGTTGATGACCACTTGCACAGGCATCCAGGAAGTGAGCAGTGAGCAGGTTGCATATTATTCCGGAGCACTTTGACAAGCTCCCGCTCGCCCATTAACGCGTTTCATACGTGTGAGCCGAGTCTGTGAACAGTACCAGTTTGCGCATATGTCCTTTGGGTTGTAAGTTTGAAGGACCTACTGGACGGCTCGGAGAAGCGCTACGAGTTTCGCGTGTGGTGCCGACGTCTTGGGTGCGAGGAAGTGAAACCGCATTTGCGTTACAGTGGGCGGTGTCCACCCTCTCAGCTGCCTGGACATACTTGGGGATTCTGTGCTTGCCATCACTGTCCTTGACCATCGATAGCAAGGTCTCTGCCAAGTCGGTGCGGACAATGGTGCGCGACGACCATGATTAGTGCACCAAGCTGTGGCTGTGCACCAAGATGTAGCTGTGCGCCTTGGCAGAGGGTTTACAGCGCTCCTAATTTCTTAATTGGGGTCCCGTGTTCCATGCCAGAGGTTTTCGGTCGGTTAGCGTAATTTGGGAGGCCCACAGAGGGGGCGAGCACTCGACACAGGTAAAAACGTGTAACATTAAAAATTACAGTTCCTCTTCTACTGGAACATTCTGGTAATAAATTGGTTCTGCCTAAACAAACCTTAGACTCCCATGAAAACCTAAGCTATGACCAGAAACCAACTTTCCTCAGACAACTACCATCCAAAACACCCTATTTGGTCACCTTTTTTTAAACAAGACCAGGATTTCTTGGATGTTACCGCACGGTTTCGATATACGGCCTCAGAGGCAGTCGTAGAGTATGGAAGAAAATGGCAGCTTCTATAATCTCAGCCGTGTTCTCCCTGCTTTGGTGACCTCAGCTTACCCTTGCCGGTGTAGTGCCTTCTTTGGGAATGGAGTGAGACCTGGAAGACGCCAGCGACTCTGTGGCAATGTTGTGGATAGTCGCGATCCACTCGTCTCGATCCTTCTCGTTGAGCGCTTGCAAAACTACGACCCTGCGGACAAGAAAGAGACACTTCGTCAGTATGCGAGTCGGTTGGGTGCAGATCACACTAAGTGCACTGCCTCTATGCTAGCAACATAAAAAGTAGTATAGTCGTTAAACAGATGGCAACGAAACCGTTCTCAGGAGTCTGCAGGAACTCGGAGCATGAACCGACGGTTCTGAAAAAATGAAAACGGTGTTTTTCTCACCGCAAAAAAATTAGCTATGCACCGCCGAACACTCAGACTCTGCCCAAAAATAGCGCTAGCAATCTGGACCCGATGCCAAAGTTTGAGAACTGTTACTTATCTGATTCAAAAGTTACCAGCGATTTTCAAAGGTTATCAATGAGAAACTAGGGCATATTCCCGGTAGCGTTTGCCATAATCTCGACATATTCACAGGCTCCGTTGGTTGCCGTTTCCTACGTTAAAAATTTACGAAAATTGCTTATAACTTTAGACTTTAGAATTGGATAACGGTAAGTTCGGTAACTTTGGCGCCTGCTTTGGATCCCTAGTGCAACATTTGAGCAGAGAATGGATGTTCGGTAAGCCAGAGTTTAGTTTTGCGGTGGTGCTTGCGGCTTGCGGTGCTTGCGGTTCAGGAACAACGACGACTACAACTCGGCTGGTTTCTTCAGTGTGGTTAACATGGTCTTCTTTTTGTGATCTCGCAGTCGCCGATTTCTGTGAGTGCACCAAGTGTATTCTACAATGACACTTCAGTTTGAAATGGGGGGGCTTTACTTGTGAAAAAAATTAGGCATGGCGTGGAATTCTGGTGGGATGTTTTGGTTCTGATTCATAACTGTGTTACGATCATGATTAAAGCTGCGTGCTATAAAGTTTGTGACATTCATTACTTATTTTTTTTCTAGCTTGCACGCTAGATCTTTGTGGAATGGTAGGACCAAGATGTGTTTCTTGCATGGTCTGTTCAACATCACTGCACCAACATCGGGAGAAAAAACTACTCGCTCGTAAGCTCAGCTCCGACCACGCGTCTTTCGCCGAATATATAGAACATTCGAGTGGCCGAACACTAGGAATTCAATTTGCAAATAGAATTATTAGGGAATTTACTACTTGATTCATATTCATATATTTGAGTATTCGCACAGCCTTATAGACCTATTGCTATATTACCCAAGCATCAAGGAGAATGCAGGGATTGATGTTCCACGCGCCGCATGTGCTGGCCTCAGCAGTAGTAACTTTTCTAAAGCAAATACCTAAAACATATGCCACAAATGCCATCTTGCATGTGCGTTTGTCAACGCTTTATTTTGGACATTTACTTCAAACCTTTTATACGGGGAAGGAGTGCACGTGTGGCGCGTGGAAAACCAATCCCTGCATTCTCCTTGATGCTTGAGTAATGTAGCAAATGGTCTATTGAAAAGTGCTGTACACTGGCCCTCAAACAAACATTCAGTTTACTATGTGTCATACATATTTAAAATGCACAACTTCCCTCAGATGATAAGGGGATAAGTAGATTTGAGCAACCTACTTCTTGCCATTGGTTATCTGAAAGACGTTGCGACGATCCTCTTCGAGCGCTTGGGCAGCCACCATACGATCCAAGTCCATCACTGCACTGCCCACGCTCTGCATGTCAGCCCAAAAGAAGAACCAACATCCAACGTCAATCAGTCATTCGCAGAAAGAAAAAAAACAACTAACGCAGCCTTCCTGCTGGTTCTCCAGCAGAAAGGCTGGAGAACCAGAGGTACAATACTCGGACATCATCTGCTAACGTGCACATTTTTGTCAAGGTAATTTTTGTGTGCTTTATAGTTTTTAAATTGCACAAAGAAAGGGTTAGTGCTGTGCAAATATTTGAGTACCATAAAATACCAGAGGAGCGCCCACACCACGTTTGCTGAAAACTGGGTTAATCTAGACGTGGGCACTTTTCAAGTCAAATCGGGTGATTAATGCATCACTTGCAGAATTCCCAACTTTGGGAAATGTTATTAGTGGGCTCTCGAACGAAGTGGGCGCTTCCGCGGCAGGTTAGCCTCCTTGGGCGCTGTCCTTAAAGAGCACTGTTGCACTAAAGAGAAGCACCACATGCGGAGCTCGCTTCCATAGGTGTTGCTTCTCTGCAGCACAGCAGTGCTCGGAAAGAAGTGCGCTCAACGGGGCTAAAACACCGCAATCAAGACTTCGAAAAGTACAAATATTACAGTTGTGCGCTTAGGAGGAAACCACTAATTCTAAGCAGGATGGTGCATGCGTGCATTTGGTGTATTTAAATAAAAATGAAAACTTGATGAATGTTGATATTTACATTGCAATAAAATTATAAAAATTAAACTGACTAATATGCCTGAATATATGTTAGACAGCTGCTCCAACAACCCGCATTTGACACTCGTGACAAAAGAAAATATATTAGTATCTAGCAAGAATATACCTAAAGCCCCATGATTAGGTATACTATATTTACTCGCAATATGAACACACTTTTTTTCCCGAAAAAATGACACGTTTGTTCATTACGCAAAGTAAAATTTTTGCATTTACTCACTTAGTGCAAATGTCATATTAACTACCAATATGACATGGCACGGTACTGTAGCAAGTCTGCACCGATGAAGGCAGACCCACGGCTGGTGGGGGATGCACCACAGTAACCATGCTTTATGAATTGCAATCCTTTTTAGAGCGCTTTTGACATGCCTTATGCCGAAGGAAAAGCGCTCTACGAAGCTCACTCAGCATGGAAAGCAACAAGACCGTTCTTAGGCGATATATATGTTGCTAGTATCCAGCAACACTCTCGGGCATATACCGCAACTACGCGTATAAGAACTCCTACGAAGTATAACCACCGACTGCCGAGGCCTGCTCGCACGGATCAAGTTTCGTTCAACAGAGACTGCTGTTACCAGGGGCTACCAGACATTCTCAACATACGACGCAGAGTGCACGAATTAAATAAACGCATTTACCCGGAGTATGTGAAATTAGGCCTAACCACTTTCATGATTTCACTGTCCGAAAGTGGACCACAGACGACGGCGTGTTTGCTGACATCAATGCATCCGATAGGCGAAGAACGTCTGGGGCTGGGCAATTCCTTGACCCAAGCTTCAAGTGTGCACGCCGCTCAGTTTCACGGTTGATCACTTTCACAACTACCACAACTACGCATTTGCAGCCATTGCAAGAGCAACTTGGTTTAGCTTGACTTGGCCTCACCGCTTGGCGGCGAAAGAAAATTGGTTTGGTGGCTAGCTAAATTGGACGCAATTCGGGACTTGCGCAGCTGAAAATTGAAAATGCGTTCATTATGCGATGGAAAAAAAAAAATCAAAATATTGGTACTTGCTGTGGGGGTGCATTCATTATGCGAGTAAATACGATAGTTAGTAGGGCCGGACGTCGATTAAAATTTGAACTCAATTAATTGCCACCCTTTAATCAATTAATTAATCGATTAATCCATCTAATTCATTTCCATACATAATAAACAAAAAGTCAATAATTGTAGAGCCCTTCCACTTCACATGAAGATACGAGGACCAGCGAAGCTGCTATTTTTACGATGTCTAGGACGATGCCTCAAGGACGTGTAGGACGACCTCCAGGACAACCTCAAGACTTCGAAGATGACTTCTAGGACGACCTCGAGGACGACGTCTATGACGACCTTCAGGATGACCTTGAGGAAAACTTCTAGGACGACGCCTAAGACGACCTCGAGCACAATGCTTAGAGATGACAACAAGGGATCAGGACCTAACTATCTCATAACGCCAAGAAAGACTGACTCATGCTGGTTGCTCCCTTTTTTATTTTTATTTATTTATACTTGCCCGAATCAATGGGGTGCTTTCCGATAACATCCACATACACATTTCTTCCCAGATCCTGGCGCATAACAGCTTCGCTGTGAAAAATGTGCCTGTGTTGAATATGTGACAAACGGCGCAATACACAATTTTGATATTGAATAAACCTCAATGTGTGGTTGAGAACAGTTCAAAGACAATAACAGATTCTTACTTCAGCTGCATGACGCAAAGGGGTTCATGGATATACTCCGGCAAGAGCGACCTCCATTGATTGTTCACAATAGTCTCTGCTGTGCTAAACAGACACTCGGAAGGTGCTGAAATGACCGGGATATGTGTAACCTTCCGGAATTGTCTGGAGTTACAAATCTTGCCCCTACAGTTTACTTTAGTCTCAAATTTCGCCTAAAGTTTGCATTCATACAGGTGTACTCGTCCATGTCTGCGTGGTGAAAGCGTGTAATTTTTACTTTTTTTTGTTTCATCAAAATCTTACCGATTGACCAGTTAAAAAAGATTAGTCGCAATTAAAGCGTTAATTGATTAATCGGTAGGCTAATTGATCAATCACCCAGCCCTAATAGTTAGACTGCTCTATAGGTTTAATTTTATGTCAAATGTGTGGTTCACTTGCCATCCCAATCTAGGTATTAGACTTTCTGAGGCCACAGTCTACCGTGTTTATTCGAATATAAGTCAACCTTTTTTTCTTTTTTTCAGAAATTGTGACCAAAGAATTTCGACACCTACATTCGCGACCAAATTTTGCGACCCTACCGGAGGCATGAAGCTATCGAGTCACCGAGCCGGCGTTGCCGTAGAGCTGCGCCGCTTCTTGTTTCAAAAAGCTTTTGATAACCGAAATGGCTCGCCGCCCGCGGTGGCCGGTGCCGCTATCGCGCGCACCCCTCGGGCGTCAGATTTCGACATCGCGCCTCTAGCGTTCCCCTTGCTGGGCAACGGGGAAGGAGAGGAACGCGATGCGCCATGCACTTTACCCTCCATCCTCGCAAACGCGCAAAAAAAAGAAAAAAAAAAAAAGTTACTTTTGTTAGTTGTTTGAGGCAACTCGGCTCGCGTGTTGCTCATGGCTACACGGCGGCTTTGCTTGCGTCTTTGTAGTTTGTCTTTCGTCGCTTCGCACCTTCTTTCGTTTCTTGTCGTCATTTTACAACGGTGTCAGTGAAGTATTGTTGCGAATTTGCGAGGATGTCTACCCAGCTGACGAAGCTTCGGACGACGATGACATGTCCAGAAGTTCTGACGGTGATGAAGTTTTTGGCATCGCCCCGTGATTTAGCTGAGAGTGATGTAAATAAAGGTTTGTTTCTTTCTTTTGCCCAAAATTTCCCCTGTTCTTAAAAATAAAAAAAAAAGGTCAACCTATATTTGAATTATTTTTTTTTTTTATTCTCGGTGGATCCAATAAATAGGGTTCGACCTATTTTCGAGTAAATACGGTATATAGTTTGATTAAAGTTAATTTACCTTATAAACAAACAAGTAGAAGCTGGGGAACAGCATTCACAAGTTCAGCTGGGTTCTTGTTTTAACATGGTGCACTAGAAACTATTCAATGTGCTATTCAAAAATATTTGACAAAAACTGGTACTCATCTCAAATTTGTTTCAAACTCAAAATGCACTATTCACACATGCCTATGTCTTTGGCATTTCCCAAGGGCCTTCAAAATGCATAGCATATGCATTGCCCACGTCCGCCTGAAACCACAGTTACACTGAACGGATTGTTCGTGAACCGATGCTCGAATTGCCGGTCAGCCACTGTCCAATGGTAAGTGACTTGCTGTCACTGCTGGGACCGGTACTCTTGTTTTGCATCCGCTTTCCTTGGGGGTTCTGTTATAAAGCGTTCCATACTTTAAAATAAGCGTACCTCTCCCTTCGGTATCTGCATGAGGTGGCAGCCCAAGGTGTAGAAGTAGGTACGATCCCACTTGTTCACCATGCCCGCAATCTTGCTGTAATCACAAACAAGAGGGCACAAGAGGTCACAAGGTGACTGCGGCAATGTGGGTCGTCAAGAGCGGTGACGGGGTGAGCACAGCTGTTAGTGTTGGCGATCGATCTGTGCCAAGAACACCTCACCAGCAACTGTAATCAAGATAAAGCTGTTCTTTGCTCTTCTTTCGTTCTCTCTGTGTTAACCTTCAAATTAAAAATAAAGCTCTATGTGATGCCAAATCTATGTTAGGGCTTTGCTGCAAGCGTGTAGCGATGCTACGCTCACATTAACCAATTTCATCTACTGCTTGTCACGCCAACTACCGTGTTTGCACGATTCCAACATGTCCCCAAACGAGCAGATTTAGCTCCCAGATATTCAAAAAGTAAATTGCTGCCGATTCTACCGCGCAGGTAAAATATAAAGGTTGAACGCATACCTCATAAAACGAATTTCATGAAACGCACACCAACACAAAACTAAGTACCATGCACTACTGTTGAGACCGGTTAGAACGAAGTCAACGGAAATCAGAAATCACTTCGCTATATCCGCTATTTCGTTATAACCGACTTCGGTTATAACCAAGTGCAAAAGCCAATGGGAAATCCTGATTGCTTCGATGTAGCGGCTATTTCGTTATAATCGATTTTGTTATAACCGGTCTTGGCAGTAGTAGCCGTTGTCGGAGTCCAATGATGGTTCTTCACTGTTAATAGAGGTGATCCTTGCTATCGTCTAAAGCGTTTTTGGGTGCCGCGCTTCATGTGCCTGTACGAGTGTGAGACCGTCGCCTCTGGGAGGGTCGTCTTCCAAACGACACTTTGTGAGCTTGTCGGGCCGCCGGGATTGCGAGGCCATGCAATGCTGCTCCGTTATCTTTCCCCACAAGCGTGATGACCTCTCGTTTAAATAAAGCCTCCTAGTGAAATTTCTTTTGTTTTTTTATCTTAAAATGGAAGATACGAGTTTGTAGACGCAGGAGAATGCACGTGATAAGGATACCAAAATGGCAAATGTAAACATACGGTCATGACGGCAACGGAGCTAGCCACCTTATACCGAGTACCGCAATTGTCATTCGAGTTTCGGTTTTAGTTTTGATTGTAACGCACCGATTTTGGCAAACAAAAGTGCACGTCAGAATTATGCAAAGACGATATACGGGCACGATAGTCCAAGACCGTTACTATTGCGTCATCGGATGTAAATTTCGACAGTCACACGCAACACGTGGCGGATCGACAATACGCGAGAATAGAAAGCCTGGAGGGAGGAACGCTAGGGGGGGATTTTGGCGGTGAAACGAAACACCGTCACGTTGCCACCTGGAAGGTGTTGGCGGGGGTGTACCAGCACTTACGTGCGGTGGAAGAGGAAGCCCGCTTTTTGAGAGAGGCTCGTGTTGGGCACTGCCTGGCCCGTGTCCGGGGGCAGCTCGGCAAAGTAGGATGCCTCGCTCTGCTGGGATAGGGCTTCCGTCTCCTTGGCCGCACTCTGCACCATCGTGTCCAGCTCCCTCTGCACCCTGCACGGCAACATTCGGCGTGTGAGCTTGGTGACGTACAAGACGCCACTTCTTTCTCGGGCAGATTAGTCCGAGATTCAAGCCCTACGTGAACAAACACAACTTAAATAATAATACAATTTAAATAGTTTTGTCAGGTCAAACAGCACGGAAATAATCTGTTGGCCCATGGATGCGGCGAACTGCTTGCATGTGGGTCAGGTGGCCAATTTAAATGCATGTATGTATACAGCAAAGAAAATTCTGTTTCACAGAACGATACGTATGTGTGAATTGTGGAATTTGATTTTGAGGCGAATTCAAAACGAATAAGTAGTAGTTTTGGCCAAATGTTTTCGAACTGAATATTGAACAGTTTCTCCAAGCTTTTCACTACTGCACCACGCTTAAACAAAAGCCCAACCAAACTCCTCGGAAAGTTCACTGCCTACATTGAAATAACGAGTAAACAACACATTTGACATAAAATTAAAATATAGAGATACCCAGCTATACCTAATTGACATAGTTTATAAAGCTTGATATTTAAAAAAAGAAAAGGGGATCACTAATGATGAACTTGGGCTGTCAGGGTATCTCTACCTAACATACTCTCAAATAATAGCCACAGTTTAATTTTAAGTTTTCCTGCAATGTGGGTGTCAACATTTGCAAAGTTTTAGTTTCTTTTTAAATACACCAGGCAAGCGTGTGTGCCATCCAGCTTTGAAAGTGTGTTTCTCTCTTAAGCACGTGACTTCAATGTTAATATTTTTTTAAGCGTTGGTTGTTGCGGGTAAAAGGGCCCTGAGGGCTAACTTTCTGAAATCAACACCTCGAAAAACGTTAATATTGCAAGAGAATGTCAAATAGCGCGTTATTCAAAACTGCTATTACAAAGTTGCAATACAGTTGAACCTCCTTATAACAAACACTGATATGGCAAATTATCCGATATAGCAAACTAATCACAAACTTTGGTTGGTCATGTTGTATTTGGATGGGAGTTCTAGTTATATAACGAAACTCTCGCTGTCCACCGCGGGAGGACAGGTGGACGGTGAGACAACGTGCCACAGCTCGGCGCCTGTGGAGCGAAAGCTGGTAAGAATTCAGGAACTTTGGGTTCGGTCACCATCCCTGCCAGCATAGCATCCTGCCCGCAGAGCATGCGAACATCGTATTGGCACATGGTCGTGCGTCGCTACCGCACAACGCATGTCAAAGACCCTAGGCTAGCGGTGGCCAAATTAGTCACTCACAACCGAAACACGACGCCCAATGGGGCCGACCAACTTCCTGCCGTACAAACAAACACACGACACAATCACTCCGCACACCGCGCGTGCATGTGCACAATGGATGCTCGTTGAGACGCCACGCTTCAAATAGTGTGAAGGCCGTCGTCAATCCCCGATCAAACGAGGCACGACTCACTCTCCAACGCTGGTGCCGATGTTTGCGAGGAAGTCGTCCTGGTCGGCCGAGTGCATGGTCTCGTAGGCGATGCCGAAGAAGGACTTCATTGAGTGCACGTAGCCCAGCAGGGGCTCGATCAGCGCAATCTTGCGCCGGTACTGCAGCGCATTCAGGTAGGCATAGAACTTGAGCGAGAGCTGCGCAGGCACATGCCACGAAAGAAAACGGTCACTTTCAGATCTTCCGGCAGCTGCGAGTCGAGTTCAACAACCGTAATGTCCTAAGAGATAGCCCACCTAAAATCGAGAGCAAATCGCGTTAAAATAAGGACTGGGCCAACTTTCAGTGTACAACCGAGAAAAGTAAAAAAAATGATATTTTTAGATAATGTTTTCTATCACGGCAAGGAACCACAAAACAAAGATGACTGTACTTCCCAGCCAGCAATATTCGCTTACATCCCACGCTTGCTATCTAGCCGCATTTACGCCAAGCCATCATTGATCCAAACACTTCCATTACTAGAAATGAGCTATCTTTCGGTGTTTAAAAGGAAATAACAAATCAAGCTAAAAATAGGGGTGGCTTATATTTCGGGGGTAGAACGTCCCTCGGGACACCACGGTAGTACAATCACTGACAGGACAAGAAAGGTGGGGTGTCTTTCTCGAACGGCTGGCCTTTAGCGTACGCTCATTGCTACCGGCGTGCGCCGGCTGCGCATGCGAGCTCGAGGACCACGAGGTCACGAGGCAGCCGAGTGTTAGCGAAAGTAGGTAGCTCGTGTCGGACGAAATGGAGAAAACCGTCTGTAGCCAGAAAGTGGTACAGAGCCAAGAGACAACAGACAGGCAGAAGGAACAAAGGGACTAGTGCTACCGTATGGAACTTCTTGTTGGCGAGGTAGACCTCCTCGCTGATGTCCAACTTCTGTCGGTCGGTGTCGCGTTTACGGGACTGCCTGCAGTACCTGCTCAGCGCCTGCTCTTTCTCTGCAAAGGAAAAGGTGCACTTCGTTCGAGCGCGCACGCACCAGCCAGAAATGATCGTTTTTGTGCCGATTCGTTTCTGGAACTGGAAATTACCCCCTTGTAAGAAACTTGCCATACTTCCTGTTCGTCGATGGAATGCAAGAACAGGCGCGAATATTTACATCGATGGAAGCGGAATTGGACCGTTTTGTAACAGGTTTTGTAGCGCACAAACTATTGGTTTGGAGTGGCCAGTAACGCACCTGGAGCAAATCACTTCAGACGGAAAATGTCGTAGCGTTGATAAATTACCTAGTTTATTTCTGATAATGAGTGAGGGTTCCTCTTTGATAATGACACATATCAATCCTTACCTTTCAAAGTGAGAATAGATAAAATGCAAAAGGAACACATAGCCTTTATTTTAGAAATAAGGCTCAGGTCAGAGTAGCTTTCATTTACAATGCATATTATAAATATGATTAAAAAAAAGAAAGGCGTTTACAACTCCCCATGATGCCAAATTAGGGTGCAGCTCTTGAGGAGGGAAAGGGGAGGGTACGGAGAGGAAGGTATGCACCTCCTCCTCCTCCGTACTCTCTCAGAATGTCTAACAAATTATTATTTTGAAATTCCCTGACTTTTCCAGGTTTTCCCTGACAATTTCCAGTGAAATTCCTTGACCACTGTAGAGGCGTTTAAATATATACGACCATAACAACACGAGACATTGAGCATTGAGCCCTGTGATGATCATTTTGCGTGCACTTAATTCAACTTGCATATTCGAAAATATTTGCGTTCGTCCGGTCTAAATTAAACAAACACTTTTTTGCCGCCGACATCGTCAGTGAAGAGGCCACTTCCGGCAACACAATGAAAACACAACGCTCAACCACAGACGTCAATAACCGAATGGCAGCATGGCCGCCAGAAGCACACTTTCAAATATTTTCGGCTCAAGGCTTGGATTGGGGTCTGCGGCTTTCCCATTTGTTACTAAATCTAGTCGTTCTAACTGGATCTAGCCTAGTGTAACACCTTCAATCCAATCCAATCCAATGCAATCCAAGGCAAGGCAAGGCTTGGACTGGATCCGTCGGCTGCTCCCTTTGCATCGAGTACCGCACTCCACATCGGGTGAGCAGAGCCCTCGCTCCACTCAAGCAGAACTTATTGCCTATTTTTCAGCCGCTAAGTCCTCAAGTCTTTGCTCAGGGCACTAGATGGTGTCTCTGGCTCATTTTCCCTGAGTGGGCTGGCATTTTGACAATATCCCTGACAATTCCCAGATTTTTCCCGGTAAATAAAATTTCCCTGACAATTCCCGGTCGCTAGGCACCCTGCCTCTCCTCCTCCTTCTCCCTTCTCAAGCCTTCTCGAGCAGAACCACGCCTGTGTCACTGTGATGCCTTGAGTTAATAAAGCTACCGTATTTATTCGAATATAGGTCGACCTTTTTTTTTTTCGGAAATGTTGTAAAAAATTAAGGGTCGACCTATAATCGTGACCAAAGAATTTCGACCTAATTCGCCGACCAAAATTTGAAACCCTACCGAAGGTATGGACCTATCAATCACCTAGCCGGCGTTGCGGTAGAGCCGCGCGGCTTCTTGTTTCAAAAAGCTTTTGATGCACAAAAACAACCGAACAGCAGCAGCCGACAGCCCGCGGCCGCCGGCTAGGGCTCTCGCGCACGTTCCTCGGGCGTCGGGCTTCGGTTTCGCCATCACGCCTGTAGCGTTCCCCCTGCTGGGCAAGGGGGAAGGGGAGGGAGAGGAACGCGATGCGCCGTGCACTTTGCCCTCCATTCCTCTCTTCCTCGCAAACGCGCAAAAAAAAAAAAAAAAAAACGAAAGTATTTTAGTTTTTTTTTTTTTTTTTTTTCTTCTTTTTCTTTTTTCGGCGGGTGGCGTGTTGCTCACGGGGCTCGCAGCTTTGCTCGTGTCTTTGTATTTGTTCTTTCGTCGCTCGCCCGTCTCCACCTTCTTTCGTTTCTTCTTGTCGTCATTTTACAACGGTGTCAGTGAGGTATTGTTGCCGATTTGCGAGGATGTCTACCAAGCTGACGAAGCTTCGGACAACGATATGTGCGGAAGTTCTGACGATGAATAAGTTTTTGACATCGCCCTGTGATTTAGCTGAGAGTGTTGTAAATAAGGGTTTGTTTCTTTTGCCCTAACTTTCCCCTGTTGCTTAAAAGAAAAAAAAGGTCGACCTATAATTGAATTATTTTTTTTTTTTTATTCTCGGTGGGCTCAATAAATAGGGGTCGACCTATTTTCGTGGTCGACCTATTTTCGGGTAAATACGGTAGTGGTACTTCCACGAAGCCTATAACGTTGTTTAGTCTCTATCTGCAAGTAACAGCGGCATTCCATCCTTTGTCGCGGTAGAAAACGTCAATTTCTCTCTTGGACAACGAAGTCATGGTGCAATGTTGGAGTTTCGCGGCACTGTGGGGTGGTGAACAGGTTCAGTCCATCCTTGCTGGCATCTGCTCGTCGTCTCCCTCGAGTGGATGCGCTTGGGGGACGGACAAACCGCGGACAAGCCGTCACGTGATCAATCCGTCCGTCGATCAGACCGTCCTGTGAATCGGCCATTACTGCCACTCAAACCGGAGTTGACTCAAATGGTGCAATAAATAAAAATAATGTAAACGACTCTATTTTCGCGGCCTTAATATTTCTTGAATTTAGCAAAGTGTGAGTTTTGGGAATATTAAGCAAGCACAAAATTTTATGATTTAGAGTACCGTAAAATCCTGAATTAACGCCCCCCTTTTCGCCGTAGATAATTGGCAAAAAAAGTGGGGTGGGCGATCTTTCAGTATTTAATAACCAAAATCACAAACAAAAATCGAGTAACGCGTGCGCCAAAGCAGCGTGGGTTTCCCTAGCTCTCATCGCTGAAACCGTCAAACGACACATCGCTTTCGCTATCGAAGATTAAATCTAACGCCTCGTCAATGAGGCTCTCGGGATCCTCGGGTCCATTGGTTACCGAAGCCAAACGGTCGTTGAGCTCGCCGTCCTCGAAACCATCGAGCCTTGTGGATATTCCGCACCGTTTGAACGAACTCCGCACGGTATCCTCGGAGACGGAGGCCCACGCCTGAGCCACGAAGTCCACAACCTCTTGACGCGACGGCTTGCGAAGGTTGCCCTTTGGAGTCACCGAACCTTTCCGGAAGAACGATGCCCAAATTCCACGCAGCGCGTCCTTGAAGGGCTTCATCCATGAGACGTCCGCGGGTTGCAAAATGGACGTGCAACCGCCCGGTATCAAGACGACGTCGGTGTCTTTTGCGTCGAGCGCTTCTCGAGCCGCCTGTCTTGTGTATGGGTGCTTGGTCCAGTATGAGCAGTCTCCTCACGTCGTCGGCGTTCGGGCCCCAAACTCTCCTAGTCCACTCCAGTAGGACGGGAGAGGTCATCCAACCGCTCTTGGAAGTAACTCGCACATTTGCTGCAAGTACAACAAGTATAACATGAAATAACAGTTTGGGCCCCAAACGCACATTACACATGCTACGCCGATGAGTGAAGATATGCGAACTGCCAGATTTTATGGCCGAAGCACGCGCACGTGAGTAAGCTTCGGAAAGCCAGCAAGTCACGCGCCAACTGCTCGTGCGCTCAAGATGGCGCCGGCCAGAACGGCTACGCCATCTTTCGGAAATGGGGCGATACAAAAGAAAACGGGCTGTGGCGTTTTGTCAATGGATGACGCAACAGTCGCTCTATTTAAAAAAAAAAAAATGCTGTCAGCCTTATTTTTACGTATTTCTAAGGCTTTGTTTCGACATTTATACCCTGAATGGTGATTAATTACAACATACCTGGAATCCTTAGAGAAAAGAGTACTCTGGGGGGAATCCGGCCGGTTGGCTCCTTCAGTACGATCAAAGCAGGTAGCTTGATGCCCGCTTGCATCGCGCACAAGGCCACCGTCATCCCTCGCCGAGCACAGCCGGTGTTGGCGATGCGAATACTCGACTCGCCGACAGCATTGTTGGTTCTCGCAGCAGGGCAATCCATCCGGACCATAGTCTGATCCATGTTGGCTATGTTGTAGTCCGAGTAGTTGTGCTCCAGGCGCAGAGTTGACACAGCCTTTCGCAACACCGTAATTGCTTCAACGTAGTCGGCGGGCAGCTTCTGACTTTCGTTGGTCCCCACCCGCATAGACACATTAAATCGCTTCTTCCAGTTAGCTATGTACTGGCATGACGCTTGGAAGTTTCCTTTGCCCATCTGTTCTGCCAGTTTCCGCGCATGCTCTTGAAGCAGGCGATTGCTGACTGCTCGACCGGCGGACCTCTCAGTCTCCAGGAAGTCCATCAGTGCGTCGTCGATTTCTTCACTAAAAACGGGTCGTCCCCTACCTATTGCTCTCTTCAACTTGTTCGTTCCATGGCATTGTTGTAGAAGTACTTGGTAGCTCGTATTCCATTTCCGTACACGCTTCCGGTCAACTTCGAAATGGCGCGCAGTCTTGCTCACGTTAGCTCCGTTCTTGCGGTGCCATTCCACGACTTCCACTTTCTTCCGGATGGTATAGCTGGACCTCATCCAGAGTATACACAAGAAACGTCTTCACAGTTTGCTGGTCGAAAGATTTTCTGGGGTTCTCGGGCGATCTGACGACAACCACTAAGTGACCTTCAACGCTTTCCTGATGTCATTCAATAAGTGACCTTGACCGCTTTCCGGGTTCCTTCCGTTATCTTATCTCCCTTATTGTGTGTGGCCTCTTCTTTTTGTGAAGGGAATCCTAGGTTTCCAAACCTTCTCCCCTACCCTCCGGCACCTTTCTCAACCTTCGGGCATCGCTATTTTTGGAAGGTGGGCGACCTATCAGTATACAAGGGAAACACGTGTTCGAACATAAAAGCGGAGTGGGCGATCTATCGAGTGTGGGCGCTATTTCAGGATTTTACGGTAATACTCTATCTCAGGGGTGGCCAGACTGACCTGGCCTAAGAGCTGCAAACAAAACCATGAAACTTCCAAGAGCCGCAAGGGGAGGGGCAAACTATAGTTTGGAACAATAAACGAAACTCAAGCTACTTTCTATCTATCCTAGTCAAAAGCAGTCCGACTGTACGGAGGGTAGCAGTAGCTCAAGACTACCACACTGCCACCTGTTTTTTTTTTTTTTTATATAAAAGGCATTCATTTCACTTTTTGGGGAAGTGCTCGTGTGACCGGGAGGGAGGCGGAAAAGTTGAGGGGGGGGGGAGGTGGTAGGGGAGGGAGCCGCAAGCTGCACTTTAACATGCGAAGCCGTTAAAGTGCAGCTTGCGGACTCGCAAGCCGCAGCTTGGCCAACCCCTGCTCTATATATTCATTACCCTGGGGTGATATATTCGCAGGACCTATTTTTAGCGATATTAAGTTGCGAAGTTTGCGAAAAATTATGTCTTAGCAAAAATTAAGTCGTTTAGAGTGGTAAAGGTTGTACAAATTGCACACAAAAAATAAAGAAGAGTTGAGAAAAGATGAATGAGGCAAACATCTTCATTGTGCAATGATCTCCTGAGTTACGTTTAGTTGGCGTTGGCGACTTCTACCATGCAGAGCACACTTACCAGCAGCGGCATTGCTGTACTGCTCTTGAAGTTTGAAGATCTCTGGGGGAAAACAAAACAATGAACAAAGAAAAGGTCACTACATTTAAGAAGGCTTGTGACTGGAGTAAAAAAAAAACATGCTTTTCACTATAAATTAGTTTTCCAATCTGCATAGCAAATATGCGGGCTGAAAGAACCTGCCAAAATAATTGCCACCAAAAGCAATTGCACTAGTTACTCTACTCATAGTAGAGCTCACAAATTACTTATGGCATTTTATCTACATGAGCACACTGGAGGGCGTTCATGTACCACTCCGCCGTGATGCACTTTAAAGGCCCTAGGCAAGTGATCGTACGGCACTGGCTAAATTTCTAATCTACAGCGGAGACATCAGATGGCACTTGGGGAGGACTAACTACCCCCTGTTTAAACTCCCATACGACCAATTGCTTCCTCCACTTCATGGCATGTCATCTATGTTTTAGATGGAATTACCAACTTCGGGGGCAATTAGCACTTCATTTTTGTTAACGAGAAAACAATGCAGTTCTTCTTAATCTCATTTAGGAAGACTAGAGAACAACAAATATTATGATCTAATCCTATTCAAATGTTTACTTGGCAGGCCAGCAAGGTTTTTGACATGCACCACGTCTTTGAAACCCTGCAATACCACTGTCGAGACTGATTATAACAGAGTCAACGGGAATCGGAAATCACTTCGCTATATCTGCGTCTTCCCATTATATTTAAACTAACAAAACTAACATGCAAAAAAAAAAAAAAAAAAATATTAAGATAACACGAGTTGTCACGAGCACATATTTATTGTGCTTGCAGAAAACAGTAGAGGATTCCCTGCACACACTCTCTGCTAGATCGGAGCCGCTTCTCAACAACTGCAAGAAGCTCCGATCGACAAAAGATCCTGCGAGCTACGCACGGACCATGTCAAAAGCTTCGATGCCCGCCGCGGAGGACGTTGGTGGTGGATGGCATTCTTTACGTTTATGGGCACTACGTCGAGGATGGCAAGCTTATGTTTCAAGGAGATTGCCTTCGTCTACTCCGTTGACGTGCCAGCAATGCACAGACTCTCCATCGTTGATTGGCGATGACTCGCTGAATCGGTGCTTGAGCGAAGTTAGACTTTCGCACAGGAGCAATCCACTGACCAGTGATGCCGACACAGAACACGAAGCAAACAAAGAAGCACGCACAGCACCCAGTTCGCGCTCAAGCTTGTTTTTCGTCGGCCTAGAGAGCCTAGATTTAAGGGGGCACTGACACCCTAAAGATTGTATTTGTTTTTGTTGTCAAAAATGATGCAAGTTGTGGTCATAGACACGCAAAAAAATTGCAGTACACAAAGAAAAAAGATTACCATGCGCACACACTCCTTTTTATTTTTGGTGCCCTTCTCTCCTCCTCACCCGCTCGCTTTTTTTTATTTGCGACGTAATCGATTTCGAAATTTAGAGGCTTTGTAAGCAACATTTCTATAATATTTAATAACAGCATTCGTAAAACATGTTCAGCTGACAACCAGTGTCTGCTGGTGTGATATTTTGACGATAGCGCGTCCCGATTGACTGGAAATTCTGGTGATCTTGCGTCATGCGGCGTCTCGTGTAAACCACGTCTGATCACACACGGAACAGCTAGCACCAAGCGCGTATGCACCGCACAAATCACTCGGTCGCACCGACGGGTCCATTTTTTGCACGAAAACTTCCTCTCCTACGCACCGCTTCGTGTTCAAGCACAGCATGGTCTTGATGTTGAATGCGTTTCATCTTAACACCTAGGGTGAGACCATTGGCACCTTCGCATCGACAACATTCTCTTTCACGGGCGACTTCCCGCCGTCGAGCAGCCGCCACTTGCTCTAGGGTACGCTTCAGCCGCCCCACTCTTACGCGCGAAGGGGAGAAAGAGCAGGTGGCAGGGAAGGCGATCACATGATTCCCGGCGCAATCGCGATTGGTCAAGTGCACTGCAACTCAACCGCGACCACAATCAGCAAAAAGTGCGAGAGTATTGCTGCTGTATTCGCCTTGTCCCGGCCCCAAAGCCACCTGCGATAAATGCGCGCGTGCTCCGTTCATTTCCGCAAACACGGTGCCCACCCAATACAACGAGCCCAGTAGAGGTGATGCTGCAAGAAAGTTTGAGAACCCCTGCCTTAATGCAACACTTACCGTGGAGGTCCGATTCTATGAATCTCGACAATGGGTACACCATGCTGTCTCCAATCTGGGCACTGCACATGTGATGCCACGAACTCATCTGAAAGACAATGCAGCATTCTAGATTTGAACTGGTGACACCACTGTAGTGCACTGAAGTTTTCAGCAGACAAACGCTTTAAGAATAAGGCGGTGCCGTACATGTGCGACAATAGCATAGGCAAGGAGATTTTTCATTTTTGGACACCCTCTAGTGCCACAAAATTTGGAAAACGGGTAAAAGAGTTGCTCCTATTTTTTAATCCGAAACTTAGGAATGGTCCTAAGCGTTTACTACCATTTAAAAATGTGTTTTCAATGCTGCCTGTACACATAAATCACAGAATCAAGCTATGGCTGAAACTTGTGCTAGGATTTGTTATATATCCCAAAAGCATAAAAAATATGTAGTTGAGAGCTCCTTTTTTGCTTTCAAGGTGGAATTTGGATTTTACCAAATGTTTTTAAAACATATCTAGGGTGAAAATATCTATGAAATAGTGTAAAATGCAGCTATAAATACTTCAATAACTGGCACATAAAAAAAAAAAGTCACCTCAGTGAACAAAGTTTTTTTATTTTTTTATGCTTAGTTCTCATAACTTGCTTATAAACCGGTACATTAATGAAATTGGACAATTATACAAATCTATCACTTTGGATGAAAACAACATTTTGCAGTAAGTAAAAAGAACTGTTTGAACTAAGGCCTGAAAAAATTAATATGCATTGTATCCTAGTATTGTCGAAGGAATGAGAACGGCTTTTCAAACTGCAGTTAATTAATGAAAAATGCAGTGAAAACATCTTCCAGGACGTTCGTTCCCTCTCTGTTAATTTAAACAATGTTGAAACACACACGCCTCCGCCGGCCCAACAGCAAAGCAGCTGCCGACCCAGAGCACAGAACAAGCAAGGCTCTATCTAAGGCAACATGTCACGTAAGAATAGACTGGACACAATAAGTTTAACAGATCCAGCCAACAACAATGATAAGCGTCAAAACATGAGGCCTTATTCCAAGTACCAAGTTCCTAAGCCCCACAATTTCTGATCGACGCATTACCCCACATTCGTGTCTCCGGCAATCCAGAAGACCCTTAGAGCAATACCAGTGCAGTCACTAAAACCAAAGTGGGACTACATTCACAGTTCTCTTCTTCCATCGCCAATATCCTGGTGAGTAAGAGAATGTTTAAGTGGACTGTCGTTAAACAGTGATGCGAGCACAAGGGCTGCGCAAATATCTCATTTTTCGAATGGTAGTTTCGAAAAATATGTATTTAATATTAGCTTCCAAGAAGAACAGTAATAGAACTCATGGGTGTTTCTACCTTAGATCGTACAATGGCTGTACGGGTCATATTTTTGATATTTCTGTAAGAAATATATGTCAGAGCCATGTTCTTGGGACGAACATTCAGTTATGCTATGTGAACGCCGTAGCTAAATTTTTCCCAGATATATAAAATTGAGAAGCTCCAGGCGGGGACATCGCTGAGATTTCATTATGGCAATTTGCACAGCCACTAATGTCACACCAAAGCAGGCTCGTAGTTAAATATTTTTAGAGCGCAGCTTTTAGGCGCCCGTTTCCGGCTTGAGCGGCGTCGCCGTTGGCATAACCAAGGTCACCCCAAGGTCACGTGCCCCCCCCCCCCACCCCAAGGTCACATGACCCCTCCCAAGGTCACTCCAAGGTCACCTCAAGGTCACGTGACCCCCATGTGACCCCCCCGTCATATGGCCCCCCTCCCCGAGGTCACATGACCTCCCCCTCCACCCCCCGAGGTCAGGTGACCCCCCCCGGAGCATATTAAAGAATGAGGGGAAAAGGAGGAGAAGGAGGAGGAGGGGTCTACCCTCCCCTCAGTACCCTTCCCTCCTCCTCAAGAGCTGCGCTCCAATTCGGTGTTACAGGGAGTTGTAAATGGCTTTCACTTTTTCATTTATTTTATAGACAATTTACAACGTGCACAGCAAATATTAAAAATAGCAATTATATATTTCTATACAAAAAAGTTATGAAACATAAAAAAATAACCGCATCTCCACGTGGTGAATGATGTTGATTGGGGCGAAGCTCTGGTGGTGCTGATGACACTGATTTTGTTCATAGGTAGTGCTGATTTTTTCGTTTTCATCCATGTCAGAAAGAGAATGTGTGGTATGCAACGTGGTTATATACGCAGTTGAGCATTTGACCGCAGTGCCCTCTCGTCTATAAACGTGGAGCCAATGCATGCAAAGTTTAACGCGATTATATACGCATTTGATTGCAGCGCCCTTTCCTGTATAGACGTTGAGCGGCTACATGCAACGGTTCATCCATTACATACCCAGCTCTTGAGTTACTACCACACCTCAGAGCCCCCTACTCGTCCCGCAGTTGTGGCCGAGTGGTTAAGGCGATGGACTAGAAATCCATTGGGGTCTATCCGCACAGGTTCAAATCCCGTCGACTGCGCAAACATTTTTTCTTTTCCTAAGAAGACAGATGGGATGGCAATCGATGTGAGCACGGACGCCGGACGGACAAGGCTAGACCCTAAGGGGTTTCACCCCTAAAAAACACGCTTTAGAGACACTTTCACAAATTATTTACTAACAAACGACTTTATGCAAAGTGTCTCTAAATATATCAAAATGTGTGTTTTGAAATGCCGCTTACGAATATATAAAGAAATATTTGCGTGGGCATCATTATAGTTTTGGTATTAATGCAGAAACGTAATCCCTTTCTCTAAAAGTAGCAAAATTGAATGTGAATATCTAGAAAACTATCTTTTATTTCTTTTAAAGTCTCCTTAACTCTTTGCAGTAACTTGAACTAACTTGTGATGGCAAATGTTGAGTAGCATATGACCCCCAATTAAAAAAGCGTCAACTAACCTTCACCTAAATTGAGCTAGCTTGTCTTCGTTATTGGGGCTTTGCCGCGCAAAGTCGGCTCCACAGAGATATTATCTAGAACCCACGAAGTCTGTATAACGGTGCCGCCCTATTGCAGAGCGTAGAAATTCATCATAACTTAAACCCATGGGATTAGGAAAAATAAAAAACGAACGACACAACAGAAAATCTCAAGAACAGCTGAGTTTATTCGACCACACCAAAATAAGAAAAGATGAAGAAAACAGAACATGACCTCGTGAAGATCTGACCAAACGTGGCTTGACAAGCTAAATCCCTACAACATTAGACACGCTTCCGACAACAAGCATCCGCAAAGATAATCTCCACAAAGACTACGAGAATCAACCAACTTTCTATCTCAGGGTGTTAGATTATGATGTTCCCTAACCAGCTTGTGCATGCGTTCACTTCTCAGGAAGTCACATTGTCCCAAGCTTTGTTTTATCTTTCTGTTTACTTGTGTTGCCTCCTAAGGCCTGACCCCCCTCCCCCTTTTATATCCTAAGGAGTGAAGCTTGGGACAGCAAGATTTCCTGAGAAGTGAACGCACACACTCCTTAGGATATCAAAGAGGAGGGGGAGGGGGGGGGGGGGGTAAGACCTTAGGAGGCAACACAAGTAAACAGTCGCATTGGGACAATCTGACTTTCTGAGAAGTGAATGCACGCACACAAACAAGCTGGTTAAGGAACATCATAAATCTAACACCCTGAGACGTTCTGCGTTGACAGTTTCTAATTTTTCCTAGCCCCAAGGTATTAAGTTAAGAGGAATTTTTACGCTCTGCGATAGAGCAGCATTGTTGTACAGACTTCGTCGGTTCCAGAGAATATCTCTTAGGCGCCGACGTCGTGTGGCGAAGCCCCCCATAACGAAGACAAGCTAGCTCAATTTGAGTGAAGACTTGTCACGTTTTCTCAATTGGAGGTCACACGCTACTCAACGTTTTGCCATCACAAGTTAGTTCAAGTTACTTCAAGGAGTTAAGAGCTGAAAAAGAAAAAAAAGATGGAGTTTTTTTTGTAAGTATTGATGCGCAATTTTGCTACTTTTAGAGAAAGGGCTGACGTTTACACATTAATAACAAAACTATATTAATGGCTAGGCAAATATCTTTCTACATATTCATAAACTGCATTTCAAAACTCACATTTTTATATATTTCACGATGTTTTGCATAGAGCTCTTTGTTAGTGAATAATTTGTGAAAGTGTCTCTAAAACTTGTTTTTTTTTACCTTGTTTCGTATATTATTTTGCATAGAAATATATAATTGTAACTTTAATATTTTGAGTGCATGTTATAAATTGTCTATAAAAATAATGAAAATTAAGTTAACCACGTGCCTGCTTTAGTGCGACAGTGGCGGCTGTGCAAACTGTCATAGTGAAATCTCGGCAATGTCCACGTCTCGAGCTTCTCAATATTATATCTCTGGAAAACATTTAGCTACGGCGTTCACACATAGCTGAATTTTTCTTTCAGATATATTTATTCAAAACAAGACAACTTTCGCCGAATCGAAAATTCGGCGCCGAATTTTTGGGATTTGGCAAAGCCGAACTTTTCTAAAGGTTCGGCAAAAATACATTGTTACCAGACTTAACATTGATATTTAGTTTTTTATGGCGAAAAAGGGTTTTATGTTTTTCTTTTCTTAACTTAAATTCAACATGTAATGCATATTGACACAGTTATTACAAAATAAGGTTATATTCTACAAGATAATTTTATCGGTGTCATTTTTGTGAGTTTACTGACAATTTTACAGTAACTTCTTGCAGAAGTCCTGTGAAAACGAGGTTGGTAGCAGCGGTCGCAGTCACTAATCATGATATGGGAGTTTCGGTCTTGAGGCCTCATTAGCACAAGCCAGCAAGTGTGTGTACAAATAAAGGCAATAACACTGCGTTCTTACTTTCTCTGAGAGTCACCGTTTCGTACACGAAAACTATCGCAATGGTTGGTGAGACTTCACCAGAATTGCGAACAAAATTATTGTAAATATGCATGTTTTTCGATTTGAGTCACATGACGTCAGCCTTGCATGAAAGTGTGCGTCCAATATTCGCAACGTCTCGTTTTTAACCTTTAAAATGGCGGTTTCGGATGTTAGGACACACATGGACAATTATAAAAATGGAAAGAGTTGGGAATGTTGGATGTGCAATGTCGAGCATAATAGTTCCGAGTTTAGTTTTATGCACATGCATGAAAACCACAAAATAACGCTAATTAAAAAGCAATATCCATTTGTTTCGGCAGAAACTACTTGTGAGTCGAAAACAGGTTCGTTATAATTGCAAGGGGTGCTTTAAAGTAATTGTCAATCAATGTTTCAACTACCTTGTTGCGTCACTAGAAAGGTCAAATGAAAATCCCGTTATCAGGAATGTACTGCATCATTTGTCACTTGCACGGTGGACTGCATAAATGAATGGTTGATCTTCTGTTCTTGAAGCAGAAAATATTGGAGAACCACGCTCTCAAATGCACAATTACCATGTCGCCCATTCCACACCTCAATGTAATCGCTGGTTGTAACACACTGTACAGTGATAACCACACGACCACATGGCGTCCATTTGCAATCCATGGCCCCGTAGCGTTTTCGCACGTGCGCAGACATTTGCCGAATTTTCACCGAATCTTTGCCAAACTTTCTTTCAAACGTTTGGCATATGCCGAAATTTGCCGAATCTGAAGTTCGACAGATTCAGTCTATCACTAATATTTATTACAGAAATATCAAAATATGACCCGCACAGTTATTGTACAGTCCGACGTTGAAAAACCCTCATACTTTATGAAGCGTTGGTAAATTCACGTAAAACGTGATGCTCATGGCCACGTTGCGCTCTACTCTGCCCTTAGGGGAAACAAGTATGTTGCACACCTCTAGCAAACTTCCTTTCAAAATTCAGCACTTTCAAGGCAGATGACTTCGGACTAGTAGCAGATGGCTTCTACGGCTTGCACATACTGTATTTACTCGCATAATGAATGCATGTTTTTTCTCGAAAAATTGACACATATTTGTGGGGGCGTTCATGAAGGGGGGTAAAATTTCTGCATCTACACACTTTCTGCAAATGTAATATTAGGTGCCAATATGACACCGCAAGGTACTGTGGCACATCTCCACTGATGGAGGCGCACCCACAGCTGGTCGGGGGTGCGCCACAGCAACTGTGCTTTATAAATTGGGAATTTTTTTAGGGCGCTTTCGGCGAACCTTTTGCCAAAGGAAAAGCACCCTACGAAGCTCACTCAGCACGGAAAGCGATGCAACCATTATTAGGACTAACCACTTTCACGATTTCACAGTCCGAAAGCGGACCACAGATGACTGTGCGTTTGCTGACGTCATTGCATCTGATAGGCGAAGAATGTCTGGGGCTGGGCAATTCCTCGACCAAAGCTTCGTCAAGTGTGCGCGCCGCTCGGCTCCACAGTTGATCACTTCCACAACTACACAGCCGCAGCCATTACAAGAACAGCTTGGCTTGGCTTGGCTTGGCTTGACTTGACTCGACTTGGCCTGACCGCTTGGTGGCAAAAGAAAATTGGCTTGGTGAGTTGGACGCAATTCGAGACTTGCAGAGCCCAAATTGGAGGTGCGTTCATTACAGGAGGAAAAGAAGAAGACCCAATATTGGTACCCGTTGGGGAGAGTGCATTCATTATGCGAGTAAATACGGTATGGCGCAGCAAGACATGCACTCCTAATGGAACGCTCCCACGTACCACTCCGACACCCTCGTTGGATCGCGGGTTCTGTAGTTTTCGTAGTTTGCTAATTGTGATACTTGTTATTCGAGTAGTCTGTTAATATGAAACAAAGAATAGAATAGTGTGACTGTAAAAGTCACGTGACAAATGCATTATGCATCGGATGGACCCAGTCTTCAGTGTACTTGCCTCCTGCAGAGTGTTGGAAAGCTGTTTGAGGGTTGTTCTCAAGATGCTCTCAGGATCCATGTCCAGAGGAAAGTCCTGCAGGAAGACAACGAAGTGCACGGAGCAGATAAATCCCTGTAGTATTTATTTATTGCTAGACAAATAATCTGGCAAGGTTACCTGCATTAAACAAAATACAGTTGAGGCATCCCTCTAGATGGGATATGCAAGTTTTTTTGGAACAAGCAATGAATCATTGTATAAAGAAGCAGTTCAGGAGAGGTTGCCTAGATACACACTTTTGAGCAATAACTAAATGCTGAAAAGTTTTGCAGATATAGCTTTGGTGAATCTGCAACAACGGCAATGATCTGCTTTAGGAGTTGGTCTGTTGAGTTCAGTTTCATCAAACATCTCTTCAGTCATCTTGCATTGAATTTTTTTTTTATATTTGGTAAGACTATCGCTCTTATATTATGACTTATTGATAGCTTTCGCTAGAGAACGCCGAATGTTATGATGAGTTCTTTTAACCATTGGACGCATACGGTTCCCAGAAGTTTCTTGCCTATCTCGGAATCGGAGCAAATGATTATGAGCTAGTAAGACCAGCATACTCATCAAAACTTGTCATCATGATCACCCATGCACCAAAACGACATGGCAACTTGCAATGGTATATGTCAGAGTTAATTCTATGTTGCATAACCCAAGCACGACAGAGAATGACAGTGCTACCTGTGTATCATACTGTCTAACGTGGTGAGCCAGACTCGTTGTGGCATCTGCAAGTTCCCTCTGAAAAGATAGCAGTCAAAAACATTACAAAATCACCACCACAAAAAAAAAAAAAAAAAAAAAAAAAACTAAGCCATTTTCACATTAATGTTATAAACTATAGCAACCATCTTGCCCCTCAAACGTCCCAAACGGTAGCGCCGAACTGCACCTGCAAGCGTCTTCGTTTTGTTAGGACCGAAGGGCCTTCTGATCAAAAGTGTTGTGACGCCACAAGTCGCACAATAGCGGAGCTGCCACCCTCGGCAAGGATAACGGAAGTATAATGAGAGGGGAGAAGGGGGGGGGGGGGGGGGGAAGGGAGGGGCAGCTGAAGCCAAGTTTCATTTCATTGTTTGTTTTATTGTTTAGTTTATGTATTAAATATTTTTTTGTACTAAACGAAATTCAGATATTGCAATCCGAGTTGCTTGAGAGAGAATGCTATCTTGGCGGGTTAGTTGTTACTTTCACTACGTGCATGAACGGCAATTTTAATTTTATGTTCAATCACGAAGTCATCACGATGCACGTGATGACTTCGTGATGCATGCCAGACGTTACACAACTCCCCCAAGTATTATTATGGGAGGGGGAGGGGGGCATAATCAGTAAAATAGTTAGTAAAAAATAACATGGCTTTGATTTTCAGTTTTTAAGCAACAAGTGTCGGTAAAGCAATGTCAAATCCCGGGGCTCTTTGCACCGAGTTCCCTAAACTGTTTTGTGTGCCTAATGTGAATGGTATTATCCAACAAAAGTTTACACAAAGAGATTTTTCCTTCTTCTATAGACAGAAGCCTCTCTTATAGACAGATGATGATGATGAAAAGAAGGATTTTCAGAGCCCCTTGAGGCAGATTTTGCAGATTTGTCATTAAAACCAAAATGCCTGCACCTACATGTGCATGTCCTGCATTTCCTACATAGGCAGAATATTGTTATATTGTATTTAAGGGAATATGAATGGGCACAGAAGAGTTAAGATATCCTAGGTAAAAACAGATGTGTGTTCCTATCGTGGGCGGTGACATGTTAAGAATGCAGTAGATCAGGGTTCGCAAACTCATTCAAGTGGCAGGTGCCAGATAGCTCACCTCAGAAAAGTCAAGGGCCAACACAAGTTTTCAGGGGGGGGGGGGGGGGGGGGGGGGGGGGGGGAAGGGGGTCAAGAGATGTCACAGAGAAGAGACCTTGTTTTCATAAACTTGCAGTTTTGCCAATGACATGTTTAGCTTTAATTTGTTTATAAATCTATGCTTTAAGCCTGTACATGATGCGAGAACAAGAGAAAGCACACTGTCGTTCCCATTGCTCAATTCACCCAGGAATTAACTGAGCTTGACGTGCCTCGAAAAAATTAAAATCTCTTCATAAGGACCGTTTTTTCTCTCCTGAAGAATCCCGAGCTCCTAGCATCACCTTTGGCAGTTGCTCCTGCTGAGTGAGAGTTTGTGCAGCCAAGGTGCGCCCTTGAGCAAAGAGATCAAACCCCCAGCAGAGTAGCGAAAATGCCGTACAGGTGATTAGCGTGACAAAAGCCTGGGAAGCCAAAATTAAAACGAAACACAAGCCAAATGGAAACAAAATATAGTATAAAATATATGTGAATATGTTATAAGAGAAGAGCCACGTTTAGAATGTAAATGAATAGGCAATAAAAGATCATTGTGGCGCATGCAATTTCTAGAGCTGGAAACATGGGAACGAGGGCTCGCAGCCATGGGGTGCTTGGGGGCCTCATCCTAGCGAGTCAAGGGCCACGTGTTTGAGACACCTGCACTAGATGCTCCGCCTGCTGTGCAAGCTTTCTGCCTTCCGTAACACTTTGTGGCAAGAGCTCCTAATTCCGGCGGAAGGCAAGGAGCATGTTCTGGAGGCAGAGCTCCTACTTTATTTTTAGCCTGCCACCGACTGTAGTGCAAGTCTTGAAGGATCATAGACAGCTCAGAAATCAAGGGCAGGTTACACAAAAACCGTCCAAGCCAATGTCATTTTTAATAAAAAAAAAAATACCGAGGCCGACACATCACGCGCATTCTTCGGTGCACCACTACAAAAGGTCATTGAGTTTCAAGGAAGGCATTGCTCACCTCAGCATTCCAAATTCGGTTGGCATGCTCGTACATCACCTTCACATACTTGTGTAGCTGGTGCGCATCTTGCTCAAAAAGGTTGACAAGGGACCGCGTCTGCGCAAAGGACATCACAAAAGTCAGGTCACTCTCCACAAAAGGGCCAGAAATTAGAACAATCAGATGCTGAATGCAGGAAAGTCAAGTAAATGTCTAACCAAACAAAAGAAACAGACACTGGTTTCGTTTTATTGCGTTTATTGCACTGATGTTATTGGGCCGAGTAATTATGAAGCACCCTTTGGAGTGGTCAAAATTCCATTGTGGAGGATCAAAAATAATGTTTGGAGCATGAGCATATAGATATCATTCATTTTGCTGCCAATACTATGTTGAGAATCACGTGGCGACCTGTCTAGCTAAAGGACAAGGAATTCTTTGCTTAGCATCATTTCACAAAAGAATTTCATTCCTCAGATATTCACCACGAGTTGCTTAGCATACCCCATAAGTAGGGTGTGTATTTTCCGGTTTTAACCAAAAAAACACCGATAAACATCCGTCGGTGACGAAAGTATAAAATCGGGTAAAACCGAAAAACACCGGTGGTTGGATATTTTCGCCCCGGTTAAAACCGAAAAACACCAGTCGTCGCACGATTCCGACCTAGCGAAACCCCTTCCCCGTAGAGGTTCGTCAAACGTGTTATCTCGTGGATCCTGCATTCTTCCAGTGTCTATACATGGCTTGCACGTGGCGTCAGTCCGCCCCCCTTTCTGGGGGTCAAAAGCGTCTAGTTAATGCAGTGGAAACTAAGCTCTCACACCGCCTTTACCCCATTGTGTCGCCCATGGCCCCCTTTTGAGGAAAAATTAACGCAGTGGAGGGTACGCTCTCACATACCCTTTCCCCATTGTGTCTGGCCAAGTAATGTCGGTGCAAGCCATGTATTCAGAGGTTGCTGTGGTTCCTGGAAGACACTGCCAACATCCGTGTCGTACAGAGCTACTGACCTTTCAGAACTGACATGTGTTCCTTGTTATCTGTTTAGTTTCCATGGGCTTTTGGGGAAACGGGAAAAGGGTTTTGTTGGGGGGGGAGTTGTTCGGCTGTATATAAAAGGATCGTTCTGTAAAAAAAATTACAGACGTGTTTGAGAAGGCGCGTCCGTCCCGCGTCTGCGGGTTTTCTCAACGTGAGACTTGCTTCCCTTTGTCGTCAAGCGGAGTTGAAGGCTACCAGGATGGGAAGTAAGCGGAAAGCTCAGGGTGACTACGCTACAGATTTCAAGGATGAATCGTCGTTCTGGTTCCGCGTGCCAATTGTTAATCCGTGCATAAACGTGGAGCTGCCAGAGGGATTTGTGCCTTATGAAAGTATCTATCGGCTGGTCCTCCGAGACGAGAGCTACCTGAGTGACCTAGAATCAGAGTTTCTTTGTTACGGCCAGTATGCTGTGACTAGCACCGTTGATCCAGTGTTATTTTGGAAACTTCATTTACCTGACTGGCCACTACTGTCCCAAGCCTCGCTGGACATTTTGGGATTTCCTGTGTCCAGCGCAAATGTAGAGCGTGCGTTTTCAAAATTGCGGGTTGTGAACCGCAAGGAACGTGCTGCCATGACGGATGCGAGCCTCTCGAAGTATGCTTGCATCTACTATAATAACCAAGTGTGAGAAATATATGTTTCCTTGAGAAGTGTATGAAATCTTTGAATAAAATTGGAACTCTCTGTCTGTGATCAATCATTTTTTTCCACCGATAGTCACCGATTTTAGCCTCGTCGTGAAACGTTCCACCGAAATACACTGGTGTTTCGAAAATAAATAAACACCGAAAAACATCCGCCGATTTTTCTCACAAATAAACACCGGAAAGTACACACCCTACCTATAAGGTAACAAGGATGTTATGACAAGAGTTAAGATTTTCGTTTAACAGGTTTCATTGCAGCACCGGCCACTTCTGAAACATTTTAATTTATGAAGAACAGAACCTGAACATCTGTGTGTGGTAAGTTGAGGTACACATAAAAACAGATCAAATTATATTACGCCGATCTAATGTTCAAAAAACCTGCTGGAGTACAAAATTTAATGTTTTGCTCAAGTTCTGAAGATTTCATACAACTACAATTTTGAATTCAGTTAAAAAAGGAAGCATTTTATTTATTTACGAGCATCAATGGCACTTCCGATGTACTGTTGTAATAATGTGAAATGAACAAGTGGGCAATAAATATACTACAGTGCAATCCACTTATAACAATACTACATATAACGATGCAACGCTTATAACGATCAGTTTCTAGAGTTTCTAGACTGGAAATAATCAGTTTCTAGTCCAGATACAATGATAATCGGGTATAACGATTGAAATTTTGGGTTTTCTCCTTATCGTTATAAGTGGGGTGCACTGTACCTACTTAAAACAGCTGAACTTGTTAAGGTCATTCCTTACATTCCGTTCGTCCACTGCGGAACTTTGTTTACTTTTAAGTTTTGTCGACTATAGCCTTTAAACAATTGAAAGCCTATATAGAGATGGTGGCTTAAAGTGAGATTTGACAAAAAAACAAATTGAAGCTATGGTGCCTCACAGGTAAACCTAATCAAGGTTATTTAAAAATTCGGTTGCTACACCCAAGTTTCCTTGAATATCAAATTTTAAAAACAAAATTCACAACCAGTGTTGCAAGCAACGCGTCAGGATATTGCAGCCAATATAAACTGGCCACCGTTTTATTCAGAATATTTATCTGCAAGGCAAGTTGTCACACTAGTCTTATCCACGGATCCCTTTAAACAGTTGAAAGACCATATAAAGATGGTGGCTTAAAGTGGGGTTTGACAAGACAAATTAGAGCTATGGTGCCACTCAGGTAAACCCAATCAAGGTTATTTAAAAACCCTGTTGCTATACCCAAGTTTCCTTAAATATCAAATAAAAAAAATTTAAAAATCACGAGTGTTGCATGCAACTTGTCGGGGTGTTGCAATCAATATAAACTGCCCGCCATTTTATTCTGAATATCTATCTGCAAGGCAAGTTGCCACACTAGTATTCGCCGGATGTCGTACTTTTTTATTCCTATTTATTAATTTTTGTTAATACTCGACGTGCACATATCCACCATGCCTCACTCAAGAAGTGAGCTTCCTCTAAGCAGATGGCTGTGCTGCGACGAAGCAAGATACACAAAATAGCAATGCCTGCATCCAACTGTCGCTACTCCAGAGTGTACTTTTCGCACAAGACGGACACTCAACGAAGCTACTATCCTACCCAAACAAAACAGGGACAATGAGATATATGGCGGAACTTCCGAATTCTGTCAGCAATCTATACAAAAATCAAATAAAATGCAGCATTATTCAAAGCAAAAATCGGAAGTCCCAAAAATTAATACACACCTACACTAACAATCCTGCAGCGTGGCAGAGCCTGAGTGATTGATTTCAGTATTGAGAAGAAAAATCTCCTGCTGCGGTGTTGTCACAAATTCCTCAACTTGATTGAAATGTAGCAGGGTAAGCACTTTGGCACAGGATGGCACAGCAATCACATCACAGCTAATGGCACCTTTGGGGAAGTGTAAGCTTCCAATGGGCCGTGAAAGCCTTTCTCACAGCAAGACAGGCCAATCTTTTTCAGTGGAGGGACTACAGTGCTGCACCCAGCAATATACTGTAAACGACTTATTCTTCGCGAGGGCCCAGTTTTCACGAATTTCGCAAAGAATAGGTCCCGCGAACAATGCCGGTAAAATGTAAACACATTACAATCTATATTGAGATCCCACCGCGTCGCGAAAAAATTAGAACCCACGAATTATTCCAAAACTTCAGCTTTGACCTAAATCACGAAATACTGAGCTCGCAAAAAATAAGTCTTTTGCAGTACCACTATTTAGAAAGCTATAATTTAGAACCAGACTGAACAAAAAAAAAAGAATATATATATATATATATATATATATATATATATATATATATATATATATATATAACTTGTTTTAGCGCACCATTAAAGGGACACTGAAGTCATTTTTGAAAAACGTCGTTTTTGATCCTATATTGTTTAAAATGTGTTAGTTCTCACATATACCAACAAATCCTATCCCACAAAACCGCCTATTCATCTCAGGGCAAGAGAAAAACATTGCAGTCTTTTTGCTCGCGGACTACACTGTGTGGACCAATGAAAGCCCTACAATTAGGGATGCCGCGAACTTTTTTCGAATCGAAGTTTCGATGATCGAATCAAGCGGTTCGAAAGATTTCAAATTTTCGAACTTTTCATATCGATAAATTCGACAGAAGTCGAATTTTCGAACTTATTAAACTAGGAAGTTCGACGCTTTTCGAATTTTCGAACTTATTACGCTGCAAAATTCGATGCTTGTCGAACTTCTGAACTTGATAGACTAAAGAATTCAATGATTTTCGAACTTTCGAACTTCTTGCACTAAAAAGTTTGAAGCTTTTCGAACTTTCGAACTTCCCACGCTAAGAAATTGATAATTTGTGAACTTTCGAACTTATTAATCTAAAGAATTCGAAAATTGTCAAACTCTCGATTCCTGAAAAGTCAAAAGTTCGACGAACTTCGAACCTTTAGGGCAAAAGTTTGAAGCTCATCGAACTTCGAAAGACCGAAGGGCGGTTTCATTTGGATTCAAGCAGTGAGGTACATTCGTAATTTTTTTCCTTTTTTCACTATTTTACACGGGGTGACACATTCCTTGCGAAAGACAATGCCGTTTATTTCAATCATCTGGCATGCTTGGTTTTAGAAAAATAGATTCCCGAAGGAGCGAGGAAGGACGACGGGTTTTTGACAATTGTCGTTTGTGCCATATTTGAAGCGCGCTATAGCTGAAGCTATTTGTGGTAGAGATATTAAACTTTTTAAGAATGATCTATATATAGCCTAGGTGAGTGTCGTCTTAAGATATGATCATTGTTGTTCAAGACGAGTTTCGAATAAATATCCAAACATGTACCTACGGACAATTATGCCCTAAACTTGGTAATTTTTTTCGCCTACATTGTTTGGGTATCGCATTTAAATTAACACCAGAGACAGTACATATCATAACCATCTGCAGAATACAAAATAATGTATTTATTGTTTTTTTCACGTTAAGGAATAAATTAACTCGTGGGGGAAGATTTCTAAAATTGTTCAAATTCAGCGCGTCATAAAAAAATTTTTTTTTTTTTTTTCTCTCATTTTACGCTTTTGGGACGTGTTTCTTTTGGCCTGTACACATTTTGGTAGGATAAACTTGTTTCATAGTTCTGGGCCTCTGAATATGCAAGAATACAACACTTCCGGCCGGCTTCTTGACTATTTGCTATTTGCAAGAAATAGTGTAAGAAGAAAGAAAAAAGGGGACAGGACAACGTCTCAAACTCAGCTGAGTTGAGTTTGAGACGTTGTCCTGGGCTGAGTTTTCAGCTGAGTTGAGTTTGAGACGTCCTGTCCCCTTTTTTCTGTCTCTTTGAACTTTTCCTTTCAAATTTCATTCCCAGTCTCAGGATTTTGCATTGTATACAAACTAAACTTACTATATGCCAGCGTCACTCGGGCGGCGTTCAATCTGATTGCTACCAGCGTGCAAGGGGGTAGGGTGGCAGTTTGCCAGATCACTTCAAGGTTTTTCCAAACCTGGCCGTTTCGAACTGGATGAGTATCGTTAAACAGTGCGTTCGTAGGATCACTACTTCGTAATGCACGTTAATGATCACCCCGGGCGGGCAGTCACAATTACTGATCTATTGTTACACGTCACCACACTGAAAAATATTCCAGGACATCCGGGACACTCGTCGTCTCATTTAATTGCCTGACCAACTTCGCGCAGTCTAAATATCACACCCGAACTTTTCTAAAGCTGATTTCGTGAAAACGAGTGAGGTGTGAAAACATTATTTGAAACTGAAACTGTGGCGGAACATGGAAACCGGACTTCGAACTTTGCGCACATGGACTTAAAAAAAAGAAGACCCTTCGAAGTTGTTTTTTCTTTTTCTTTTTTTTTTTTTTTAATTTAGCATTAAAAGAGAATCGAAACCTTCGAACTTTTCGAGTTTTATGTAGAAAGAAATTCGAAATCTTCGATTTTATCGAACTTTAATATGTTTTTAAAAATTCAAAACGTTCGAATTTTTCGAATTTTAGATCCAAAGAAATTCGGAACTTTCGAATTTTAAATTAGAAAAGTTCGAAATCTTCTAATTTATCGAACCTCAAGTAAACAAGTATTCGAAATAATCGAACCCGAACTTTTAGAAACCGTGAAAGCTTCGAACTTTTCGAATTCGAAACCCCACGATTCTGGAAAGTTGCGAATTTTTCGAATTCGAACCTCCCTACGATCGAAAATATCAAAACTTTTTGAAATCGAACATCAGTTCGATTCGAAAATATCGAAACCTTTCGAATTCGAACCTAGGGTGGTTCGCGGCATCCCTACCTACAATACGCGCAGATTCCGAATGATTTTATTATAACTCGTTTTGAACAGCCAAATAGGTACACATTCGGATAACACTCCTCTTCTTCTCCGCGGGTGAAGCCATCGCTTGCAACTCGACGACAAGCGCCCTTCGTCGACCACTTCACTCGGAAGAAAATTTCTCCCAAAAAGGGTGTGTCGCAATCTTTGAACACACTTTTAACACGGAAATGAGCTACGCACGATTGTGGTTTCGAGCTTGTTGGGATGCTTAGAGCATCTAGATTGAGTTAGAACTACAAAAAGACGATCTCAGAATCGACTTCTGTGCCCCTTTAAATTTTACTTTCTGCGCAGAAAATAGGACAAAGACAGACGCTCCATGAATATACACCTGCACCAGGGCACTTGCTCGACGAACACTATCACATTTCTAGACCACGTTAGTGGTGAGATCAAACTATGAGGAATGCATTATCCAGCTTACCGTCCAAATGGCTAAGCGTTACATTGACTGGGGTAAACTTTTGTCATGTTTCATTTATAAAACGGACCATTCCTTTACGGGGTGCAGACATGAGGACAGGCTTTGGTTGCACTGGACTTGTTCAGGACTATAGCCGGTGACAAGTCAAGAACGAAGTGGAAGCTCTTCCCACCCCTTTCCACTTCAGCGAAGCGAATGGTGGAAAGGAGGTCGCCTTCTTTCCAGCGTTCGCTGTACTAAAGCGGAAAGAGGTGGGAGGAGCTTCCACTTCGTTCTTGACCTGTCACCGACTATAGTTAAGTTTTATACACTGAACGTTTGCTGCCCAAATGGATGAAGAAGTGGAAGCTGTTCCCACTTCTTTCCACTTTAGCAGAGCGAATGCGGGAGAGGAGGCAACCTCCTCTTGCTCTGCTAAAGTGGAAGGAGGAGCTTCCACTTTACAACTGTTGACTATAATGGAATCCTCAATCCCCTTGTCAAGAGTGTGCTGCTGGCTCCTTGACAATTATCTGCAAGCTGTGCAGTGCAATCACCCATGGGGCCAACGTGTCTAGCTGCAGAGACTGGTGTCCCGACTGATAAATACAGCTTCCCTGAATTACAAACTTGAAGCTTATCGTCCTGGAATGTGGAAATCTCCCGCGCATCCCTGATTTACGTATCTCTGACTAAAATGGTCCGACTAAAATGTAAACTTGATTTGAGTTGTGAAGGCCTTTGCCGGCACAGCAGTTGGGGTATGCTGTATTTAAAAATCCTCTTTTAGAAGACACAAAGTGCTTTGACAGTTTGGCCGTGTTTTGCTGCAGCGCCGTGCGAGCAACCGGTGACCTCGACGATCACTTGACGCAAACACATCAAGTTCATTGACGAGGCGTTTCACCGGAGACTAATTAAATGACGTTACACGTTTCGAACATCCTGTCACTTCATTAAAATATTCGTGTCCGTGAGTAGCCGGACTAAAACAACTAAAAGGTTCAACAAACGAGATGCATCGTCTGATGCGACATAAATTAGCTTCCGAGCGATCTGCTGCTTTACACAGTGATATCTCTGGCTTGTAAATAAAAGCTCCACGAAAGTGTCGATCAAAAAATAATAGCGCGCAGTACGTGATAGCACTCAAGTTCCGAGACAGACCCAACCCCAAGGATATCGGATTGGCTCTGCTGCAGGTGATCACCGAAAGCGAATCTGGGCGGCGGCGATTTTCACGGCGCTTACCTGCGGATTATCGTCCAGAGCGTCGGCCAAGTGAAGAGCTTCCGGCCCTTGCATTGTGGGAATCGGTTTTGTTCCAGCCAGAAAATTATAGTGAGGAAAACTTTTCGATCAGAAGAGATCGCGCAGCACACCTTATCGAATCTGGCGTTGTTGTGGCGGCGGTGGTTCCACTGATTGGATCTTTCGCCAGTGCATCGCACTTCTTTTTCCGAACTGACCGTGATCGAAGCCGAGGGGGCTAGCGCTCCACAAGCGCGATGGCTCGTTGTTTAGAAGATGGCCAGGATTAAAAAAAGACTGAGCGAAAATGACCTTTTGCTTCTACACCCACATCAGATACAATACAGAAACAGCTGCAGCGATTGTAGAGAGCGATTCTGCCTGCCTTGACACTTGAGCAAGGGTGTTTCCAGTGTTGTTTACTGCGAGACCATGGTTGATCGAACAAATCGTGGTTTCGAATTCGACCCAAACAGTGCACCGTTCATATTTTACTTAATCTTTTACGATTGTAGTTTCTGGTTTTCAGTGTTAGTTTTACACACAACACAAGTGCACAGAAGCGGCGAAAATGATCACCAGAACGAACAGACTGCACGAACGGCACAAACACGGTTTTAGTTTCGTTTAGACTTTCCGTTCGTACGCATGCGGCGTTGGAAAAGCAATAAAACCGTACAGTCGCGATCAAGCTCTATCTTATTATCCCCCCCCCCCCCCCCCCCCCCCGGTCCGGTTCATTGGAGCTTGAATCTGGAAACGCGCAGTCCCAGGGTCCCGGCAAAAAATTGCTGTCCTGGACAGAATGGTCCCAGTTGAATTTTGCGGGATTTCGCTTGTCCGTCGCGGACAACGTTGGTCACCGATGTGTAGACCGCTAGTGCTTCAAGCGAAGTGAGCATAAAAGAAATAAACATTTTTCGCACATCATATCAAACATTACTCATTTTAATGGTAATGTATTTTATTGAAACCATACTGCAGGCTGGATTGGTTAAGCGGGAGAGAAAGCATACTTATTACACGAATAGCGCATGCTTTTATTTTCACCATTCGTGCAGCTTCACACGCACTGAGCTTGCAAGATAAACACGTTATAATTAAAAAAAAAAAAAAAAAATACAGCAGCTATCTCCGACAACCACGTATCTTGCAAGAACCATTTCCTACAGCGTATGATGCACAAAACTTGCTACAATTAGTGAAAGATTACTTAAACTCTGAACACTCGAAGTAGCAATTTATACCTTGCAGTGCTGCGAGCGTGATTCACTGAACAGGAGTAATCATATTGCTGTCTGCATTGCTACGTACAGTACCTGCACGAGTCCCCACAAGGGCTGTCCAAACAAAGCACAACAAATGCTGCGAAAAAAAAAAAAAAAAAAAGAATGCTTGCGCGCTTTTTAATAAGCGTGAAAACTCCAGCACGCGCGTGTTTTCAGTGAGGACATTAACCATGAAAACACAACTTTCCTTCTAACCTCTTCGCCGTTCACACCTCCCCTTTCTTGTTTTTGGAGGTTGGGGACCGACAACAGAGGCGGCCTTGACCGCCAGCGGAGCGTTCGAGTGGCTGCCCGGACATATGCGGCGAGCAAACATCAAGCCCCTGTCCACGAACAAAAAATAACAACAAAAAAAGTCCTCAAAAGTAGCTTTGAGGTTTTTTGTTTTTTTAATTTTTAATAGGAGCAAAAGTTTAACTTTTGGCACAGAAAATGCCATGCACGCATCTGCTGTATCCTGGACAGCCCTTCAGAGTGGGACCATGGAATAACAACCCCAACTCTGCAACGACCAGTGCAAACAAACAATACCAGAAGAAATGCACAAAAGATTTTATGTGCTGTCAATAGGATAAAAAGAAACACAATACACACACATTCAATACGAGATAAAAAGAGGTTCACAGGTCGGGGAGCTTCAGGGACAATCGGCCTTTTCAATGTACTTTGTCAGAGCCTTTCGCAGCCTTCTGAGGTTTTGTGTTGCGTTCTTGCCCAGGCCCTCCAAGTCTATGCGCGAAACATCTGGGTCAATGTTGAGGACCTAGGGAAAGGAAAGAATAGTGGAAGGGCACTATAATCATGAGGCAGGCATAGTCAATTTTAAAAAGGCTTTCTGTCCAATGCGCAACTTTCTAATCCTCTGCTGTACACCGCAGCCTCCGCTATTTACGTCGCAATTTTTTTCAAGCCCCTTCGTCTCTATTTTTCGTTTCGAACTCACAGCGCCATCAGGCATTGCCGCAAGGTCGAACAAACAAGGAAAAATATTTGTTGAATTCGCAAAACAATCTCGCAAGGCAGAGCAATTGATTCCCTAATGGTCCCAACAAGGAAATGAGCTCACATATTTTGTGGATGCGATCTTTCCTACTCAAGACCAGTTCAGAGTGAAACTGTCTTCCCCCTTCCATCACCTCAACCGAAATTGCCTCATCCTTCGAGCTTTTCGAATCCTGCGTTTTGTTCATTTGTTCAGTTTCTGCTGTTCGAACATAGTGATGTGATTAGTCCAAGTGATTTTGGAGCACCTTTTGGAGCAGCGAAAAGTCCATTTTGGAGCAAACAAAAAGTACTTTCGGAGCATAAGCACGCATTTCATTTTTATTCTTACCAGTGCGAATATCATGTTAAGATTTGTGTTTAGGCCTACTTCGCCTTCCTCCTCCCGAGCAACCTTTTGATGGCATCAACAGCATGGCAGGTTTCATTGCATAGCCAGCAGTTTAAGTGTGCATAAAAGTACAAGGCACAGTAAAAAGATTCTGATTGATGAAGGGCAGTATAAACAGCTGTGCATGGTTATTTTAGGTACAAAATCAAACACAAACCAAACAGTATATAGTCTAGTGAAATAATGTTAGAATATAATAATTTCAAGCACACAAATTAATGTTTTTTCCTCAAACTCTGTAGGTTGTAAAAAAACTGCAGTTTTTAGTTTAGATAGAATACCAAGCATTTGTCATTTGATTATGAACATTAATGGCATTTCCTCATGAAAACAAAAAATCCGTGTGTAAACAATAAATATGCTTTATAAAAAAAATTCACGCTGAACATGTTTAGGTTATTTTCTTGCAACTGCCCCAAATAATTCAGTTTTAAATTTTTGTTTGCACGGATGGAACCTATATAAAGGTAATACCTAAAGGAGAGTTGACATGAAAAATAAACATATTGAGCAGTTAAATTTATAAAAAAGTTTCCTTGCCATACTCAAGTATCCTCGATGAATCTTCAATGTGATATTGCTGTATACTACTAGCTGCAGATGTTTTTTTGTTGTTTCTCTAGAAACCGTGTTACTTTTTACAGTGGGGCAGTGCATTCCCCTTAGCATGCAGGTGCACTACAGCGAAGCAAGATATGCAAAATTGTGACGCCTACTATGCGGTGACAAGCACACTCAACGACGCCAACTGTCCGGACAGAACCGACAAGCACGAGAAACATAGCGAAACTTCCGAGCACTCAATATTTGATACAAAGATCAAATTGAATTTAATGTTATTTAAGGCGATAATCTAAAGCTTTGGAAATTTGCACTAGCCTACCGAGACGATCCAGCCAAGTATTGGGTCCCGATTTATTATATTTTCGGTACTAAAAAAACAAAAACAAGCTTTGGCACAATGGTGGCACAAATTCCTCACATTTTGGCAAAATGCAGCAGGATGTAACAGGGTAAGTGTTTCGGCACAGCTCAGCGCAAATGGCGCAGCCACCACATCACCGTCGAATGCCATACTTTTTTTTTATGCATTTTCTCGCGGTCCCAAAGTGACAAAAATTGGTTCGCAGGAGCCAGTGTGGAGTGCTGCTAAGATGAATGCGACCCCGGCGGTCAATCTTAGAAAAGCCAATGAAAAACTAGGGGAAAACGCGAATGTCTTTGTGCGGTACAGAAAACCACGTCGGATACGTTGAATTTTTTTGTTTTTTCAACGGCAGATATTGAAAATTAAGTGCAAAAGTGACCAAGAAAGCTACTACTGCAATCCACCTCCCGTCCCGCGGAGACAGTTTTGGCACTCACCTTTCCGTTGCCGAGCGGAAGCGTAATGATTGGTTTGAGGGGGGCCATGTTCTCGTTCTGCACTGGGCTACCGGACAGGGACACCAGGACCTCCCCCGCCTTGGCACGGCGTGCGGTCGACGGGGTCCGTCCCCGCCTGGAACACGAGCGGCCCATGCATAAACTTTGGTCGCCGGACGCTCAAAGGGAGCAACGGAACGCCCCATCTTGTGCTCGCTGCCATGGGCAATTCCTCAACCATCGAAGTACCTCGAATGCATCTGCTGCACATATATCTTAACACTGATTGTGTTTTAGGACCGGCTTCTGTTTTAGGACCGGCTTCCTCGAGTGCCACGAAATGTTGAAACAGAAAATATGCCAATGCCACGGGTTGTCTTTATGCTAACAAAAATTCTATCGGAGTTGGCAGCGAGTTAGCGGCAAAGGGAGAAGGAAAGCAATGCCATTTCGCTGTCTCTATCTCGGGAAACCATCGGGACCCACCTGGTGTCAAACTTTGGTGTGATGACCATGCGGGACAGGGAGCGAGGGTTCCTGGAGGGGGTTCTGGACAGCCGGCTGCTCGAGCTCGACCCCTTGTGACCCCTCGGCCCGCCGTCCTCCACCTTCTTGGCACCCCGCTTGGCCCGGGGCTTGGCCTTCTGGCCAGAAGTCTTCTTGGGTACCCTCCCTCTACCCTTGGTTTGCTATGCGTACAACAGAGAAAGATACAAGTACAGTGATGGAAGCGGCATTTGAGCTTTTGTAGCGGGCAAAATGGTGGTCTGGAGCAACCACCGAAGCTTTCGGAGCAAATGCTAACATCTATTAGCACATTACTTGAAAATAAACTGTGCTGGTCACTGAATCAGTTGATCTTGGATAATGAATGAAAATTCCTCTCTTGAAAGGGTCACTAAGCGGTTCTGTATTTGAGAAAAAAAAAAAAACACTTCAATAGTCTTCAAACACAAAAATTTTATCTTTTGTAATACGAATGGATAGGATACAAACGGAACACAAAGCCTTTTTTTTTAGAAATAAGACTCAGGTCAGAGTAGTTTGCATTTATAATGATATGAAAAAGAATGGTTGAAGAATGAAGCATAGCACAACACTTCAATCGAGATGAAGCCTCTCTCCCCCTCCCCATTTCACTCGGTAGTTCATTTAGCCTCCAAGTATAATTCCTGTAAAATGGCAATAAAAACTAGCATATCCATTAAAACATTTATCAATAAAAATATGTACCCAAAAGTTATATGAACCTACCGAACTTCAGATTCCATAAATCTGTTGTGCTTCAGCGTCATTGAAACCAGAGTCGATTCAAAGTTTGCTACCCTTTCGGTTGACTGCTGCTCTGTGACTACCTTGACTACTGTATTTATTTAAATATAGACCCGCATCTTTTTCCCCCTTTTTCGGCCCATCTTTTTAAAATCAGAGGTCAACCTACAGTCAAAACCAAAGGTCAACCTGTAATAGTACAGAGCCTAATTTCCAAGCCAATTGCGCTAACCCAGGCGCTATCCCAAGTCAGCTGCTGCTCCTATAGCAGTTTGGTGCAAAACAGAGAAACTCGACACACGGGCACAGGTGTGAAACAGTGAAGGTTGAAATGAGCAGCACAAGTGCCAATGTACACTGTGGCCAAGGCACAGAGGCATGTGGCAGATATAATAATCAAGTGATATCATCAGGAGTAAAAGACCCTGGCTCTGTCATATCACATTTGCCATCATCCTACTATATTTTGCAAATTTTTCTCGTGACTTACAACTCCTGACTTTGCCGACCTCCTTTGGAAATTCGAACAATGACGGGACCAGCGCAGTTGACGACCAATCTCCAATCAATTCATCTTAAAGGGGGGGTGCAACGATTTCCGGACTTCGGTCAAAGATCTCTGGAAGTGCCCTCTGACACTTCTGAAGTAAAGAACAGAAAACCGATTTCGCCTGCGTGTCCTAGTTGTTGCGTAAAAAAAGAAGATAAATATTGGCATTTCGGGGACCCCTCAACTCACTCCCAGCCTTCAGGGTCACACCTGGTCCCCCTCCTAGTGACGTCATTCAGAGTGCCGTGTAGGTTCCCGTGTGCTATGTCGGAGGACGCTTCCTCTCCCTCTCTCTGCTGACATTAGCGGGTGTTATGCTGCAGCTTAGAGCCGAGCGAGGTCACGTAATCTTTTCGCCATAGTTCCTTCGGCTGCCACTTGGGGCTGCAGGTGGGGGAAAAGCTCGACATTTGCTTTGCGATTATGCAGCGGAATCGCGACAATTTTAATGAAGGAGGTGTTTTCTCTATCCTCCGGGACACGATAAACAATGTAAAAATGACGAGATGCAAATTCTTTTAATCATAAAATCGTTGCACCGCCCCTTTAAGTCAAACCATATGGTGAATAGACATTGCAAAATATGAGGGGCGCCCAAAAAGTTATCAGCCTGACCCAGAAAGAGGCGACGGAGGTGAAGGAACTTGTGTTACTTTTCGACATAGATGGCTTTGAGGTCTACACACTTGGCTGAACAATGTTACAGTGTCTCAATCCCCCTGGAAAAAGAATCTGAAGGGGGTCCACAGCATCATTGATGTCAACATCACCAATAAAAGCGAACAACAGAAAAATTTTTTTCAGCTGGGGGTAGGTGTGGAATTTTGATGGTCGCCTACGGAAAAGCCGCAGGAGTGGTGGTGGCCATCATGACAGCAGCGCGGTATGGGGGCGCATTGTCCTGGTGGAACAAACCCCACTTTCAGAGCATACTGCGACGTTTGGCCTTAATAGCAGCCCACAGGCAATGAATCAGGGTTGTGTAGTAGTGTGCGGTGATGCTGTGCCCTTGTTGAAGGTAATTGCTGAGCAGTGCACCTGAATCCCAAAAATCCGTGGCCATCACCTTAGCTGCTGATGGAACAGGCTGAGCCTTCTTCGGTGGTGGAGAGGAGGACTGTTTCATTGTTTAGACTGGACTTCATTGTCGGGTTGAAAATGGTGGACCCAGGTTTCATCCAGTCACAAATCGGGCATTGAAGCCAGCGGGATCTGACCTGAGCAGCTCTGGATTGTCCCTGGATGTTGTACAGTGGGCGAGGTTTTGGTTATACGAAAGCAATCTTGGAACCCATCTGGTGGAGACTTTGTGCATGTCAGGGTGCTGGGTCAAGATGTACTGAACCCTTGTTTTGGACGTGCCTATGACGTGTGCAATGGTTCGAAGCTTTACTCGGCGATCTGCCATTACCTCACCGAGCACACAGTCGAAGTTTTTTCTTGCGCTATCACTTCCGAAGGTCGGCCAAGGGGTGGGGCCGTCGTCGAGGCTCTCCCATCTTTGATTGAATTTCAAAACCCACTTCTTCACCATGCTGTAGGATAGGGCACCCTGTGCCTACGTCGCCACCACATCTTTATAGATGCCTGCCCAAGTTAGGTCCTTCAGAGACAAATATTCAATCACCGAACATGTCTTCACTTTCTCATTTTTAGCTTGGCAGCACAGAGTGCCACCTGCTGGCAGCTGCCACAGGAAAACCGTACTGTGTGCATGTGCCATTTTTGGTGTTGCCAATCTTAAGAAAAGCCGATGCGCTATAATAATGTTTTATGTCTGTGCTTGCCATTCTTCTGTGTCAGGCCGAGGAACTTTTGAGATGCCCCTCGTATGTATGAATGCTTTGTTCAAGCCTTGGCGCAGACGTGGTATAATTCTTAGCGAAAATGGCACTGTGGCACAAGATGTAGCAGACTACAGTTTGTGGTGCAATATGGCAGAAATGATGCAGCATTTTCATCCCCGCAGATGTGTAAGAGTCACACGAACGTCAATATTTGTGAAACCCTTTGCGCTTCTGCTTTCGCGTAGGGGACACCGAGAAAACTTGAATGCTTCTGAATCCCGTGGGGTGCTTTGGGCAACCCCTTCGGCACATTGCTCTGGTGCGGAGGCCATAAAACAAATTTGTTGTTTTGGGGCACTCTGGGGAAGCCCCAGCTTTTTGGGAACAAAGTTGGGGAGGCCATAAAACGCCAAGCACCTGCACGAACGGCCCACGATTTCCTGGTGTTATCCGAGCAGTTGATTACCTGTCTAGACCCTCTCAGCATATTTTATGCATCTCTCCAATCAGATGTTTCAAACTAGCACTTTTAAATTCTGCAATGTAACATTAATGGTAGTACCATTTTTTAATATGCTGTAGGTACAGATATAACAACTAAGCATTGCATAAAACAAAAATCGCATACCTTTATCATGGTGCTTGTTATGGGGTCAGAACTGGAAAGAGAAGTTACGATAACATCAACGGGGCATTGAAACATTCCAAAGCAAATGCGTACAAGATGTAGGCCCCCTAAGAAATAAAAATATATGAGTTATCTTTTGCTAAGATTGCTCAAAAGAACACGCATGCAGCTCTTCTCAACAATACACCGAATTTGCATACACGCTAAGTGCAAATTTCAGCTTCTTTGAATGCCAGTGATGTGATTGGTCTGGGCTGTTGGCACAAACACGCACTTCATTTTATTCATACCGCTGTGAGCATTATATGTTAAAATTTGCGTGTTGGCCTGTCGAACTAGAAAAAGGCTCAATTTTCATTCACACTTCTCTGCAACCTTGCGTTAGCATCAACTGCATGGCAGGTTTGATTCCTGCAAACACAGAATTAACTATTTAGTTGCACATAGCACTAGGCATGGCAACAAAATGCTGATTGAAGAATATTACAGATAGTTGTGAGTTGTTATTTTAGGTATGAAATCAGATGTAAACCAAGTATAGTATATTCCACAGAAACAATGTTAGAATAGAGTAATCTTGAGCATTTAACTTGATGTTTCATTCAAGTTCTAAAGGTTGTCATAAAAGCAAGATTCGTAATTCAGATTAAAAAAAAAATGTATGATTGGTTTGAGCATCAATGACATTTTATATGCAGGATTTCATGATAATAATCGGCAGGACTTAAAACAACCCAGCCCAACTCGTTAAGGTTATTCCCATATTTTCCATTCACTGCTTTACCTACTTTCGTATTAATTTACTTAATTGACTACCTCTAACAGATAAGCCCCATATTATAAAAGTGATAACATAAATGAGAGAGTCAAAATAAAAACAAACTCTTAGAGTGGTTCATATTAATTTTCTATCAAGTACCCTCGCTAAATCTCAAACTTAAAAGAAAAAAAAAAGATACTGTAGAATACCCCGCATCCACCCCCATCCTACACTAAGCGCCCATTCCCAAATTTGTAAGATCAGAGAAAATATGCACAGTACATTTAAAAGTAAAATTAATGACCAGACAAGCGCCCATCCCCCATTTTTTCGTGATCATCTTTAACCCTTGAGTGGGTGCTTGCCCGGTATTTTACGGTATACACTATATACATATTGCAAGAATATTGCCATCTATTATAAATAACAGCCAGTTTCATTCAGAAACATTTACTGCAGGGTTGAGTGCTACCTTAACACTCACCAATTTTTTTTTTTTTTTTTTTTAGGGAGGATGTGGGGTTTTAGAGCAATTTTCTTTTTAGTAAAGAATAGTTATATTATACACCGATATAACACATCTAGCACCTATTTCAAATATGCAATCAGATATTGAATATCTTTACAAGAACCCGAGTTATGGGAAATCGGTCTAATTAGATGGCCATAAAGTTCAGCGAAAACGCCCGCCCCCGAGAGATCGCCCATCCCGTTTTTCTGGCTAAATATCTAACAAAATTCCCAAACATTGCCCACCCCACCATTCGAGTGGGACGTGACGCGATGTCCGAGGGAAATCACATCAATTGCGCGATTTGCTGTACCGACACGTCAAGCGACTTACTAGCAGGTTCCCGCATTTATGTCCGCGATCTGCGCGCGCGAGTTGTTCCTGCGTGCATGCTGCACCATGAAATGCATATCTGCTGCGTCCACAATCTGCGGTATCTGTTCCCGTGACAAAGTTTGCGGCGGATTCCCGCGTATTGCGCGCGTGATGTCGATTCAATGCAAGGTGATCCCGCATATATATTGCATTGTGAACTACGATTCTGCTACGTTCGCTACCTGCGGTATTTGTTCTTGCAACATACGAGTTTGTGGCGGATTCCCGCGTTTTTTTTCCCCCCGTGATTTGTGCGGGCAATATGGGTTCCCATGACAGGAAAGTTTGTAGCAGGTCCCCCGTGTTTCTTACACCTTAAAAGTTGAATTTGTGGAGTCAGCAATTTGTGGTATTCGTACCCGGGTGATGAGAGTTTTCGGCAAGTTTCTGCGGGTACTTTGCACAGTGAAACGCAAATCTGCTGCGTCTGCAACCCGCGTCATCCTTTCCCGTGTCCCGTGACACAGAAGTTCGTAGCGAATTCCCACGTGTTTATCACATTGTGGAACGGAAATTTGTGGTGTCCACGATCTGCAGTATCAGTTCTCGCGTCACGTTGTTTGTTTATTATTAATGTTTGAAAAAGATTTGCTGGGGCATCAACAAAGATAGCCCGGCCCATGTTTTTCACCATTTATCTCCTCATTTTGGGTGGGCGTTGTTTCGGAACTTCACGTAGGTTATTTGTTACGGGTCGTCAGAGAAAAATTATTCTTAAATTATCAAAAATTTTAATGCAACTGCATTCACAGAGGTGCAATTTGTGCGGTGATGCTATTTTAGATCTCACCTGAGAAAGTCAGGTTACTAAAAAAATGACTAATTATAGTGTAAAAGACATGTTTTCTCGTTATTTAAGGATGTAATTAATTGAATAGTACCTTTAAGTTGGAAGACTATAAAAATACCATCACTGCACAGCTCCATTCCTCCCAATTAAAATGGCACCAAACATGCTAATATTTTCCAAGTCAAACTTCAGCAAACGCCTGTAAGGCATCGAAACTTCTGAAAAAAGTGTGAAAAGAGAAAAAAGCCCTTGAAGTATCTGTATTCCTACTGAATGTTCACAGAAAAATTAAGAGTTCATATGTTCTTTCATATTTGAAAATTAGATAGAGCAATAATACTTTGCACAGAGCTGGGTGGGTATGTTTAAACATCAGAAAAGCCATTTTTTCAAAAATGACTTTTCTCCAACTTTTTTACAATTTAAAGACCAGCCTCCCCACTTAAGCATAAAATGCTTTTTAACGTACTTTCCAAAAACGAAAATTCTGTCCATCCGTCCATACTTTTCTCGCTAAATTTAGTGGGGAAACTAAATTTGTGTTTAGGTCACGCAATGTTGTGGAAATGCAGTCATTTCCTCCCCTTGAGAGGCCCCGACGGGACCGCGGAGCGGGCCGCCAGACCCGCTCGTCCACCAGCACATATCCATTGGCGCCGAGAGGCGCAGCGCCATCTTGGAAGTCATGGATGAAGAAAGAATAAAACAATTAAAACAGGGACAACACAACCACATCTTTCAATGAAAGATGTGGTTGTGTTGTCCCTGCTTTAATTGTTTTATTCTTTCTTCATCCATGACTTAAACCAACACGCTCTTCTCCCAAGCATCTTGGAAGCTGTGCCCTCGTCCCTTCCTCCAATAGGGGACACGATTGTCCCTAACAACCGGGACCCCCGACGTCAAGGGTCTCCCGGGGAAGCGGGGAAGAGCAGGCGTCTCATGCCAACGCGGAGGCACTCTCTCGGTAGCCCTCGTAGCGGGCGATGGTACGTCGCGTCAGTGCATTGGTCGGCGAGTCTTTACTCGTCACTAGTACCTAGTGTGTACCATTGCTGATATTTATATTGGCTGCGCAAAAGGCGATTAAGCACTTTTGGTCACCCAGCACACTGAGGTACGTCCGACTTTGTTGTAAGAGCTACACTGTGCAGCAAAAGAAATAGACCCGCCGCAGCGGTTGATACGTGAGTAGGCTGCAGGGTGGGAGTTGCAACCCGGGGCTCTCTGCGAACTGAACTGGTAGTTGGGGTCCCACAACGTCACTTGACGTCGTATGAACCAATGTCACGTGGCCTATATGCCAGACTCTCTACAAGAAGCATCACTCACACGACACTGCAGAAAATGCCAGTGCGTTTTAAGACTAACAAACAAAGCCTTCAATCCAGAAGGCGTGGCCACAGCCAAAGTGAAATTTGGGAAGTCTGGCCAGCTGCAGCTGTACATGGCGGATACATTAGGACCACCACTCTTTGAGAGAGACTGGATCAACCATTTCAACCTTCTGGAGCTTTGTGATGTGCTGAACATGGACAACCGACCTCAACTAAAGAGGCAGGACCAGCTGGACAAGAAACTTGCAGAGTCTAAGGACTTTTTGATGACAGAATCTGAAAGCTCAAGGACTTCAAACTGAAGCTGCACTTGAAGAGCGATGCTCACCCCAAGTTCTGCCGCCCTCGTCAAGTCCCATATGCCTTGAACGAAAACTGACCGCTGAGCTAGACCGCCTGGAGTCTGAGATGTCTCGACAAAGGTCAACCACAGTGATTGGGCTACGCCCATTGTGCCAGTGGTGAAGCCAAATCAAACTGTCCGCATTTGCGGAGACTTCAAAAGCACGATCAATCCCCACCTTGTGGTGGACCAGTATCCGCTACCTCGCATTGAGGACATTTTTGCAAGGTTGTCCGGCAAAAGAAAATTTTCCAAGATTGATTTTCGACAAGCTTACCTTCAGGTGGAAGTGAATGAACAATCGAAGCAACTCCTAACTGTCAACACTGAGTAAGGACTGTACTGGTACAACAGGATGATCTTTGGAATATCACTTGCTCCAGCTGTCTGACAACGAACGATTGACCTGACCTCCAAGGAATTTCAATGTGTCATAGAACACAGGATGACATCTTGGTCACTGGCGAGTCCAAGACTCTGATTTACTGCGCTAAAAACTTGACTGAACGGGTTTGTACAAGAGTCAGGACGAAATCAGGGCTGTGGTGGAAGCTCCAATGCCCAAGTCCACAGCTGAACTGAGGTCGTTCCTCGGCCTTGTCAACTGCTATGGAAAGTTTATTCCCAACTGTGCTAACCTCCTTCGACCACTACATGTTCTCCTAGAAAAGTCGTCCATTTGGAAGTGGACCAAGGAGTGTGAGCTGGCATTCAAGCAAGCCAAGGAAATCGTAGCATCAGACACCGTGCCTGCCTACTATGACCCTAGGTTGGAGGTGGGTCTTGCCTGTGACGCAGGACACCAAGGACTGGGAGCTGTTTCTCACATGTGATGCCAGATGGAAGCGGAAGACCCATCGCATTTGCTTCATGTACACTGAAGACATCGAAGAATAGCTATTCACAAATAGACAAAGAGGCTCTAGCCGTCGTCTGGGGAATACAGAAATTCCATGCATACCTCTATGGAAGGCACTTCAAGCTGATCACATATCATCAACCACTCACACATCTATACACCAACTTAACTCTCCTATGTCACGCCATGGTGGTGGCGCGCCGGACGCACTTCCGGTCTGGGGCGGTGGGCAGAAGTCGCCGTGCCAGACATGCATTCCTGTGTTCCTTCGGAAGATGCGAGACAAAAAACCTGCCTTCTCGTCAAAATGCTGCGATGGGGGCTGTACCAAGAGAGTCTGGAAAGATTTGAAGATCAGTTTTCATGTGTTTTTGCCCCCTCCGTTCGTCCGAGAACGTGGATAGTAGCCGTGAAAAGGGCAAACCAGACGCTGTCGAACTACGATTGCGTGTGCGAGCAACACTTTGTGGTTGCCAGATGTATTTGCTTTGTTCCAGCATGAACGAGAGAAAACCGCCAAGTTGTCCGGACCACCCACGGGCTCAGTGCGTCTTCAAATTCACACGGCCGCCTGATCGTTCGAACTTTGCCTGCTCTTTCAAACTTGTCTGCTTTTTGTCGTCTGCTCGTTCAAACAAAAGCGGCCCGTAGACCAAACTTTGACGCGGGGATTGCAATAAGAAGTAATTGCAGGCCTGAAAAGACTTAAGTAGGCTTGGTGTAAACAGTAGATACAAGATGTTGATCATTGGTACCGGTGGCCATCACCGACTTGTTACGCTTGGTCTGTTCCCGCTTCTGATTTTCAGTATCGACGTCGATCATCGCCGCTACCTTCTACACTTTTGCAGCACGAGCGACCTCGTGACCGAAAATAGCTAGAAGAATATCATCCTGGTTTTGGCGTCCATTCTGCGGCGTCCATGCGAATGAATCGCCGCACGTCAAATTATTTACGAAAAGTTTAGCGGCGTAACGAGCCTTAATAATTTCGCTCAGGCGATTAAAGTGGTAAGACATTGCGATGACGACGTAGAATCGACAATTCCAACGCGAAAAAGAGTATGCAGACTCACACAGACGCCGACAACATGACATTCGAATGGTTTGTTGACGCGGGGCGCGGTGCTTCTTGCCCGTACTCCATTGCGCATGCGTTCGAACTGTCGTCTGCTCTTTCAAACTTGGCTGCTTTTTGTCGTCAGCTCATTCAAACGTCAGCGGCCCGTAAACAAAACGTTGACCCGGTAATTGCGATAAGAACTAAGTGCAGGCCTCAAAACACTTTTGAAGGTTGGTTTGGGTAAATAGGCTAAGTGTAAACAGATACTAGAAGATGTTGATCATTGTTACCAGTGGCCATCACCGACTTGTAATGCCCGATTCTACTTGCGGTTTTCAGTATCGACGTCCACCATCTCAGCTACGGTCCACGCTTTTGCAGTCCGTGCGACGTCGCGACTGAAAATAGCGAGCAGAATCTCATCGTGGGAGTCAGGCTTTAGCGCCCATTCTGCGGCGTCCACGTGAAATGAATCACCGCACGTCACATTATTCACGCAAAGTTTTGCCTCGTTAGTTTTTCTGAAGCCGCTCAAGTAGTCAGACATTGTTAGCAGGACGTAAAATCAATGATTCCAACGCGAAAAAGAGCACGGGGACTCCCACCGACGCCGACAACAACGCAATTCAATGGTTTGTTTATGGGCGACGGCAGGCTTCTTGCCCACCATCCACCGCGCATGCGCGGCGCCGGTGGCGTCCGCTAGGGGCGCTCCGGTTTGTTTGTAAACATGAGTTGGTGTATAGCCTGAGCAGCAGCATACCTGCAATGCAGGCAATGCGTATCCAGAGATACGCACTGTTTCTGGCTGGGTTCGACTACAAGATTAAATACCGAAGGTCTGAAGACAATGCAAATGCATACTCCATGTCACGTCTTCCCATACCTGCTGCGCCAGAGGGCAAGCCAGACGAAGCAGAACTCTTTCACATGCCCCAAGTGGAAACCCTTCTTGCGACTGCACAACGAGTCAGACAAGCAAGTCAACGCGACTGCATCCTGTCAAAAGTGCATTTCCACGTCGTGAACGGCTAGAGCACTTATGATCAAGATGACGAAAACCTGCCTTCTACCGACAAAGGCTGTACATCAGGAATAATCGTGTGTGGGATCAGGACAGTTATTCCAGTTAAGCTACGGGAACTCATCCTGCAGGACTTGCACACAGAAATCAAGGGACTGTGAAGATGAAGGCACCTGCACGTTCCTGTGTGGTGGCCTTCCATCGATGCCAACTTCGAAGCTATCACCAAAAAGTGCAGCGGATGCTCCCGACAAAGCAACATGTCTCCAAAGGCACCACTTTATCCTTGGGAGATTCCCAGTGGACCATGGCATCGTGTCCACTTGGACTTCGCAGGACCGTTCCTCGGCAAGATTTTCCTCATTGCAGTTCATTATTTCTCAAAATGGCCAGAAGTCTATGTCATGAGCTGTACAACTGTAGTACACACTGTCGACATCCTTCGCGACATGTCTGCATGGAGCGGATTTCCCGAACGTGTTGTCACTGACAATGGTCCCCAATTTTGGGGCCCATTGTCGACACACATTCAGTGTGCCATACCACCCGGCAACGAATGGACTTGCAGAAAGATATGTGCAATCCTTCAAGCACAGCATGGAGGGGGAAGGCTCAGCGAACAAAAAGCTGGCAAACTTCCTGTTGGCATATCGCACCACACCACATTGTACAACTGGTGAGGCACCTGCCAAACTGTTTTTCAGGAGTGACCTGCGAACTCGACCGACACTTCTGCGACCAGATCTGAACGCACAAATGTACTTGCAGACAAAACAAGATCCTGTTCAGAACAGACGACTGTGCTCGTCTTTAGAAGGAGACCCTGTGTCAGTGCGAGATTACTGCAGCCAAAGCAAGTGGGTGCCTGGAAAAGTTGTGAGGAGAACTGGCTCTTTTTCATAACAAGTAAAAGTCTGAGAAGCCACTTGGAATCGTCACATTGACCAGCTACGTAGTGGTCATTCCATCCACCAACACCAGCCAGAGCCGGAAGACGAAAAAGATGCTTGCCCAAGCCCAGGTTTGGAAGCGACAAATGACACGCCAGAGATTGTTGCATCTGCAAACTCCAAAACAAAAAAGCGGCACAAGTGGCACACCAGCTGTAGGCCATAGCAGTAGCACTGTAAGGGAGAAACATCAAGAAAATACGCCAAATGCTAGTCGTCCCCAACCACTGCGGCGACCTCCTCGCAGACTGGACCTTTAAATTTGTTGCAGAGGAATTCTTGTATTTAGCCTAAATGAACATTCAGGCGACAACCATGAGCAGGAGAACCCAAGAGAAGATGGCCGCCCTACTGTAACCACTGTAACCGTCCTATAACCATTCTCTTCATACCTTTACAAATAAATTCCAGTTATCAAACCTAACACACGGGTGCACTGCAGTGAAGAAAGGTAAGCAAAACCGCAATGCATACTTGGGCAGTTGTCACTTCACTGCGGTACACAAACGCACGGTGAGAAGCGCACTAGACAAAGCTAGCTAACCCACCAGAGCAGACTATGAACATAAAAAATATTGCAAAAATTTCGAGAACTCGCAGTGTTTGACAGCAAGAACAAATGAAACAGCGCGTGATTTGCGGCAATAATCGGAAGTTCAGAAAATTCGTAGAGGCCTACCGTAACTATCCGGACATGTAACAGAGCCTAAGCCGTTATATTTCTAGTATTAATAAAGTCAAATTAAGTTTTGGTGCAATGTTGCCACAAATTCCTCCCATTTTGGCTAAATATAGCAGGATATAGCTGGGTCAGCACTTTGGTGCAACAATCGCATCACTGACATGCATGTCAAGGGAAGAAAGTAAAAAAGTTGCGATTTTCCACACTTTTCCCAGACTTTCACGGTTTAGCCAAGTTTTTGGACAACTCTTTATCATGCTTGCTAGGACTCACCGAAAATCTGAGACTTACAAAGTTTGTAAACACCCCAAAAAACAAGCTGAAAAACGAAATAGATGTTGCACACACCTGAAATTGGAAGTGCTGGGGACAGTGCAGCCTGAGGAAGTGTCGGAGTCCGTGAATGCGTAGATGTCCGACTCTAAGAGAAGAGAGTCGAAACCAAATCCTATACATTAGCTTTTCTCTACAGCAAGTTCAAACGCTGCTCGCCAGTACGATGTGGCCTCTTCAGCCCAGGCAAGCCTGTTCCAGGGACATTTGTTAGAAAAAGCGGGCATCAGACGAGCGTGGCACAAGAATCTGGGGTTTTCTGGATCAGCAGCTAGGAGGGCCAGTGTGTCAAGAACACAGCGAACAAAAATATCCAAATGGAGCACGGGGCCACGTAGTTAATATAAATGCAACGACGGAAGCGGCAATTGATTTTCTGTAACAGGATTTGTAGCAGGCAAAATATTGATTTGGAACAGTCACTGACACTTTTGGAGCTGATGCCAACATCTGTTTGCTTACCACTTGAAAATGAAAAAGTAATGATTGCCACTTGAAAAAAAAAAGTAATGATTACCACTTGAAAATGAAAAGTAATGAAAGTAATGAAAAAGTAACCTTCTTAGAAATAAGGCCCAGGCCAAAGCAAATTCTGTTTACAATTACCTAGTATTCAAAAAATTTTGTAAAATAAAGCACGGAGCAACATTTCAGTTGAGATAAAGCCTTGCCCCCCTCTCCTCTTCTGTGCTCGATGGCGTATTTAGCCTGTAAATATAATTCCCATAAGTGCCAGCAAAAATTAGCATAACCGCCAAGACGTTCATCAATAAAAATATGTCCTCCCAAGTTCTCTGAGCCTACAAAGCTCAAGAATTCTATATAATAAATTGCAAAATCAACCACCCAAGAATATTATGAAAACATACAGCAATGCTTTAAAAAGTAGGCCTGCGTTCTCGTGGCGATGGAGCCAGAGCGATTGATTGCGGCACGGGAATTGACCTCATTTATTCAAATATAGACCCGCATTTGCCCCATTTCTCAACTAGCTTTTATAAATTAAAGGTCAGCGTAGAGTCAAGACTAAGGAAGGTCGACCTGCAATAGTACTGAGCATAATTGTCGAGCCAATCGCCACCCCAGGCACTCTCCCATGTCGGCCGCTGCTCCTAGCACTCTGGTACAAAGCGGTGAAGCTCGACGCACGCGTGCCGGTGTGAGATGGTAAAAATCTATGCGAGCGGCAGAAGGGCCATGGTACATTGTAGACATGGGATGGAGGCATGTGGCAGACATGATAGCCAAGTGATCTCATCAGGAGTAAAAGGCCCTGGTTCTGTCCTGCTACAATAGCCGCCATCCCACTACTCTGCACATTCTTCTTGAAATTTAGCTCCTGACATCACCAACATCGTCTGAAAAATCGGATGATGTCGAGGCCAGCGCGGTTCACGAGCAGTCCCTATACTTTGTACCACCTTAAGTCGATGCGCAGCCGACGACACCAGCCAATGGAACCAATTAAACAGCGTCAAAAGCGCAGCATCGTGACATTCATCATCTCTCTGAACGAGTTCTTTGATTGGCTAAACCAAACAAGCGCAGGTCCGTGACTTGAGCTTTTAGTGTGTGTGTTGGGGGTTGTGTGTGTTTGAGCCTTCGACTGCGCTCTTACCTAAGATGGAAGAAATTACACGGAAGGTAAGGACACTGTAGAATAGACCTTTGTACAGTTTTCCTCTTCTACTTCTCTCAATGTTAGGATTAAACAAAACCTAAATATTTTCGTTTTTTTTCCTTTGTTTAAGCCCACATTGGCGCTGATGTGGTGCAATTCTAAGCAAAAATGGTATTTTGGCGCAACATGTAGCAGACTTTTATTTGTGGCTCAATTTGTCACAAATGGCGTAGCACTTCCATTGCTGGTAATGCACCCAGAACAGTTATAGTCTGCAACAGGTTAACAACCCCAGTAGAAGCTGCGCCTCTCGCACGCACTTGTCACCTTCTGCCAGGCTTTAGCTGCACAGCTGAAGTGCATTATCAGAGGCAGAAAGCTCGCACCGAAGGTGGAGCACCTGCAGAGTTCTTAAAGGGCTCATGCAAAGCAAATAGATATGCCCATACTTAATTTTAACAAAATGGATGAGACCTCCAAGATCCTAAATCCAAAATATTGTGGCGAAACATTGCGCCCACATTCTATAAACCGTTCTTCAAAATCGTGCTTCTTGGGGTGCCTGGAACGACCATGCATTACTTGGCCAGCTTGAGCAACAAAATGTCACAAGAATACCTGTGTAAGGTTGAGGATCTACTGTACTTTGTGTTCCAATAATAAAAAGTAAGTTATGAAAATATTGAGGAATTTACTGGCGTTCTAAAACTAATTCTCCGGTACTACAGTCTAAGCCCGTTACAACAGATTTTGATTTTGACCAAGATTTCGGTCTGTTGTAAGAGAAGTATGTTGTACGCAGATATGGAGTTGAGTGAATGGTATGTAGAAGAAAACCAACCAAACTTCACAAATCGGTATGTTTTATCCAAATGACTGTTGTAAGCAAGCCTGTTGTAATGAGTTTAAACTGTATATCACATGATTGCCGGTAAGTTTCGTTTTCAAACACAGATTTCTGTCGTCCAGCAACCATAGCAACGTTGCGTCCTGCCATGTACTGGTCGCTGTGCATTTTTTGCGCGCGAAAGGTTTAGGTTGTGGTGTGTGCTCGGCATCATTGGCATGTGTAGTGCGCGAGCTCCAGCACTTGCCATGCTGATCGTGTGCGTTGCGAGACAGTGCAGCACAAGGTATGATAGAGTAAACGACATTTGGTTTCATAAGTTGCCGGACGGATGCGGTAACAAGTGGAAGACAGTGCTGCGTCAGTCCACTTTTCCCCGTGTTCCTTCTAAAATTTTTTTTTCCCCCACATAGCTAGCGGAATGTCCCGAAAACCAGTGGCGCAATCTATGAAAATGCTCGAGTCCCCCAGTTTATTGAGTTATGCTATATGAATTGCCCAAAGGAAAACGCGACCGAGTGCCACTGTCGCATTCGAAGCTCGTTGTCGAGCCAGCAAAAGCGGAGCTCGGCAAAGTGCAAGGTTACCGGCGAAAACTATTTCTCGAAGCGTCCGCAACCTGCAACTATGGTACCTGGAATGCGTCTCCGACCGGTGCGTTTACCGCACCCCACAAAAGTGGTCTTGGTCTCCGCCCAACGATGTCGCGGAAGTGTCATCTCATCGCCGGCTGCCACCCTGGCAATGTCTCGGCAGCAGCGGTGGGTGCGACAGACGCCCGCCCTGCTGCAGGTCGCTCACGAGTGCGACTGCCCACAGAAGCTTCGGCAATCAGATGTCGGGACGCCGCAGTGACGGCGATGCTCACACTTTTGGCCGGAGCTATGACGCCCGATTGCCAGGACCGCGACGCCCGACGGCACGACACTCTCGCATTTGCGACATCACTTGTTGGCACTTCGGGAACACTTTCGGCATGTAGACAGGACGCCAAACAAACTAGTCGCTTTCTAGGCACCATGACGCAACCAAAAGGCAACTGAAGAGGCGCCGTTTCGGACATTTGTCACATCTCGGCGGCTTACCTTTTTCGCCCATAACCTCCAGGAAGTTCTTGTCCAAAAGTCCCTGGAAAATCGAAAAGGCACTTGCAGTCGCCGCATAGGACGGATTCACGAAACAAATTTTCAATCCTGGCAAGCATTACGTCGGCCACGTTGACGGACGACTTCCTTCGTTACCTCTTTTAGAACTTTCAGCGAAGACAGTCAGTTGTCAAGAGCATGTCTTAGGCAGCGGACTACACCAGTGTGGCAAGTGGCTCCGTTGACGCCAGTCGAATTTAGGAGTTTTACGTGCCAAACCAACGAAGGGCATCCAGCACGCCCCAGCTGGAGACTGAGAATTATGGTCTTCGGCCGGGGCGTGCAAACCGAAATGTTGGTTATGCGGCTCCTTCTTTGCAAAAAGCCTCCGTCAGACTGCGGGCACCTCGGCCAGGATTCAAACCAGCCGACTGGGGATTCGTAAGCCACCACCGAGGCGGATGCTCGATTTCACCCGAGTCTGTCCGTAGCTGATGCTATGACTCAAAGGAGCCTACCAAGCTAGCCAAAAAGTGCTTCGTCACAGCGCTCATTGTCCTTGTGGGGTTGCCATCGTCCGGAAGAACCAACCACACAATGAACAAATGGCAGGATTATGGCGCATTCATTCCGAGTGACTGGATGGGTCGGTGTTAGCAAGTGCACAAGGGCGACGAGTATTGCGACGACGCGCTTTAAGTGCCGCTTGATTGGCTTTACCATACTGTAGCGTCGGCCGTGGTCGGACTTAAAATGGAGTATGGCGACGAACAGCCTCAGCTTACAGTGTGCTCGAAGTCCAGAATGATTTCGTTGATGTATGTGGTGGACTTCTCGCAGATGGCCTGCGCGTCGGAGTGCATCGTTTCAAAGGCGGCTACGATGCCCACTTCAACGTCCCGCAGCCGCGCCTCCATCAACTCCAGCATGGTCCGGCGGACGGCTGCCTGGGTGGGAGCCACGCTGGAACGGGACTTGCGCAGTACCACCGGCTTGGTGCAAGGCATCTCTGCAATCGAGACATAAAAACACCGTTGCACTCGCACTACGATGCCCAGGACACGGCAAATGCCACGCACAAAAAGAAGGTGCATGCGGTTCTCAAAATACTAATAAGTTGCGGTGCGCATGCAAGTTTTCGGCGACGCCATTAACCGTGCAAACAGCACGGCTAGCCCCATAGCCGTCGTCTCCTCCCTTCCTTGTTCTAGGAGATTGGGGACCAACAACGGTGGTGGCCTCGACGACAACCAGTACAGCGTGCAAGTGCCCGTCCGGACCCACGCGCGATCGGCATGCTCCAGACCCCTGTCCGAGGACAAAAACAAAAAATGACTTCCCCCGGCAGAAAAATAAAAAATGTCCCAAAGTGCATTGGAATTGGAGGAAAACCTTCACTTCCGGTACAGCAAATGCTGTGACTGCAGAAAGAGTGTTCCGTTTGGACGGCCCTTGATGTGAGTCTATGACCGGTGCTCGCTATGCTCTCAAAAATGGTAGCTCGTATTCCGCTAGACGACTTCATAAACGTGTCATGCCCTTGCCTGTCGCGGCGGTTGCGCAGCGGCAGAGGTGGATGAGGCAGACACCTGTTCTGCTGAGGGTCGCTCTGCAGTTACGGTCGATGGAAACCTAGGGGGACGAGAGTGGAGGTGCCGCAACGACGGCGGCCCTCACATCCGCTCGCTTTTTCTGTCGGCGTTTTTACGACCGATTGCCAGGATCCTGACAACCAAAAGCATGACAGAGACCCCCAATTGAAAAGGGCGTGTATCTCACTCAACCCATGGGGAGCGCTTGCAATTTCATGGTGGACGCCTGCTGCGGAAATTGGTTGCAACTGCACGAGCGCTGCATTTTTGCGTGGCAAGGAGGACAGCAGGCTGAAAGGCAGACATTTGCGGACGATCAACATTTTCGGCACCTCCTCGCAGCTCACATTGCAAGCGTGGACCATAAACCACGTGGGCCCAATCAAGCAGTTGGGAACATTCTGTAATACAGGCTCTCGGCATGACACACCGGCTCCTTGGATGGAATTTGTTGTCACTTCAGAACCACCTTTAATGCATGGCCAGGGTAAATCTAGGACGGTAAAGGCACCAGTCAAAGACTCATTTCAGGCACCACACTGTAACCAAGAATTCTACTGCTGATTCTTGGGCGAGTTGGTATTGTACGTGAGAAAACATGATTGCGCTTAAAGACACGAACAAAGGAAGAACAGACACCACAGAGAGCTTACTTTCGACTGATTTATTCCAAGAGCCTCAACTTAGATACACACTGCGTCACCGCACCGCATCTCAACTAATCCGTGGCTCCGCCACGAACCACAAATACACTATCTCTTTCTTCTAAGACCATTAAAGCCACGCTGATACAGCACGTGCCGGAACTATTGATGGCGTCCACCTCAATAGTTCCGGCACGTGCTGTTTCAGCGTGGCTTCAATAGACCCTTTCAGAAATTCAGTGCCATCTGGTGGTTCGTAAAGCAGTTTAGGTTTTGCCCTATCAATGGCGGAAATGAACTTGTATCGGCACCGTCACTTTCGCAAGTCGACGGCACGCGAGGAATTGTTCAGTGTGAGTTCTTTCTCGATCACTTTCAGGTCGATGGTGACCAAGAACGTGCATTCAGAACAAAGCTCCCACCCACTGAGATGCCTCGAGAAAATTCTATACACCAAAGTGCTTTAAAGCCGATTGTGTGCCACGACAGATTGACTGAATCTGAGCAATTAGAAATAAGCGCTTACGTAGCTCTTGTGTTCCAGCCCTACTTCGCTTCGTACTGACCCCCGAACGTACAGGCCTCGCAATATCCGCTTAGGAGCATCTTCAACGTCTTCCTTTATCAGTCACTAGAAGGCCACCATTCGTATGGCACAGATGCCGTTCCACACATGATGATAGTGATCAAAGTGGCCAGACTGAATTTCGGAAAGGGTCTATTGACTTGGCAGAAAAAGAGATAGTGTACTTGCTTGTCTGTGGTGGGGCCACGGATTGGTTGAGATGTGGTGCAGTGACGCAGTGTGTATCTACGTTGAGGCTCTTGGATTAATCGGTTGAAAGTTAGTGCTCTGTGGTGCGTGTTCTTCCTCTGTCCTTGTCTTAAAGCGCAATCATGTATTCTCAAGAATTCTATTTTGGCACGGATGTTTGAGCGGCTCTTGTAGGCATTGCAGGATTCCTATTTCCCTCTGGTAGGCCTGCCCACTGGAGCACATCGCAGAAGCACAGTAGAAGCTCGCCGTCAGCTGGAGCTTAATGGCCACAGACTCGCCTTGCCCCCGCCCCCAACTTGCCCCCACCAGACAAAGTCTATGGCGACCTGATAGCACTACATGACTAGTCAGGTTGCCACAGGAGGGGTATTAACTGGCTGACATAGCCGAGTCCATGGCACCAGACTTCCTTTGATGTAAAAAAGAATTACATCAATATTACTGTCTGCCGAGGGGTCATAAGAAACTGAACTGTCAACAAACTGGCGGGAGCCCCCCACGCAGGCGAAGATAGTCTTCTTCGGTTAATTTTATGGCTGTGGCTAGGGTTCTGTCTAGATGGAACAATAGTCATCACTAGAGTCCCGTCGGTATGGAACCAATAACCACCACTAGAGTCCCGTCCAGACGGAAAGTTAGCAAACCCTATGAAGTTCCGTCCAGACAGAACTATAGCCACCGCAAGAGTTCCGTCCAGATGGAGGAGAAATGCGCCACTGAAGCTCCATCCAGCATACACAAGTATCGATCCCTGCACTCCACCCCTGACCAATTTCCAGAGAAATAACTTTAATGTAGTCTTTTTTTAAGTCATATGCACTAGTTGCAACAATCCTATAACATTTCAACTGCTTCCGGAAAGTTTGTCCAACCTCTGCAAACCAAGCATCTCTGGCCTCTATTACCTCATACATCCATAAAAAATCTCCCATGAAGCTTTCTTCTATTTTTAGGGCGGAGCTGTTAAGGGCTAGCTTCCCCAGGATCGCGTCTGCCGGATTAGAAATGGTAACACCGAACTCTGGACAGCTACCGCCATCTATGAGCTATGGCGGCAACCTGTCTTCAAAAAAAAGAAGAGAGAGAGTGGAACGAGCAGCGACTTGCGCAGGAGCGCGAATGGTTCCGCAACCACCGCGAAGCCGCTATCGCCTAAAGTTCCACTGTGTCGAGCACTTCAGATTCCCTTGCGAAAGAGCAGATGCTCGCCTGGAAAGCCAACGCCGAGAACAGAAGCTACAGCTCCACTGCTCTTCCTTCCTCACCAGGGTGAAAAGGCTGAAAGTTTTCTTTTTGAAGAGTTTGTAGTTACTGGGAGCCAGACAAAGCTTTATTTAGGAATGGCAACCATTGTAAGGCAAGACCTGAGGCTGGGTGCATTGTCATAATGAAGGAGCATTCCCTGTCTCAACTTCCAGGACCTTTCTCCTTGACTGCAGCGCATAATTGTGCTATTAGGTTCTCATAGTAAGAACCTGGTATCGTGGATCCACTTTTGTAAATAGTCACACGAAAAAGCACCATGGCATCCCAAAAAGCTGACCGGGAGCTTGTTATTGTTACTCTAGCATGGACAAAAAGGAACACTGGGCCCTCCGGGCAGAACTCTACTGGGATCTCCGGGCAGAACCAATGGGACTCTACGGGGCTTGCTGCCGTTCCGTCTGGACGAAACTCTGCCGGACCTGCTATCGTTTTGTCTGGACGGAACTCTGCCGGGCCTGCTACCGTTCCGTCTGGACGGTACTCTAGACACTAATTTAATTTATTCACCTACCTAGATTATGCCAGAATCGACTGAAACTCCAGACTGAGCTGAAGGCTAACCTGCAGAAAGCAGAGTATGTGTGCAAGAAAGCACTGCCCAAGCTAGCGCGCGAGGGGAGTGGCGCGTCAAGTCCCAAGTGCTTGCGCGCCCCAGGCATGGCAGGCTTCTTTGAACACAACCTAGACTTTTTTTCTCGCACGCCCGCCCAGGAGTTCCAAAATGTGGGAAAGAGCACGCGTGTTTTCAAAATCGGACACGACGAACGCAGAAGGGACAACACACGACCGCAACAGAGACGTTGTGTGTTGCCCTTTTTCGTCCGTCGTCTCCGGCTTCGCAATATCTGCATCTCGCCTGCTTACTTACTTACTTATATTTTCTGGGAGAGAAGCCGCCGAAGTAGCAACGAGCACGACGACCACCGAACAAATTTTTGAAACGCGCGACGGAAAGTACTTCGGGCTTTGATTGGATTGGATTCTGCTCCATGTAGCCCTTAGCAACGGATCGTCTGCATTGGGGCGCTAGTTTAGGGCTAATAAACATTTTTTTATCTGCGTTGAGCTTTAAATAAAAAATATAATAAAAATTTATTCACTTTATGTTTAATAAACATTGAGTTGCATTACTTGTTTGAAGTCTACAAAGCGAAGCAAAGGAAGCAAAGTGACATTCGACACTTACCGCCAGGCGTCCGCTCGAAGTTCCCTGCTCGTCGTCCACGAACAAGCCGCTGTGGGAATTCGATTCATCATGCCGCTTGAAAATTTGGAAGATGAGAGCTTAGAGAAAAATCCAAACCTCCATCTGGCGCAGATAAAGTTTCTGCTGGCCCACCACGAGCCCGGAAATGACAAGCTCAAGCAGGACCTGATGACCGCCATCACCGAGAACAGTGAGTGCTCCTTGCACGAAACGAAACATCATTGTAGCCGAGTCATCGTCTCCTTTCCCGAGGCTTTTGAGATGTTGACTTGCCGCTCTCCTATTTCGAAGTTTTTGCTGTTCAATGCCTCCACATACGTCCTTTGCGAAGTGTTTGATTCGGGAGCGAAAGAGTTCCGCGGTGTTTTGTGTAGCGCGATGTTTTGTCTGCGTGATGTTAACGTCCTAACGGTGGTGCATGGCCAGTTTGGTATCTGTCAGAACTCAGTCATGATTGTTTGCAATATCATTGGTACAATTGCTGTCCAAATTCCAAATAGATTTGGAGCTTAGAAGTGATGATCCGTAGAAAATACCCAAACTGGTGTAGATATAAAACAGGATGAATGCCATTTACCCTGTAACATCTACTCTACCTTGGAGGTTTTTCGTAAATCATTACTACTATTTTTAACATTAATATCGGGCTCTCATCCTTGTGGTATGTTCGGTTAAGGCTCGTGGCAGCTGATAAGTTGATTTTTCTCCACGAGCTCCTGCTTGTTGAGCTCTCTGCTCTGTCTGTTGCAGGTTAAAAAAAGCAGGACAAGCTCTTCCCAAAAAGCCCTCTACTCTTTCCACTTTAGCGGAACAAACGCTGGAGAGAAGGAAACTACCAATGACGATGAGCAGGGAGTTTTGTGTGAGGGGCTTGCCCTGCTATTCTAAACCTACAGCAGTCTAGTTATGGAGGGTCTGAGGATCGAAGCCTAGACCAGGGGCCCTATGTAGCGCTTTTTGGACTCCCAGGGCGACCAGGGAGAGGAAAGTGCCATCAACAACGCTCTTTGGATGTTGATTGGTGAAGTCACTGATGACAAATTTCTGCAGAAGAAAAAGTGAGCGGAAATCGGTAAGCTAAAAGATGCGTGGTGTTACTAAGATTCATTCATTCACACCTACGTTACTTCCTTCTCCCTAGTTGCCATGGAAGTCCAAAAAGCGCAACATAGGGTCCCAGGCCGATTTTTTTTAGATTTAGGTGGAGGCACCCATTTAACCAGTTTAGAGCTTCACTTATAGGGCTGTGCAACAACTTTGAATTGGAGCGTTTTTCAAGTAACTCCAACTTACTTGAACTAGTGTGACCCAAGTATAGACCTCAGCAAAAACAGCTCTCTGACCGCCCTCCGACTCGGGCGACCCCTATCAGCCAGAAAATTCTCCCACTGCCTGAACTGCGGAAACCCAATCAAGCGCGACTTCCCACCTGCATTGTGCATTCGGAGTTCGCTGGCCTGTCTCGAAAGCTTTTACTTTATTTGTCTGTTCAGGATGCTTATCCTTTCTGTGTTATCTTCCACTGCGAGAACCAGGGAATACCAGGGCTCTTAGCCTTAGTGAACAAATGGTAAGGGCGCAAATGAGCTGGTGGTGGTTAAACATTTCGACAAATACCCTGAGACTGGGACAAAAAGGGACGGACAAACACAAAGTCTCAAACGCAGCTGAATTTTATTTGACAACGAAGGGTGCTTATATAGGCGTCAAATCCTACACAAATCAAAAGAGACAAAGGAAAGAGAGGGAGAAACCTTCACAAACAAAAGAGACGAAAGAAAAAAGAGGGAGAATTGGGAAAACCCGTGCCACAAGCAGTACAACAAAAAACAAGCATTACAATAGAACTGAGAAGTTTATACAAAAACAAAAGCTAAGTAGAAGGACTAAAGTGCATTAGTCCCCAAGAGGCCCCAACACTACTACAGGTTGTTTATACAAAAGCAAAGTAGAAGGACCAAAGTGCATTAGTCCTCAAGTAGCCCCAACACTATAACAGGAAGGACGCAACGAACAAACAACCAGGAAACAACAAAGCGAAAAGACTTAAAATTGGACAAAGGCCTCAACACACCAATGGACAGGACGCGCAGACATCAAATTTGTAAAAACTTTCTTTGTTCTTTATCTATTGTGAGGGATGGCTTATTTACCGCATTCCCATGATTCATGATTGTTATAGATTCTTTTATCAAACGCTTCCGATCATCCTTTTCTGATAAGATGACTGCTGTTGAGTCCCAGTTGGGTAGACAATTATTGCATTCAACTACATGTTTTGATACCTCCGAATAGGGATCTTTGTTTTTGACACAACGTTTGTGTTCGGTGAGACGATCGTTTATACAGCGCTTGGTTTGTCCTATGTAGCATAATCCGCAATCAAATGGGATCCTGTATACTACTCCCGACACGCAACTGACCTCTTTTTCCTTGTGTTTTTTAGTGCACCCTGCTCTGGCGGAAGCAACGAAGTCAAACGATTCAGCTTGTAATCATTGCTGAAAACCGTGCTAATACCATACTTATTACCAATAGATTTAAGTATATGCGAAATCTGGTGAAAAAACGGAAGAACTACACGCTTTGTGGGTTGAAGAACACTTTGGCACTTTTTCTTGAGGGAGATGAGAGACAACAACTGATTGAACACGTAATTTTGAGAATACCCAGCGGCTTTAAAACGGTCAAACAGGCGCTTGAGAGCAGACTCAATAAAGTGGGAACATGATTTTTAGCCTGTTCGGCCTTTGCAGGGAACAAACAAAAAGAGCGAATGTCAAGCAGCCCGCGGCATACGCCATTCGACGTCCTTCGAGGATTCCGAAGATTCGGAATCCTCAATGTATTTTGAGGATTCAAAAATCACCAAAAATTTTCCGCGGCTATGTTCCCGGTTTTTGCTAAATATAGCTGATAGGGTCTGGGGTATGGGGACGGAATAGACCCATTCATTGATTTGCTTTGGTGTTGTGCAAAAAGGCATCTCTCTGCTGCCTTTTTGCATCTGCTGCCAGGGCATGACACCAATGGCGAGGTTGTCCTTTCGTGAGCGGTAGCAGGCGATACTGTGTGCCGGGCTGCAATGCTGCGCAGTTTCTTGTGGTTAACACTTTGTTTCTGGCCGGTTTTGACTTCTGGAAATCAAAACCGGCCAGAAACCTTGTCGGTTTTGACTTCCACGCTATGCGGGCAGGTCGCCGCATGGCGTGGACGGTGATGGCCTGGGGAAGAGGGGGAAAGGGAGAAGACGAAAGAGGAGAAACAGACCGACAAGGCGCGCAGGGCAGCACAAACTAGCACATCCGCGTTACGGTGATCACGTGGACTCCGTTCAGCCAACACCGGGAGGAGAAACTCATGATGTCATCGTTCAGTTTTGCTCTAAGAAGTAAAAAACAAAACGTGAGAATGACGTAGTCATGCCTCTGACGTAGTGGCTCAACGTTGGCTGCTCCAACTCCGTCGCATTGACAACGCTGACGATTGCGCCTCACGTCGCACGCTAGAGTTGGCAGATTTTGGCGACTTGGCTCACTTGAAGGTTTGCTGGCCAGTTTATTATGTAGATGGAATTAGATCGTAATATTTGACATGAGGTCTTCCTATATGATACTGAAGAGGGCTACATAGTTTTCTAAATGTCAAAAATAAAGCGGGGTTGCCCTTTAATAAGCAAATAATATACCGTCACCACATTGGGACTTCGGGACCATTCCTCGCAATCGATTCCGAGCACTCGCATGCCGATAGTGCACCTAAATCTAAAAGCCTGCCCTGTACACTCCAAAGTTTACCATTCCACAGCCCAGTGCACAATCTGTACAGTGCAGCACGCACAAGTTTTTCCTTTTACAAAGAAAGAAAGCATGTGCCATACACAAAAACGCTGCAAATGCCACCGGCCAAAAGCTCTTCTTTGGATTAGCTAATAGCCTTACATAAAGCCACTAAATGAGCTATGCTTAGAGTATCGGCACTGCGTTCCCCGATCTGCCAGTGGGCACCGCCACCTTGATAAAGCTTTAGATAACTGGCAACCATAATTTTAAGCCCCAAGACGGCTGAAGTGTCGTTACTCTGAAGTGCAAATTATTTAGTGGCTCTAGCCAGCCGTCCACATAAATCAAGAATACCACCGCCACTTCAAAGAGCCATGTTTAACTCACATTCAGTATAGCGCGTACAAAGCTTGGCTGCAGTTGCTGAACAGTTAACTCCCCGTGTAGGACACGCCCCCTGTAGGCCTCGACGACCATGGCGTCGTTCCACCCGAGCCTTCTCACAAACTGTTCGACAATTTTTAATTTAGATTTTTTTTGCTAAGTATTATAGTGTGTATGACACTCATTCATTTTAAGCTTTTTAATAGAACTTTGCAGGACAGCAGGGTTTCCAATAGTCTTTGCATCACATTTACTAGATTGGAGGTCTGAAATCGCCTTCTGCAAAATCTGGGTTGTGTGCTAGAAAGCCCCATTTTTCTGGCTACAAGAACTGCTACAAGCGACCGTTTCTTAGTTTTACCACTGCCAACCGCAGCATGTGTCTATGATGAACATTGGCGTCGCATAATCAGTACCAGATCATGTGGCCGCCTGTTCCGGCTTCGAGTTGAAGGGACGAATGCTGGTCGGTTTTCTACATCTTTTTTTTTCTGCAGCTGCCATTGCGTGGAAAGAGAAACTAATGCGTTTCTCAGTGTCTCATAGGTCATGAATGTAATTAAATCTTATCAGTATTTAATAAAAGTATGAAAATCTTCGCACTGCCTTTTTTTACCCCCTTACTTGTCTCAAGCACAGTAATAAGTAGTCCGGTGTGACTTTTAGATTCAGTCAGTTTAACATGCCTCGTTGGTGCGTTTTCAGACATGGCTCCGTTCTATGAAGAGACCTGCAACGAGCTGGGCTGGCAGATGGACAACAAGCTGCTGACGAACATGAAGGCCGCTAACGCCACACAGATCGAGAAGTTGGACTCCGCAATCGAGGACGCCGAGAAGAACCTGAGCGAGACGGAGGTCCGGGAGGCCCACCTGGTGAAGGCGGAGTACCTCAGCCGGATCGGAGACAAGGTGTGCTACTACTGAGACTGCACGAGTCACCACCGTAAAACACCGATTAAACACCCACCCACACTTGGGGCTGGGTGGAGATACGTGTATTTTAAAGCAAAAATATGGATATTCAGTTATACGATTGAGGCACCACTTGCCCCAAACTGCGCCAAAGGGCTTACCCTGCTGCATCCTGCTACGCAACTTATTAGCAGTTAAAATATAAAAGCGTGGGACCTCCTGCGAGTCCAGATTTTTATGCCAGGCTGGTGCGAATTTTTCGAGCTGTCCGTTATTGCCTCAAATAATGTACTATTTGATTTTATGTCTGAATCAAACACTGACAGTGCTTAGAAGTTCCACAACACTTCTCATGTTCGTGGTCTGTTCTGACGGGTTAGTTAGCTCTGTTGACTGTGCTTCTCAGTGAGCACTGGTGCACAGCAGCAAAGTGACAACTGCAAAGTAGGCATCCCAATTTTGTGCGTCTTGCATTGTTGCAGCGCATCCTTGTGAGAAAGCATTCCTCCAGAGTGGGATGTTACACACAGATGGGTCGAGTATATTAAAAGAAATAAAAAAAAAGTAAATTTGTGAGTGGTGACGGAACAGCTGTTCCTTGCGGTAATTGTTTTAATAAAACTGTAGCATATATGATACACTGCAATATTCTGACAAAATTTTCTTTCTTCTTTTAGTTGAAGATTTAGCAAATATGCTTGGGTAATGCGAGAAGATTTATGTGGACTGCCCTGTAGGGGGGGTTTACTTATGTATGTCAACTCTCTTTAGTTATCACCTCTTTATAGGTTCTATTTGTCTGATGGCACAGTCGTTAGAGTAAATTAAAGCTGAATAAGATAGATCAGTGGATTCAGCTGATATTTTTTTTTTTTATGAAGCATATTTATTGTTTACATTCTAATGTTTGGTATCATGAAATTCTACATATAAAATGTCATTGTTGTTCCTAATCAAATAACAAATACTTTGTTGTTTTTACCTGATTTAAGAATTATAGTTTTATTACAACCTTTCGAAATTCAACAAAATATCAGTTTGGGTGTTGAAAATTATTGTATTCCAACATTATTTCGGTGGAATATTCTTTCTGGTTTACCGTTGATTCCGTACCCAAGGTAACCATTCACAGTAGTTTATACGTCAATCAGAATAGTGCTGCCGTGTCTGGTGCTTCTACGCGGAACTAAGCAGAGTGCTTAGAAAAGGTTGCATTCAAATGGGAAGGCGAGGAGACATTGTCTTATATACACCTCTCCAGCGGCAGTCTCTAACCAGGCGATTTACAGCGCGCGTCTCTGGTTTTGAGGGTGTGGTTCAGTGCTGCCCAACTGCCCTGGGCCGTAGTTTTTCTCATCAGTGGGCTGTGCCAGCCTGCATAGGCGTAATTCCTGACACTTGTGACAGCTAAATTGCCGCGTTTTGCTCTCTTGCGTGTTTTATGGCGAATAGAATTTTGCAAGGCCTTTGAGAAAGCATTCTGTCATCCTTAGGAACAAACAAAAACAAATAAAAGATAGGTGCGTGTATGACAGAGCGAACACAACTATAGAATGTTTGTTGCTTTATTTTACTCAAACTTTTCACACCGTCGATTTTCTGTTGCGTCGACCTACATAGGTCTTAACTGTTGAAAGTATTTGATTACACGAGATGGCCCAAAAGGCATGGGTATTCCCCTCTCACAACATGGAATTCAATGAGTCTAATCAGTCGAACAGCACTTTGTATGTACCCCACGGTGCCACGTTATCCAAATAGGGTTTATTTGAGAAGGATTTCAAATAACCAGCACTCTAAGTCTACAGTGTCGACAACAGTCTCTTCACGACGATTGGATGGAATCCGAACTTGTTTTAGGGTGCGTTTTGAGGAGGGGTTGTTCTTTGCACAGTACTGAAGCAAAGAAAAACATCACCTGTTCAGCTATTTTCGCAAAGATAGATGATTGTTCTCGTAGGGTCCGCAGCAAGCCAATTTTGTCACTGCTGTCCAATTTTGTGCGGATTCATGTGTGGATCCTCAAGTGTGAACAAGTTAAAAAGAAACTCTTATAAGTTCTCTTCTGTCCATGATTGGTGGTTTTCTTCTCTCCACTCATCTCCTTTCCGGCATTTGCTGCACTAATGTGGAAAAAAATGGAGGGCTTTGTGGGAAGAACGAATTCAGCTTGGTTTTTGTTGTGATTTTTTTTTTTTTCATGATTCGGTTTCCTTTCTATAGAGGAAAAAAAGGTTTTTAGTTTATCCTAAAAACCTGACAATTCATATTTTACAGCGAATGTAATAAGATATGTAACCCTGGCAGAGCATTGCAATGCAACCACTAAATGATAGTAAATGTATATCACCATTGAGATGAAAATACATTTTTCCAATGTATCTCAATACAGAGATGCAGAACCTCATAAGTATTTCTAAGGTGCTATTGCTATACTGCGCAGACCTGTTCACGGCAAGAAGATAAACAGTAAACACTGTGGACACTTGCTACTAACCACGTTACATGGGAAAGGATACCGCAGGTCATAGAAACGGCAAATATGGGTTTCACAGTGCAGTGGGCACATATGAAATTTCTATAAATTCATGTATCGCAGAAAATGATGCCGCAAATAGGAAACACCTCAAAATCTAGTTCCATGGTGCGACAAAAACATTAGAACCCGCTGCGAAGTCACACGTCACAGGTATTGATATCTCAAATCTTGCCGTTAGTGTGATTCCTCTTGGACATCCAACAGGGATATCTGACGGGAATTGGGAAGGGATGATGATTTAGAATTCTTAATCGATCACTATTTAGCCAGAAAAGAGGATGGGTGATCTCTTGGGGGAGGGCATTTGTACGGGATTTTAGGGTAGCTTTGCGTTTGTGCAGTTTGCGCTGCATCTCTCCACATCTTTGTTATGGTCGAATCCAATCAGGAAAACAAATGCCCAACACCGCTCGCTGATGCAACAAAAGCAGCGTTTTTCCTACCAAAGCTATCTTCAACAGTTCTGTAAAGGTGTATCAAGAAGTAAGCTACGCACTTAGAATAAAACATAAATAAGGAAGTATGCTCGCATCACGTGCGTCTGTCTAAAGGTACAATCTGTATTCATTTTCATACGTAGTTACCCATTCACCGTAAACACTTATTGGAACGTGTGATTCGCTTTTTTATACCTGTACAGGAAAAGTTTTCTGTTTTGTGCGACTGGATAAGAACCGCAGTCTACGCGTGGAATTACTAGAAATATTTGAGTGGGATGTCTGGCATCATTCAGTATACAACCCCAACTCCTCCCCGCGCAACTGCCACTTCTTCGATATAGCTAAAAACAAGCTTAGTAGACAGCAATTCTAACCTGATGAGGCTGCAAAAATTGACTGCTCTCCTGAACCAGTTTAAAAAAAAAAAAAGCTAGAAAGAATTTTACCAGTATGGTAAAGCTAATCGCACATTCCGATAAGTGTTTGCTGTCTTTAGGCGACTACTTCCAAAAATTAATAAAGATTGCACTTTTAAGTGAACATTGCTGAGATGACTGTATAATTATTTTTGTGTTTCATACGAAAATGTAAGTTGCTTTTAGGTAGGCCCTCCTACTTCTTCACGACCGCGTTCTTTTGTTGCGGGTTTTCGTAACGTTCGAGCCTGTAAAGATATTCCTATACTCCGTGTCACTAGTTGTGTTCAGCGAAGGCAAAGGCAGTGCCGGGCGATGAGAGAAAAGGTTAACACCAGGAAGTCGGGATGGGAAAGGAGGGCAATGGAGGGTGAGGGGAGAAGGAGAGAGCACTAGGAACTTTAAAGAGGAGAGGAGGTTTCTCTCCTTCCCCAGCCTTTCTCCCCTTGCCTGGCATTCCCTTTGCCTGTACTGCATGCAGGTAGTGACACGGAGTATAGTGCTTACAGGCTGAATGCTTTTCTGGTGCGACTCGGCCATAATACACGGCTATTCAATAGGAAGGAGCAGATTTCTGATTTTTATTTAATAAAACACATTCTCGTCACTGGATATGGAAAGGTTCAAAAACACATTCACCTATGCCTGCTTCTCTTCAAGATCTGAAATAGTGGATTGTGAAAGCTGTAAATTGGGGAAGCTGTAGATTGGGGAAGTTGTGAATTCGATAACTAGAAGCCAAGTGACTTGCTTGTGGCGAGAAACAAACTACTGTTTTGCTGTGTGTCTCGCAACAGATAATGCTCACGTTGAGGGCAAAGAACCTTAGGGACCAGAAAATTTTAAACCTCCTTCTATCTAGTAATGTGCAGAATGCAGAATTCCCACCCTTTAGTTAGTTTGTTTTAAATAAGGAAATCCGCTTTTTAATGGCCGTGTGGAGTCAAGTCTGCTCATTATTGGAAGAACTTCTTTGAATGTGAAACCCCTTTTTAGAAGAGAGCTCTTCAGCACCGTTGAATATGGACGTTCACTTGGATGTGCTCGTCTGTCAGGAAGCGGCCCTGACGCAGTTCCGCAAAACGTACGACAAGACAGTGTCCCTGGGCCACCGGCTGGACCTGCTGTTCCACATGATCCGCATTGGCATCTTCTACCTGGACCATGACCTCATCACACGGAACATCAGCAAGGCCAAGAGGTAGACCCTGCACACAGCTGCCTTTCATTTTACTTCAGTTAAGCTCTCGGGGTTCTGGAAGCCTGATAGAAATGAGACGCAAGGGAATGTGTGCACCATGGCAGCAGTGGAACATGCGCAATTGTGGCGGCAGTCACATAGGCTGACAAAAATGGGATTCGGGGGAGTATGAACATGTATGTGCACGTGTACTCAGACTCTGAAAAGAAAACGGACGACAAACTATGGCAACGGACTTGTGTGACCGTCGTCGTGGTTGCACACCCCAGGCTAAGACATCATTCCGATGTCCCGGTTCCCAGCAACCAAATAATAAATCATTAGCAGCATCCTAGCGTGTTCTACGTTGCTCAGCGCGTTGAGCCATGCCGTACGCATTATTTAGAATAAACATTTGTTGCCGAAATCGCCGCGCAGTTTGTCGTTAAAATGTGACACCATTTTGCAGCGACTTTTACTGTCTAAGCCTTTCTTTATTGCACTACTTAGGAACTGCTGTGGAAATTTAGGAATATTTTTCGTTGACATCCATGAAATCTTCTATCACATTTGAAATGATTCACATAATTTTCTCCCCGCGGTCGAGCCTCCCGCGACCAACCAACAACTTTTGTTGTAGCATTAATACGATTCAAATGCTTCTCTCTCACTATAAGGCGCTCAGTAACTGTATTTTCCGTTCACTGACTAACTTCCGTATGTATAATCGAAATACCGTAAACTACCGCGGAAGCGCCCACTTCGTTCAAGCGCCCACTATTAACATTTCCCCCACTTGAGAATTCTGCAAATTATACAGTAAGTGCCTGATTTGACTGGACAAGTGCCCATGCCTAGACTAACCCAGTTTTTAGTGAAAGTGAGGACCCCCCTGGTATTTTACGGTAAGTATATAACAGATGCGTGTCACCTGCCTTGTTTGTTACAAACCAATTTATGCGCGGGAAAGTGCATAAGGCTTGCTGAAACATGCTGTAGAATTTAAGAAAAGGTGGTGTGTGTACTCCTTTAAACTCGGCGACTGAATCTTTCGACCGCACACAGCCTGATCGAGGAAGGCGGGGACTGGGACCGGCGCAACCGGCTCAAGGTGTACCAGGGCATGTACTGCCTGGCGGTGCGGGACTTCAAGGGCTCGGCCTCATACTTCCTGGACACGGTGTCCACCTTCACCTGCTACGAGCTCATGGACTACCAGACCTTTGTCACATACACCGTGCTCGCCAGCATCATCTCCCTGCCACGCGTGGAGCTCAGGGAGAAGGTAAGTCCGCGCTCCTTTAGGAGGTCCTATTATTTCTTCGAAACACGTTTCTTGGAAACCCGTTTCATGGACAACTTTTCCTGGACACACGTTTTGTTGACATTGTATGTTTTGTGGAAGCACGTTTCGTGGACACATGCTCCTGCGACGTTTCATCGGCAACACATTTTTTCTTTACTGCGGCGTGTTTCATTTAGGCGCGGTTCACTGATGCGTGTTTACTCAAGCCTCAGTCCCGTCTCGCATCCGCTTTGGTTTTTGTCAACTGGCTGGCTGCAGTGATACATACAGCGGAATGTTTTATACAGCCAGTTCCCAGATCCCTTGCGGCGTAGCTGACATCTCGCTTCGGCCAGCCTTTGGTGCATTATGGTGTGAGGTATGATCTTTCTAAGTGCTCTCTTTTTTTTTTTTGCGGTTAACTGTGTTGTGAGAAGCAACAGAGTTTGGTACCTTATGACGGTAAAGGATTACCAGTTTGACACACTGGTATGCCGGTGAACGGCCGAAAACAAAGGCAGAGATACCGTATTTTCACGTGTATTACCCGCCCCTGCATATAACCAGCACCCCCAACTTACGACTGTTAGAAAAAGAAAATAAAGACCTCGCACATTACTCGCATAATTACCCACGAAAAGTAATGTCAAAGTCACCAAAAATAGCACCTTTATTGGAACATTACTCATCGCTGCAGTCACTGCAGCTATCAGTTGAAGCATCTTCATTGTCCCAGAGAGCATCGTCATGCATGCCGTCCAGGCGATTACTGATACAGCACTTCCTAAAACTCTTGCGAATCATCTCTGCAGGAATCGCCTTCTACGCACTGATAATCCACTTGCAAAGTACTGCTATGTCAGGTTTGCGGATCTGGCCCGGCCGCGTAAGGCCGTACTGCTCCTCGGCAATCCACTCTGTGTACATGCGCTTCACGTGCGCCTTAACTTGTTCAAGCAAACATCCATCGGCTGAAGCATGGATGTCTTATCCCGCCTGGGATCATGACAAGGTATGTCATCCGCAAGACGGGTCTTCACTTCCTCGGTGTTGTGGCCCCGGAACGTGTCCAGCACTAGCATAGACCTCCGCGCTAACATCGCACCCGGCCTGTTTTTCCATGCGGTTTTCAACCAGTCAACGACAAGATGACTGTTCATCCAGGAGTTGTCCTCCGTACGCACAACTATCCGGGAGGGAAAATCAGTGGGAAGCATCTTGCACTTAAAGATCACGTACGGCCGTAGCTTCGTGCCATCTGCTAATGCGCACAACATCACTGTGCAGCGCGTTTCGTGTTACCGCCCGTCAAAATGCTTACCGACTTGGAGCCCTTTTTTTTTAAGAGTTGTGTCCAGTGGCATTTCGAAGTATATGAGAGTTTGGTCCGCATTACCAATCTACGAGTACAAATACTCATGTCGCTTTCGGAGCCCGATCACGTAGCACTGGAAGTTCACTAACTTCTCGTAGGTGTCAGGAAGTCGTTGACATAAGGTCGTCTGCCTCCGGGTGGAAAATCCTTGGCGTTTCATGAATTGATGAAACTGCCTGCGGTTGGCACGAAACTGGTCGCGCGGTATGCAGTCTTCTCTTGCCGGCGTCATACTTCGATCTGGGCTATCCCTGTTGATATGGTGTGGCCGCGGCCTCTTTTTTCCTCAATGAATTCCACCAGCTTGGCTTCAATCTGGGGGTCGGCTCCAGTCTTGGGACCGCGGAAGGACCTGCAGTCACGGCTTGCACTTTGAAGATTCTGCTTCTTTGCTCTCTACCTGCGTATACAGGATTCGTTGACATCATACTTTTGGCCTGCTGCACCGTTCCCGATCTCTTCGACAACGCTGATTATTTTGAGTTTCTGCTCCGCCATAATGGACTGCCGCCGAGCACAGCTCATGTCGAACGGAACGGGACGATTAAGATGGCAAGATTGACGTAGATAGCTTCGTTCTTCCTTTGTGGGTGTGTGGCCAGTGCAGCGTTTTGGCGCGCAGACAATGCAAAGATAGCAACTCCAAAAAAGAAAATAAACTTAGGAGAGACGGGAGAGAGTACCTAGGAAGCAGCGGCTAAGAGGGATTCTGGGGAATTTACGTCCCTACAGACCATGCGGCTTGGCGCGTACTGCCTTGAAGCCATACTCGCGTCCAAATTCGCGTATTACCTGCACCCCTACTTTGTCTTGGATCTTTTTAAATTTTGATGCGGGTAATACGCGAAAAAATATGGTATGTGAGCCTTCTCTGCATCATTCTCCCCAGGGTTCGTGGAATAGTCTGATGAGCAGGTTTTGTCTTGTAAAACTACAGTTTGCTCCGATCCAATTGAATTCAGTGTAAAACTAGTTTCAGTATCTCATGTGGGAGATGCCCTGCCTTTTATCAGTTTAATAAATACCATAAAGTACTGAGCATGCACCCTCACTTGAGTTAGCGCCCTCCCACATTTTCCGGGAATTTCCCATTTCTGTACACAAGCAAGCAAGCTTCCCCCCCCCCTTTTCCCGCTGCCACCCGTCCCGAAGGCATTCCTTTTCTTTTAGCTTTCTTTCGGGCTTTTTGGCTGACGCTGTCGCAGGGACTGGATTCTAATATGGAATCCAGTCCAATCAAAGGGGTTACTTTGAGAACTCACCACCAGCCATCACCACCATTTCCTTAGTAGTTTGCATTGGGAGCGGTTGTCTTTGTTCACCATGCATTCATATGCGGTGCAAAAGTTATGGATTGGCATCGGAAGAATAGCGAAACCATCCACCTGACCTTTCACCATTTCAAGTGGAACCGTAAGACGGTCCGTGAGTGGGACAAGAAATATTAACTTTTGCTGCAATAAAACTTCGGGGAGTCAAAGGTTCGACGCAAATTAAGCAATAGTGCCCCCGTCTTCAGCGAAGAAGTTGACGACACCTTGTATGAGTTCTTAGAGCGCAAAAGGAACTCTGGATGTGCGGTGAGCAAGAAGCTATTGTCCGAAGAAGCTGCCAAGATTGAGAACAACTTGCTGCTGTCTGACATCGGTGCCATTGTCCCTGAGGACCCCAATGAGCTACAGATTGAGGGCCTGGACCTCATCTTTGGATCCGATTTTGAGGAATCGTTTTGTGTCTTTGATAGCAACCGAGGGGAATGCCAGTATTTCCGTTTTCCAGGTTGAATATTCATTGAATTGTTCGCAAAAAACGTCAACAATGCAGGCTATAATGCTTTTTTTTTAGAGCGGAGCTGTTAAGGGCTAGGTTCTACAGGATCGTGTCCGGTACCAAAGAAATGTCGACACAAGCCTACACAAACTTTTGGGCAGTTACCGCCATCTATAAGTGACGGCGGTAACCAGGCAACGAGTCTGGTTACCGCCGTCGCTCATAGATGGTGGCAACGTTTCCAGCTATCCAGAGCCGTATACGGGGAGAGTTTGGTCAGTCTTATGATCTCGCCGCCGTAACGCTCTACTCCCGGGTGAGCCGATCAGCACGCGGCGCAGAGCGAGAGGCATGAGCGCATGCGCGTGAACTCCCGGCTGCTCTCAGCTGAGTGGGGAGGGCCGCCATTTTCGTTCATTCTCCCGGCGGAATGCGTGGGATCGGCATCTAAATCTTGATTATTTCCTTTTATATCGCTGGCTCTGGCAAGAAAATGACATGCTGTTATTCCTCGGTGGGTTAAAAAGCTAATAAATGAAGATATTTCGGCGTATGGCCACAAACTTTTATTCAGGCGAAAAAGAAGTCTGCCTGTAGCAGACGGCACGTAGCCTCAGCAGTGCTCTTCTCCAACCAGTCTCTCCGACAGCGTTGCGAAAAAATGGCGGTCGTATCTTCTCTGCTCCCTTCTTTCTCTCTCGCTCCTTCGGCGCTCTCCTCCCTTTCATTTACTTTTCTCCTCTTCGGCGCCTTCGTCGCCACACCCACTGGCCAAACTCTCCCAATATGCGGCTCTGCAGCTATCGTAGAAGAATAGATGGGCGAGTTGGTGGGAATTCATCATAGAAAACAGCGAGAAAAATGGACCAAAACAAAGAAGAAGCACACATGACGAGCGCAGTGCACGTCAAGTGTGTTCCTTCGTCCTCGTCTGTTTTGCGTGCTGTTTCCTACGCTCTTAACAGTTTCGGTTTGGACTTACGATGGGTCGGCCGCGTGCTCTTTCCTTGGGAAAAGAAGACCGGGTGCGGAAGTAGCGACAACGTACGCAGTTGTGCAGTTGGTCCGCAATCGCCATGTGCGTCAAGCGCTTAAAATTTTCTTGCGAAAGAAAAGCAGATCACTCGCCTGGAAAGCCACTTCCGAGAACAGAAGCTACAGCTCCGCTGCCCTTCCTTCTTACCAAAGTGGAAAGGCTGAAACTTTTTTTTTTTTTTACTTTTTATGGTTGCCACTTTGTGGCCGCCATCTTGAACTTTGTGCCTGACCCGAATAAGGGCCTCTTCCATATGTAGTCGAATTATCTCAAAATGTTTTGGGAGGGGGGGGGGGGGGGGGGGGGGACAGTTGCTTGGTACTTTACAGTAGGTTGTTGCTGAATAGTATTTTGGGATGGCAAAGATCTGTGCATGGCAACAGGCAAATTTTTTAGTGTCACTCTTACAAGTCTGAACAGGCTTGTGGAGTCATTTAAAAACTACTTGATGTTGTCAGTGTGCTACTTTTTATTTTGACTGCATAAAATGATGTACATTATTCGGATTTGTTAATTGTAGCCACTTCAGCACCAGCCAAGCCATTTAGTTGAAAGAACCAGAGATGGGTGGTACAATAAACTCTCGCACACCACCTTGGCGAGAAAGGTACCGATTTATTTTGCCTCGCATCAGGGTAATGTATATCCCTGCTTGTAAATAATTTTCATCAGTCTATTAGCCTTCGTCACCTCATTGGTACCTTTATGAGCGTACTTTAAACTGAGATACGTCGAGACTGGCATCTGCATACGACCCCATTCCTTGGAGGTTGGGTAAGGTTGTCTGCCGTAAATTTCGGTCAACCTGCACCGTGTCAATGGGTCGAGTGAACGACTGGGGCTCCTAGGGGCCCCTAAAGGTCTGAGAATGGTCTCAGCCGCACTCCTCTCTCCTCTTTGGAATTTCAATAAGCGTGTTCTGAATCAGTCGGTCAATCCGTTGCAGGTTGTGCAGGGCTCGGAGATTCTGGAGGTGCTTCACGGGGCTCCTGACATCAGCGAGTACCTGTTCTCCCTGTACCGCTGCCAGTACGCCCTTTTCTTCAGGAAGCTGGGTGAGTGGCCTTTCCTCTATACTTCCTTTCACCCTTAGGAGGACCTCAAAGGATGCTACGAGCCAACCCAATGCCATGCGGGTGTCACTTGTCCTTCGGGAGGTGTGCAGCAACCAATAGCGATGCCAATTGGCTTCGATGGCTCGAAGGGTCCGCTGCGATGCATCGTAAGGAGAAGCAGGGTGTAGCCAGGACCCAGTTTCACCTCACCGCCGACGGCATTGCAATCAAGACTGGTTATTGCAGAGTCGGACGTAATCAAGCATCGTTTTGCTACACTCCCCAGTTTGCTCTGTCTGAACACACTGGCCCCCCTTGGCCTAAAGAAACGCTTTGAAAGATTAGACCTGGGCAAATGAAACTTTCGACCGAAGCTAGAGGGTTTAAATGGGGTCACATCGTTCCCTAGTTAGGTATGGGGCTAGCTGTGCTGGGGAAGGGCAGACCCTAAACTTTTGCCATCCCAAACATTCTGCTGCCCGCACTGCCGATTGGGATGTTGGGCCATGCATACCATCCAGGTACAGTCATGTCTAGCTAATATGGACACCCCGCATTATAGACGGAAATTTTCGGGGACCGATCTTTCGCCATGTAATTCTGCCTCGTTAATATGGAAACCTGCAGTCCGGACTATGGACAGCTATTTTAAATACGAATTGGGTAAGTATGGGCATTTTTGTCTCGTTATTAGATCTAAAAACACTCTTAAGATATAATGAACCCAGGAGGTCGCAGTGTGCGCCTGGTTGTTTGTTGCTGGCCTCGCAATAAGAGCTGCTCACCAAAAGATGGATCTTTTTTTTTTTTTTTCTATTTACGAAAAATGGGCCATTACTGCTTGCAGCCTATTGTTGCTTGAGATTGTGTATGACCTACATCCAAGAACAAAAAAAGAATGAACCCTTAAGCAGCCTGGCCCCTTCAATGTAGAACTCGTCACTGTTTGGGGAACGGGAGAAAAGCTCTGGACGCACGGAGTTAATTTCTCCTAGATAAGGCTATGACGAGGGTTGGGCGGAATTCTTGTCCTTGAAGTGGCTCATGGCAGTAGCTTCCTCAGATCATAAGCCTGTCATTGGCATAAAAGGCAAAGCCGAACGCTTTTCTGGTCGCTTGGAGGGTAGAGTAGACAACGTTCAGCAATAACCAGAAGTGGTCAGAGACCATGACAAATGAAACTTAAACAAACAGTGCTATGTGCTTAACTAAAAAAAAAAAAAAAAATGTAAGTTTTTTTTAGTTTAGCAGAAAGAATGATAAAAGAAAGTCTAAAGAAAACTCTGCGCTGACAACTGTAGCTGATGAAGAAGATGAGAGACCAGTCGTAACACGTGCAGCTCAGTGCGGTTTGGAAACAGCTGTCGCTTACCTTGAGCAGGAAGGACATGGAGAGAGCACACTTCAAGTAGCAGCCGTGTTGCGCTTTCTGGACAGAAAAATAAGCTCAAAAGTGTCGGCATAAAAAAAAAAAAAGTTTTTGTGTTTAGCTAAATAAATTATGTTTCTTGTTGTTACTAGGCTTTTTGTGACTTTTGTCCCCGATCAGTTATTATAGACGACTCGCACTATGGGCGATTTTTCTGGGAAACTGAGGCATTCATATTATTGAGACATGACTGTACATTGTTCCATTTGTGCAGGTGTTCTCAAACCTTTCAGTCTTGTGGATTGCCTATATATTCGGAATGATAGTTAAAGGGATACCTCGGCGACTTTTTGAGTTACCCCAACTAATTATATTTCCGGAATGCCCGGCCTTTACCTTTTCCAATATGCTATTTAGTATAGCGAAATTCAGACTAGTTATTGTAAAATCGAGAAGTGAAGACGACACCGAAACCAGCAATTAAATGTACCCATACTTTTCAATGCTGTGACATGAGGGGAAGGCAGGCTTGGAGGTCTAATGGGTAGTCTAGAAATGGACTGTGCCGAGCATTTGTTTCCTGCTACTGCGCAGATGCTGGAGCGAGCTTACGAAGCATTCATCTGGCACCATGAAACTGTTTGTAATCAGTTGGGAACAGTGTACAGCCCGAAGAGTGAACCCCTGCCTTCCCCTGATGTCACTTTTTCATTGTTGCCAATATAGACTTTCAGTTTGAAAAACACTGTGAGGACCAAAATTGTAAATTCAATAAGCTTGTGAAAAAAACTAATTTTGGCCCAATATTTGGGTTGCTATTTCAATGATGTTTTCTTTATCTGTTCAGCAAATTTCCACGCCTGTCGGACACTAGAAAGACAATGCTGGAGTACCCTTTTAAAGGGAAGCTGAAGCGGTTTTGTATTTGAGGAAACACTCTTAAATTGCCTTCATTTGACCTCCAGGATCTTGAATACAAAAATGATTTTTTTTAATTTGGCACGTGGAGGCTGCAAAAATTTATTTCCAAAAGTACCGTTGAAGGCCCTCCTTTTTGCAGTGAGACGTCACATAAGTTTTCAGGATCCTTCAGCGCCTGTCAAAGCTATGCATCTTCACTCTTGCTATTTTTAAAAAGGACAGAAAAAGACGTTACGACTGGTTCCAGTGCGGAGGAACGTACCCGGCAAGCATGCAACGCACGTGCGGCCCTCGAGCGACATGCGTGTGGCGGCCGAAAGATTCTCTTATGACATAACGATTGGTCGGAAGTTTTTCGTGTTTTCTTACGTTAGGTACATCTTCGGGGAAAACTAATGTGATATTCAGATTCACGGGATAAAACTATGTTAGAATCAGCCTCTATTTCATGTTCTGAAAAAAGTGTTTCAGCTTCTCTTTAAGGAACCTATCTGCATTGAAGCAATAAAGCAGTGGAGACACTTGTAGACATTGTAAGCAAGAATGCAGATAATAGGGAACGTTTGACCCATAGGTATACACCAACAAAGGATTCAGATTTCCTAAAACCGTGTTTAAAAATCAAAATGCAGTTCACTTGGGGGCAGGAACGGTCAAGGATATTCAAGAGCTCGATCAGTTATTGGGGATACTTTGTGGATCCCGTGGGTTCCTAGGAACACTGTCAGAGAACCCACGCAGTAGGGCAGTGAAAAGTAATCACCTCCCTGTTCCCCGTGGCAGCCCACGTGGAGCGTCTGCTGAAGCGGGACCGCCTGTGCGCCCCCCACTACCGGTTCTATGTGCGGGAAATGCGCATCCTGGCCTACTCGCAGCTGCTGGAGTCCTACCGCAGCCTCACCCTGCAGTACATGGCCGACGCCTTTGGGGTGACCGTGTCCTTCATTGACCAGTGAGTCTGCAACTTTCCCCATTCTTTTGTTAGTCTTTCTTCGGCTCTGACAGCGAGTCTTTGGGGTCGTCAACCAATAGGCCCATTTCTTTCGGCCAAACTGCACGTAGCGTCTGGAAGACGCGATCATAAAAGTGATGCAATAGTGTTGGCTGGCGTCCACCAGTCATGACGATTTAATTCTGACGTAAAGTGGCGCTGCGTCGACCTTCGGCATGTTTGCCACTTGAGGCATGTGGTAGGTCCACTGTCGATGACATAATGGAGACGGCTCGTCTTCTGGGTAGTATTAGCACTAAAATAATGCAAAAGTGAGTTAATTTCTCGTTATATTCAATTCTGGTATTCCCATGTTTAGTATGGGTGATTCTGACTGCATGCTAAGGGGCCCTTTTTGTTGTGCGTGTCCTTGGCCAACAGATTTTAAATAACGAAGCCACAGTGCTGAATTTTGAACGTCTCCTAAAGGTGCGAATGCGGGGTACGTATTGGTCACGAGCACTGCACGAGAGGGGTTGCCCTTTTGCTGCTCCAGAGCTGTTCCGTCTGCCACACTGGCGCCGCCGCGGCGCACACCGACCAGTGTTGTCCGTTCTCGTTGCAGGGAACTCGCCCGGTTCATAGCTGCGGGGCGGCTCCACTGCAAAATCGACAAGGTGGGAGAGGTGGTAGAGACCAACCGTCCCGACAGCAAGAACTACCAATACCAGGTGAGTAAGGACTCAGGAAAAGGGTCGTGTAACATTCCTCGGATTGGGATGACGCTTCGCTTTAATTGCAAGAACGACTCCGTGTTTTTTTCAGTTGCGTGTGGCTTGCGTGTAGGCTTGCGACGAAGCTGTTTGGAAGATTACAAGCATTCTCAGTAATGCTGCATGCACTGGGAAGATAGGGTTAAGCTTACGGGACTGCAAAGGCAACAAGTGCGAGCTAGTGTACATACCATTTTTTTTTAAACCTGCCTTTTTAGTTCTAGCACACAATCCCAAGAGTTGCAACGATCTCTACAGGGGCGTCTGCGAACACGTTGGTGAAGCCACCAACGATAACTTCGATTTGCGGGCGTTCCCGTTCTTGCTCCTGCCATGATACTGCGGTCGTAGACCTTGTGTGTGGTCAAAGTAAACTTGAAGAGAGGTCAGGAGGCACCCAGGGAAATATCGACGTCTGCAGAGACACGAAACGTCCTACGGCTGATTTGGAACAAAGTGGAGTGTAGCGGTGGTGACAGTGCTCTTGCGATGCCTAAAGTACCTTGAGGTTTGATGCCGGGAAAAAATTAGCAACAAACTCCACTTATTGCTTTTTTTACAGCGGAGCTGTTAAGGGCTAGGATCCCCAGGATCGTGTCCGGTACGAAACAAATGTCGACACAAAACTCTTGACAGCTACCGCCATCTATGAGCGATGGCAGCAACCAGACAACCGGTTAGCCAGCCTCGCTCATAGATGGCAGCCACCTTTCCAGCCTTTCCACTCTGAATTTCACCAGAATGGAAAGGCTGAATTTCTCTAGGCGTCGTTCTCGAGATCGTCCTATAAGTCATCCTTGAGGTCGTCCTGGACGTCATCCTTGAGGTCGTCCAGGAGGTTGTCCTCGAGGTCTTCTTAGAAGTCATCCTTGAGGTTGTCCCAGAAATCGTTCTTGAGGTCGTCCTTGATGTCGTCCCTGAAACCGTCCTTGGCGTCGTCCTCGAGATCGTCCGAAACATCGTTCCACAGGTCGTCCTAGACGTCGTCTCTGAGGTCATCCTCAAGGTCGCCCTAGAAGTCCTCCTAGACGTTGTCCTAGACATTGTCCTTTAGGCATCGTCCTTGAGGTCGTTTAAGAAGTCGTCCTTGAGGTCATCCAAGAAGTCATCCTTGAGGTTGTCCCATCATAGTACAGCTTCGCTGGTCTTCCCTTCTTTACATGAGTGGAAAGGTTGTTTTTCTTTTTTTTCACCTAAGTAAAAGTTTTGCAAATTGTTCATCACCAAAATTTGTTTTTATTAAATATATGTTTTGAGTTTTTTGCAGTGTTCCCATCCAGTTTCGAGGCTTCTGTCACTGTTTCTTTGGCTCTCACTTTTCTTGAATTACAGCTTATATTAAATTTTTGCCCTCACATTGACTGTTATTACGAGGGACTATTATGTAGTACTATTGAGTGTTTGGCTCATAGTTATGTGTCAATCAATCACTTAGATCTTTTAAGGTAGTCCCTAATCAGGGAAGAACATTTTACATAGAACAGAGTTGCCCTAGGATATTTTGGGAGTTTAAGGAACCGTCGAGGGTGCTGTGGAGCACCCCTGTTTTTCTAGGCACCCAGTTTTAGAATCCAAACTATACAGGGTGTCTCAAAGCATGGGCCATTCCTGCAGAAAGTATTCGTCGCACAGGAAAAGGCTAGTGTCGTGTTGGGCTCTTCTGCCAAAGAGCCCATTTGGGAAAATTAACAAGGTGCTGTATAATTAGTTTATTAATGAATTTCGAGTAATTAACTTTTAATAAATGTAAATATATTGTTTCAATTGGAAACTCGCTGACGATCATTGAAAACCACTAAGTCAACCCATTTTAAAAAGATTACGGTAAGCATGGGCATTCCAAAATAATGTTCAGTTTGGACATGTTCCTAGGTTTCGGTTTTCTGCCGGAGTGCATCTTTGCGCTCCGACACCAACCCTATGTCAAATACATTGTTGACTTGTCATCCCAATGTAGGTATCGGACTTTCTAAGGCCGCGGTTAATGAATATAGATGGAAACAAACTTCACGAATTGAGCTGGCTTTTCGTTTAATCATGGTGCAGTTAGTGAAAAGCTTGGAGGAACTATTTAATTTGAAAATGTTTGCCACAAACTACTATTTACCTCAAATTCAAAATGCACTACTATTTGTATGTGCCAGTCAGCTTTCCAACTTTTTTGCACTGCATTGTCAAGGCTAGATTAGTTTCGGGTATCGGAACGTGGATGTGGGCGACAAGGGGAAGGGGGAGGAGGGGGGATATTGCCTTTTTTTTTCTGAACATTTTATTACAGTTGTTTGAAATGCTTGTCCATGGCCGAGACGCACAGCTACCGCCTTGTCTCTATCACAGGAGGAAACAAACAGTGGCACACATGTGTTGCGGGCTCTTGGGGCAAAGATGCATCCCAATAAGAAACCAAAGCCTAGAGGCACGTCCAAATTGAGTGTTTTTTTTGGAATGCCATAAAACACTACATGCCCGGTTGTTGAACTGCCGCGCCATTTGCGCTAAACTGCACCAGAATGAATAACCTGCTACATGCTGCTCCAAAGGCGGCTGTACTTGTGGACAATTTGCACCATGTCTGCACCAAAAAGAAGCTGGTCTTGAAAAGGAAACGAAGTGTCTGGCACGTGGCATTGTTGGCAATGCTACTAAAAATTTAGTACTTCTTTTTTTTCCTAAGTATTTTTTATAAAGAGTAGGGTTGTTCAAATTCTCAAATAGTGGTTTCAAATAGTATGTTATTTGATATTCGCTTCAAAATGAACTGTGAAATTCATACTTTTTGAAGCGTTGAGTGCGCTTGTCCTCAAGCACCGGTGCACTGTGGAGAGGCAGTACGTGCTGAGTTGACATCGTGATCTCGCGATTCACTTCGCTGTAGCCATGTGTTTAGGCGAAAAATACACCTTCAAAGCGGTATGGTGCACGCGTACACCTAATCTAAAAAAAAAACAAAAAAGACGTACAGGAAACATTATGCTTGTTGATATTTACATGGGAGTTAACTGTTGCTATAATGCGAGGGTATATGACAGGCAGCGATGTTCTACAAACCTGTATTCAGAAGATTTATGAATTCCGTCAATTAGGTATGCCTGGGATCCTTTATAGGTTTAATTTTATGTCAGATCTGTTGTTTACTTTCCATCCAAATGTAGGTGTAGGACTTTCTGAGGTTACAGTTTATAAATATAGCTAGATTAAATTTAACAGAACTCATAAGTGGGTTATTAGAAGCTTAGGAGCAACCTTAGTGCATCCAGCTTAATTTTATTTAAGTATGGTGTAACAGTAGTGGAAGGCTTGGAGAAAGGTGCAGCAACAATTCAAAAATATTTGGTCAAAGCGACTATCCACTTTGAATTTGTTTCGAACCCAAAATCTATTATTTGCACATGCCTAACGAAGAGTTGTCGTTTTTTGTGCAAACAGTGCTCACATTGATCGCAATAAATAGCCAGCGCTGTTCATTGCAATCGGTTAGAGTAGCGATGTGCTCCGCTTAGCTGCTGTATGAACAGTAGCTGGCGGAATACAAACGAGAGCAGCGTGAGGCACATTCTGCAAAAAAGTGTCCGTTTGATGTCGAACTCGGGACAGTTACATCATCGTGATACAAAACCTACAATTAAAGTAGCCAAAGGCATCTTTTTACATCAAACACAGACCGAAGACGCGATCGGTGCTCTTAATAGGTTAATTGAGACATCTGCAAAATTGCCCGCATATAATTGTTCAACAAGTAGGTAAATATCTGTAGCGGCCAGTTCCCTTGTAGGTATGACACTTTACGTCCCCTAACATTTCAACTGAAGTTTTTTCCACGGGCTATTTATCAAAGAGATTGTATGAAAATTTGTGACATGAAAACTAAAAACTGTCTGCTCCAAAAGTAGAAATCTCCGCTCCCAAACCCGTTGTTCCCTGCTACAAGAGCTGCTCCAAATCACTTGTTAGTTCCACCACTGCATGTCTTATATCTCTAAAATCAGTTGATTCAGTGGTTTTCGATGATGGACAGCAAGTTTTTAATTGATGCCATACTTTAAATTTACTGAGTAAAAAATTCATTATTCGAAAATAATTTATAAACAAATTATACCAAACATTATTCATTTTCCTTAAGGGGCCCTTTGGCAGAGACCAATACGACATCAATTTTATTTTTCCTTGCGTTGTGCACTTTTTTGCAGGAATGATTTGGCCTGCGTTTTGAGAAAAACCCTGTAATCAATGTAATAATTTGTAGTGTAATAAATTTGGGTAGTTTATTTCATTTTTTTTTTTTTTCTGGCATGGCTTTTTTCAATGAGCTGATGCTCTTTTCCCTATGTTTCTTCTAGGCGTGCATCAAGCAGGGTGACATCCTGCTTAACAGAATACAGAAGCTGAGCCGCGTCATCAACATCTGAGAGGCCTCTTTGCCCGCGCGCCTCCACAAAGTGCCAGCCCCCTTTCGTTTCTTCGACTGCGAGACTAGGAGCCTTCTCTTTTGATGAAATAAACACTCAAAACTCGGAAGCTGTCCACTTTAGTCACTAATTATTTTATCATGTTTAACTGGTTTGTGGCTCTTTTGCCAAATCAGAGACAATTGCAGTAATGGAAGTGCCGCACCATTTGTGCCAAATTGCACCATGAACCAAAACCTGCTGCATCTTGTGCCAAAATGCAACTTTTGCTAAGAATTGTGCCACACCTGTGCCGAAATGGCTTTAAGGAACATGAATACTTTATTATTGGTCGACTTTAATATTTAGAGAAGTACCTAGAATATGAAAAAAATTGTACAAATATAAATTTTACAGCCTCGCTACTCACCGTGTAGTTTGTTTTGTCTTAGGTCAGAGCACAGTCAAAGGCTCAGACACATACAACCACAAACACACATACTAAAAGTGCAAGTCATGGAACATTGGCTGCACTTGATTGGGTTAGCGATGAAAGAGCATGTACAGGGATATGACAAACGCCATGATGATGTCGCAGTTTGATGCTGCGAATCAACCGGCCAGAGCCGTTGTTGCAACCACTCTTGCAGTCTGATCGACGACATCGTCTGGAACTAAAAGTCCCGAGAAAAGTTTGTAAAACTGTAGGATTGGCCGATCTTAGCTACTGGGATAAAACAGAACCAAGGTCTTGTACTCCTGATAAGATCACTTGATTACAGTCAAATTTCGATATATCGAACACGGATATATAGAATTATTGCCTATATCGAACGCTTTCTATATCACGCGGAAAATCGCATGCATTTTTTTATTTCGAACAGGTTGGGCATAAAATGGATATATCGAACTCCGCCACCCCAAACAGCCCGCGCTCTTTTGACAGGCGGCGAGCTTTCCCGCAACACACTCGAAGATAGCGGTGGCGCCAATGGGCGCTTCCGACTAGAGTTCCTGTATAGGCTCCCTACGGTTGGTAGCTAGCTATACAGGAACTCTACTTCCGACTGCCTACACACATGCCGAGGGCGCCATTTAAACGTAGCGGCGCGCGCACGCCGCTACCTGGATAGTTCGTCGCAACGTCAACGACGCACTGCATTTTCCGCACCGACTCCTCGTCCTCGGTGTTATCGGTAGTGGTACGCGTGTGATCGTAGTTCTTTCGTGTGTCGTGTTGCCTTGCGTGAGTGATTGCTCCAAACGCTAAAAAACGGACGTCCCTGACATTTGCTGCAAAACTGGAAGCTATCCAGCGGGTTGAGAATGGAGGAAAAAAGTCGAGCGTCGCCGAAGCTTTAGGCCTACCAAAAGCACTTTGAGTTCTCTACTGAAAAACAAGAGTGACATAAAGGCCAAGGCAGAACAGAACCAGCACTCAGGCGCGCGGCGTGTACGCAAAGCTGCCTTTGAAGATGTTGAGAAGTCGCAAGGGCCCAGAATATTCCTGTATCCGGACCGATGTTACAACAGAAGGCCAAGACCTTTGCATTCATTCTCGGCGCCGAGAGCTTCAATGCCAGTAGCGGTTGGGAAGACAGTCTCGGGGGAAAGTGGGGACGCCAATGAAGAGGAAATCGGGGACGCCAATGAAGAGGAAATCAAGAAGCGGCTTGATCCAGAGTGGTCCCAGGTTCTCGCCAACTACGAGCCGCACCAGATATTTAATGCGGCTGCTCCCGCCTTTGCGGTCGGTCGGCGCGCTTGTGCCGCCTGTCGGCGCTTCGCGGAGCGCGACGGCCACGCGGTTTTAACAAGTTTTTGACGCGTTTTTGATGTGATTTAATATATCGAATTCTGGCTGTATCGAACTATTTCGCCATCACCGCGCAGTTTGATATATCGAGGTTCGACTATCATGTCTGCCACATGCCTTCGTTCCATTACTGCAAAGTACTGTGACACTTTTTTTTTCTACATCAGTTTTGTTGGGGCTATTGCAGTAGGGGGAGGGGGTGGGGTCACAATTTACTGTATTTACTCGAGTAATAGCCACACTGTTTATGAAGATAACCTGAGGGTCGGAGCCCGCAGATTGCCAATCACCGCGATCGACAGCATGACTCCAGCTGTTTACAGGACAAAGATAACGTCTTCGTGCGAAGATACCATCTTTGAAGATTTTATTTGTGTGGAGAATCGTGTTCTCAATCTGGTTATTCGCTACGTTATTTATGCGCAACGCAATGATTGGCTGTTTATATGTTCTGTGGGAAAGTAGACGCAAGGGCTTTGTTCATAAATAGTGCAGCTATTACTCGAGTAAATGGCAATATTAAATAAGACAAAAAAAATAAACAAAATAAGATCAATCACTGTCAACCGCACACAGAAACTCGTCTGGAGATAATGAACGGATGTTACCGGGTAGCAGATTCCAGTGTTGAATTGATCTAGGGAAAAAACTGAATTTAAGCACGATAGTATGTGCATGAAGCGGTGAAATGTTTAGGTCGTGGCTCCTTGTTGATAACGCTATGTGAAACCTTATGTATGTGTCTAATGAGGTGAGACGTGGCGAGTTAACCAGACCGTATCGGACTTTAAGCCTCTCAGTGGGACGTCTATCGGAAGGAGGACTCAAGCTCAGTGATGGAAGTGCTGCGCCAATTGCGCCAAATTGCGCCATGGACGCAATCCCGCCAAATTGTCATTTTACCGAAAAATTGCGCCATGCCTGCGCCGAGATGAGATGTAACAATAAGAAATAAGAATTGAAGTCTTATCAGAGCGCGTGGCGGTACCACGGTATTTTCCGCGCCACAACTGTTACGCAAACCGAAACTGCGAGGGCGTATTATCATTATCATCATTAAAAGGAACAACGTTAACAACATCTGAGACCAAAGCCGCAGAGGCTAAGCGAAGAACCATCCCACTGAGCAGCCTATTAAAAAAAAAAAAGGCCGAGCTTGTGGATGTTTTCAATGTTGGCCCGCTTTGTTCCCGTGCTCTAGCTACAAGCGAAGTCAAAGCTAGCGCGAGCCCAATGCTCTGTGCACTCCCGACTCGCGCGTGGGCTCGTGCTGTGCGGGCACCGTTGCGGGCTCCAAGCGCGGGCTTGTAGCTTCAGCTGCGCTCGCACCGAACCTGGAACGAAGTATAGTTGAGTTGCACCAAACTCTGGATGTAGTGCTGGTAAAGCTTCACCGTCCTTTTCGGAGCACAAAGCACTGCGCGACGTGTGCGACTGCGGTGTCTGCTCCGAGGGTGTCGCTTCTCTGCAGCACGTCGGTGCATGCCAAGAAGCGCACTCAACGGGTTAACTCGCCGTGATGCGACCGTGACTTTGCCAGCACATCGAAAATGAATCGCAATTTTTGAAGTGAATATCAGATACCGCAATATTTGAAGCTGCGGCCCCAAGGGCAACTCTAATCTGAACTAAAACATTCCACAACAGTGAGGGTCGTTAGATGCTGCTGCAGGTACCTTAAAAGAAGTGCAGGCTGATAAAACTAAATATCCTGTACCATCAGAACTTAGTGTGACATATTTAATTGTATTTTTTTTATCTGACGAGCAGATAAACTTCATTTAAATTTTTTTTTGTGTGTTTACTTTGTTGAATTTTATATATCCATCCTGTCTTAAAAAGGCGACAGGCGCTGTTCCAATAATAGAGATGGGCTTTATATAGCAATGCAGCATTATTTCCTTTTCAAGTAATATGCCATCATATGCCGGACCCTGCTCAAAAAAGGCCACTACCTGCTCCAAAACAAAATTTTGCCTGCTACGAGGCCTGCTCCCAAAGGTCAAATGGCACTTCCATCACTGCAAGCTTAAAGGGGCATTGACACATGAAAATCATACTTTTTTTTTTTATTATCCGAAACGATTGAAAACGATGCCGGGACATTACCCTCCAAATTCGAAACTTGGGAATTCAGTATTTCTGAATTAAAAAAACAATTTCCAAATGCCGAATTTGAAGTTCCCGCGTGATCCGCGCCAGTGCAGTGGGTCAAATTTTGCGGTCTCCTGTGACTCGACTTTCTTTGGGACCTCCGCCGTTGCCACAGCAACCCGAGGCGAGGAAGCCGGCGCGGGGAAAAACCGGTTTCTTCCCCGTCTCGCCGATAGCGCCGCGAAGTTTTCCGAGGGAGGATACAAATGCAGGAAGCAAGATCACACCGAAATCTGATTTTTGGTATTTCAAAAAGAGGGGCCGCAGTGCATTCGCGATTGCGTTAAAAAAACATGTTTTACGATTGCCGTTATTAAATGTTATAGAAATTTCGCCTTCAAAGCTTCTAAATGTCCTGATTTTTGACGTCACCGATCAAAAGAAGCGAGGAGGTGAGCGCGGGAAATATAAACGCCAAAAATAAAAAGGCGCGCGCGCGCTCAAAGAAATTTTTTTTCGCGATGCGTTTTTTTTTTTTTTTTTTTGCGTTTTTATGATTACAACTTGCATCGTATTAGACAATAAAAAATAATACGACCTTTGGGGTGTCAGTGCCCCTTTAAAGCAGGAAGGTTAGAGGATGGGGAGAAACCTCTATCGTAGCAACGGAGAATAAAACTTGCACCGTTTGCATCAACCTTTTCCGCATCGAGCTTCACTACTCTGCACCGGAGTGCTAGGAGCAGCGGGTGACCTGGGGGAGCGCCTGGCTTGGCTCGATAGGCAAGCAAATTATGCTCAGGATTATTACAGGTCGACCTTCTTTGTCGTAATTGTAAGTTAACCTCTAATAAAAAAAAATTAAGAAAACAAAGAGGTATGAAAACACAGGTCTATGTATATGTGAGTAACTACGGCAGTCGGGTGGTTCCCATGCAGCTGTCGATCGTAAGGGCAGCTTACGTAACTCGGGCTCCTACGCCGCTAAGGACCAGTGTCACCTTTACAGCGTAAGTGTAAGCTTTTATAACATTTTTGGGTGGTGGTTTTTGCAGTTTATGATATTAGAATCTTGAGCTTAATAGGTTCATTAAACTTGTGGGACACGTTTTTATTGGTAAACGTGTTAGCGGATAGGCTGGTTTACAAAAATTATAGTTGCGGGCTAAACTAACTACTAAGTGTAAAATGGGGAGGGGGGAGAGGACTTATTTTAATGA